CTGGCCTGCAAAGTTTCATTTGAGAAATCAGCTAATGGTCTTAGGGGAATTCCCCTGTAGGTAACTAACAGCTTTTTCTCTTGCTACTTTTAAGATTCTCTCTTTATGTTTAATCTTTGACAATTTAATTATGATGTGTCTTGCAGTGGGCCTCTTTGCATCCATCTTGTTTGGGACTCTGTGCTTCCTGGACTTGCATGTCTATTTCTTTCACTAAATTAGGAAAGCTTTCTTTCATTATTTTTTCAAATAGATTTCCAACTTCTTGCTCTTTCTCTTCTCCTGGTACCCCTATGATGCAAATGTTCAAGTGCTTGAAGTTTTTCTAGAGGCTGCTTACTCTATCCTCTTTTTTTTGCATTTTTCTTCTTCTCGTGCCGATTGCTTGTTTTTTGCTTCCTTTTGTTACAAATCATTGATTCTTGCCTTCATCCACTCTACTGTTGTTTCCCTGTATATTGTTCTTTATTTCAATTAGTATATCCTTCATTTCTGAGTGGATCTATTTTATGCTTTTGAGGTCCTCACTAAGTTCCTTGAGCATCTTTGTAACCAGTGTTTTGAACTCTGCATCTGATAGATTGCTTACCTCCATTTTGTTTAGGTCTTTTTCTGGAGTTTTGATCTGTTCTTTCATTTGGGCCATGTTTCTTTGTCTCCTCATTTTGGCAGTCTCCCTGTGTCTGTTTCTGTGTATTAGGTAGAGCTGCTATGACTCCCTGTCTTGGTAAGTGTGGCCTAATGTAGTAGGTGTCCTATAGGACCCAGAGGCACAACATGCCCTATCACCCAAGCTGGGTACTTGAGGTGTACCCTTTATGTGGGCTGGGTACACCTTCCCCTTGCAGTTGACCCTTGTTTGCTGTTGTCAGGACAATGGGAGGGATTTACCCAGGCCATTCAGCTGCACGGACTGGCTGTGACCACTCACCGCCAACATCCACCTTCCATGGAGGATCAGCTGTGTAGAGGCATGGTAGTGGTGCTCCTGCTTGGTCTGTAGCTGTCCACTGGGTACATGGGGCAGGCTCTGGGGTTCCTGAATGATGAAGGCCAAGATCAGCCCTAGCCTGTGTTCTGCCCAGGGCTACCCTGCATGAGCTGTGACGCAATCTGAGAAGGCTGCTACTTGGTGAAGCCAAGCTGTTAATCTAGGTTGGCTGCTGCTAGTCCTGGGCCTGGGACCACTTAGCAAGAGGTACAGAGGTTAGGGGCTTACTGAGGCTAGCTGTTGCTTGTTTGATAGGGTTTAGGAAGTTATGAAGCATGGGTCAAGACCAGCCATTCATATGGAAAAATCATGGTTAACAGTGTGGGTGGGATGGAGCCTCAGGGGATCTCCAGGGTGGAATAAACAGTATTGGCCAGGTTGGTGGAGTCTCAGATACGGCACTCACCTGTCTGCCACCCTGTGTCTCCGTGGGGAGAAGGGCTCAGAAGAGGGACAATGGCCTCGGCCTGTGTCTCTGTCTGGGAGAAGGCTGTGCCCCAGCTTCCACCTTAATGCCAGATACTTCTGTTTCTCCCTGTGCGCCAGTGCTGTCTTTCAAGCTGCTTGCTGTACCAGTGCTGGAACTCACAGGGAGAGAGTCTGAGTAAGTTGGTGTGTACATTCTTTGAGGGGAACTGCTTGGGACTCTAGAAGTTTCTTCCAACTCAATCCCTGCTAGTTTTTGCAGCCAGATGTTATGGGGACTTTTCTTCCTGCACTGGAACCCTGGGCTGAGGGGCCTCGTGTGAGGCTGGGACTTCTCACTCCTGAAATATTCTTCCCCAATTTTTATCCACCACAGGTGGATGTGGGACCAGACTAATCTGCATTTCTGCCCCTCCTGCAAATCTGGACAGATGTGGTTTCTCTAATTCTGTCGGTGTCAGACTTCCATTCAATTTGATTTCTGATGGTTCTGATCGATATTTTAGTTGTAATTTTGATATGGTTGTGCGAGGAGGTGAGCCATGTTTACCTATGCTGTCATCCTGACCAGAAGTCCAGGAGTAGAGAATGTTTTAAAATGGAAAATGTGGTCAACAGTGTGTAGTGATTTTGACAGATATCAAGTAAGATAAAGAAAAATATCTCCTAGATTGTGACACTGAGGTAGATCATGGGGAGACCTTGGAGAGGGCTGTGTGGTGGGCTGAAGGAGGTGTAGAAGCCAGATGAGGGTGGGTTTGAGGCATTTGTGGGGTAAGGGGGAAATAGAAACATCTAAGTACAGTTAATTCTTTTGACAACTGTGGCCATGAAGTAGAGGATAGAGATATGTGGTGGCTGGAGGGAATATGAGGTTGGGGAAGGCGTTTTGTTTTATTTTGAGGTATAACTTTCATACTGTGACATGCACAAATTTTAAGTGTGTAGCCCAATTTTTGAATAGGTATACATCTGTTTACCACCCAGATCAATGTGCAGAACATTTCCAGAAATCCCCCTTGTAACTCCTCCCAGTCATTATCATCCTTGAAAGTAATCCCACCGTATCTTCTAAAACCAATGATTTTCTTTTAGAACCTGATATAAATAGCATCATTCAAAATGGTTGTGTGTATGTGGTTTCTTTTGTGCAGCATTGTGTGAATGAAAACTGTTCACGCTGTCCGGTGTGGCCAGAGGGTATTTCATTGCTGTACAGTATTCCGTTGTATGACAGTGCCTCAATTTATGTCTCCATTTTACTGTTTATGGATGCTTGAGTTCTTTCCAGTTTTGACTGGTATGAATAAATCTCATGAACATTTCCATACATCTTTTGGAGGATATGCAGTCATTTCTATTGGATATTTACCAAGAAGTAGAATTGCCAGGTTACGGGCTATGTGCTTTAGTTAGTAGATACTGCCAGTTTTCCAAATGCAGGGGTGTCAAACTCATTTTCACGGGGGCCACATCAGCCTCACAGCTGCCTTCAAAGGGCCAAATGTAATTTTAGAACTGTATAAATGTAACTACTCCTTAACAGCTAAGCAAGAGCTCGCCAGGTAGAAACAAGGTGCCGACAGAGGAAGCAAGGTGGAGGGTGGGATTCAGCCCTCGGGCCTTGTGTTTGCCGCCTGTGCTCTAATGTGTGCTGGTTTTGTCAATAGATGAGAGTTCCAGTAGCTTCACGTGCTTGCCAATATTGAGCAATGGCAGTTCCTTTCATTGTAGCCACTCTGGTGGGTATTTGATGACATCTCATTGTGGTTTTAATTTTCATTTCACTGATTACTAGTGATGCTATTCACCTTTTTGTGTTTCTTGGGGCCCTTTGGATACTGAACTTTGGAGATACAGGATATCTTTTTATTTTTTATTTTTTATTTATCTTTAGAGGGGAAGGGAAGGAGAGAGGGAGAGAATGTCAATGTATGGTTGCCTCTCATGGGTCCCCTGCAGGGAACTGGCCTGCAACCCAGACATGTGCCCTGACTGGTAATTGAACCGCAATCCTCTGGTTTGCAGGCCCACGCTCAATCCACTGAGCTACACCAACCAGGGCAGGATATCTTATCTGGAGTACCTGTTTAAGTCTTTTGCCAATTTAAAAAACTAGGTTGCCTGCCTTTTACTTGTCTTTGTTTTGAAGTTCTTTATTTTAGACTTTAAACTCTTTTCTCTATTTTTTTCTGACATATTGCACACAGTCGAGCCTTGAGCAGGGTGGAGCGGAGCTGTGTGGGTCAGTTGGAAAGAATCTGTATGTCAGAGGGACCTGCGCAGTTCACTCAGCCCCGCTGTGTTCCGGGTCAGCTGCATTTTCTCACAGAAGCTGCATTTCTGTGGCTTTCCTTCTTATTTTCTTAATGATGTCTTTTGATGACCAGAAGAAGTTATCAGTTTCAGTGGGGTCCAATGTATCAGTCTCTTTTTTTATGGTTAAATTTTGTGTGGTTAGGTGTTAAGGAAATCTCTGCTTACTCTGAGGTCATAAAGATATTCTATATTTTCTTCTGTAAGATATTCTTAAAGTTATTGGTTTATCTTTCAGAGTTAGGTCCATCAGATTTATTCAAATTAATTTCTGTGTGTGGACGTAAGGTAGAGAGATAGGTGGCTTTTCCATACGCATTTTCAGTTGACCAAGCACCACTTACCAAAGAGACCATTTGTTCCCTCTTACTGTAGTTAGCACTTTGTCATACGTGTGGGTCTGTTTCTGAACCCTGTTCTGTTGTGTCTCCCAGTGCCTTTATAATAAGTTTTGATACTTGGTAATGTAAGTCCTGAGGAAAAGGGCTTTTTGAAAACTGGGAGCTCATATAATAGCCAATGGGAAGGATCTAGTTGAGCAAAGTGAGTGATGAATAAGAGAGGGGACACTCTGCACCTGGAGGCTGCTGAGAAGCTAGTAGGAGCTGGGATGCAGGTGCTCATGGAAGGCTTGGCCTTGGATACTCACCCACGGATCATCCAACATGAATGTGTTAGTCGGCTCCTTGTGTGCCAGGCCCAGGCACATAGTCGGGCACTTCCATGGAATTCCCATTCTAGTAGCAGGAGAGAGAGAACAACCAAGTGTCCTCACAGATAACTCAGGCAGCTGCGAATGCCATGAAAAACTAAGTGGGATACTATGGTAGAGAGTAAGGGGAGACTGCTCCAGCTGGGCAGCAAGGAAGGCCTCTAGGTGTCAATGACGTATGAGTTAAGATCTGAACAGGAAGGAGCCCATCTTTAAGAGCTGAGTGAAGAGCATCCCAGACAGAGGAAATATATAGCACAAGGTCCTTAAGCTAATAATGCAAGTCTGTGGTGTCCGTGGAACACACAAAGGACCCGTGTGGGTGGAACAGTAAAAAGAGATGGGGAGCAGGATAACAAGTAACATTAGAAAGTGAGTGGGACAGCAAATCTCTCCAGGGGGGGATTCCTTAGGGTTGAGTTAAATGTGGATTTTTACACACATGTTGAGTTGGGTTGAGTTGTGGGTGGTGGGACTGTTGTTAATGTGTGTGTTGGGGGGGGCATCTTGTCTTACCTGTGAAACTGCTCTCACACTTACCCTCTCTCCTTGCAGCCTCCTGAATGATGCCAGCCCGACACTCCCTAACCTCCAGTCTGGCTCTCCTGCTGCTGCTGGGCACAGTCAGAGCAGGGCCTTTCTCTTCACGCTCCAATATTACACTCCGTGCCCCACGACCCCCTCCTAAGCCAGGGGGCCGCACAGCAGAGCCAAGAGGGGCAAACCTCACTTCTCAGCTTTATGAGCACACTGTAGAAGGAGGGGAAAAACAGGTGGTGTTCACCCACCGTATTAACCTGCCCCCTTCAACTAGCTGTGGCTGTCCCCCGGGCACTGAGCCCCCTGTCCCTGCTTCAGAGGTGCAGGCCTTGAGGGTCCGCCTAGAGATCCTGGAGGAGCTGGTGAAGGGGCTCAAGGAACAGTGCACAGGGGGATGTTGTCCTGCTGCTGCCCAGGCTGGCACAGGTAAGCAAGTGACCACGGGGCGGGGTGGGGGGGACACAGAAAAAGAGGCAAGTGGAGCAGGTGAGTGGGCATCCCTAGTCTATAAAGGACCTGGGTATGAATTAGAAAAAGGTAACCCTTCCTCACCCTTGGGGGTGGTCAGTACAAACTTGGAGAGGGGAGAAACCTGGCAAGATGTCAGCTCCCTCCCCTTCTCCCTAGCATATGCTGGGGTTCTGGGAGACCACACATATTGACTAGGAGCAGCTGGAAGCTAAGATACCCTTATGAAATGAGGTTGATGCTCATGAAGGGGACAACTCAAGGGAGCACTATATGGACTCAGACTCTCCCCCAGAGAGACTGAGGCCCTCCTCCTGCTCTTGTTACAGGTCAGACGGACGTTCGTAGTCTCTGCAGTCTCCACGGCGTATTTGACTTGAGCCGCTGTGCCTGCTCCTGCGAGCCAGGCTGGGGTGGGCCCTCCTGCTCAGACCCTACAGACGCTGGGGTGTCCCCCTCCTCTCCACCCTCTGCTCCCGGGTCCTGCCCAGATGACTGCAACGATCAGGGGCGCTGTGTCCGCGGTCGCTGCGTGTGCTTCCCTGGCTACACTGGCCCCAGCTGTGGCTGGCCCTCCTGCCCCGGGGACTGCCACGGCCATGGGCGCTGTGTGCAGGGCGTGTGCGTGTGCCGGTTGGGTTTCTCTGGTGACGACTGCAGCCTGCGCTCCTGCCCTCGAGGCTGCAGCCAGAGGGGGCGCTGCGAAAATGGGCGCTGCGTGTGTAACCCCGGCTACACAGGCGAGGACTGTGCGGTAAAGAGCTGCCCCCGAGGCTGCAGCCAGAAGGGGCGCTGTGAGGAAGGGCGCTGCGTCTGTGATCCTGGCTACACTGGAGAAGACTGTAGCTCACGGACCTGCGCTTGGAACTGTGGCGAAGGTGGACGCTGCGTGGATGGCCGCTGCTTGTGCTGGCCTGGGTACGCGGGTGAGGACTGCAGCACACGGACTTGCCCGCGCAACTGCCGGGGCCGCGGGCGTTGCGAGGACGGAGAATGCATCTGCGACACCGGCTACAGTGGGGACGATTGCGGAGTCCGGAGCTGCCCCAGTGACTGCAACCAAAGGGGCCACTGCGAGGACGGCCGTTGCATGTGTTGGCCGGGGTACACGGGGCCTGACTGCAGTGGGCGTGCCTGCCCGCGCGACTGTCGGGGCCGCGGGCGCTGCGAGAATGGTGTGTGTGTGTGCAACACAGGCTACAGTGGTGAGGATTGCGGTGTGCGCAGCTGTCCTGGAGACTGTCGTGGCCGGGGTCGTTGTGAGAGTGGCCGCTGTGTCTGTTGGCCCGGGTACATAGGCCGGGACTGTGGAACACGCGCCTGCCCTGGCGACTGCCGAGGGCGCGGGCGTTGCGTGGACGGTCGTTGCGTGTGCAACCCAGGCTTCACAGGCGAGGACTGCGGCAGCCGTCGGTGTCCCGGGGACTGTCGTGGTCGCGGCCACTGCGAGGATGGTGTGTGCACATGCGACACAGGCTACGAGGGAGAGGACTGCAGCTTACTCAGCTGCCCAGGAGGTTGCCGAGGCCATGGCCAGTGCTTAGATGGACGTTGCATATGTGATGACGACTACTCAGGCGATGACTGCGGCGTGAGGCGGTGCCCGGCTGACTGCAGCCAGCGGGGCGTGTGCCAGGACGGTGTGTGCAACTGTTGGGAGGGCTACGCGGGAGAGGACTGCAGCCTCCGTACCTGCCCCTCCAACTGCCACCAGCGTGGCCACTGTGATGATGGGCGCTGTGTGTGCTACGCAGGCTACACGGGCCCCTCCTGCTCCACCCGCACCTGCCCGGCCAACTGCCAGGGCCGTGGGCACTGTGTGCAGGGATCGTGCGTGTGCCATGCAGGCTACAGCGGTGAGGACTGTGGACAGGAAGAGCCTCCTGCCAGCGCCTGCCCTGAGGGCTGCGGACCCCGGGAACTGTGCCGCGCAGGCCAATGTGTATGCGTTGAGGGCTTCCGAGGCCCGGACTGCGCCATCCAGACATGCCCCAAGGACTGCCGTGGCCGAGGAGAGTGTCATGAGGGCAGATGCATCTGCCAAGAGGGCTATGCAGGGGAGGACTGTGGAGAAGGTGAGCAGGCAAGCCTTCCCCAGTATACTGTCAGGGAGTGGGAATCTGAGCCAGTGGGAAGGCCCCACCCTGAGGCCTTGGAGCCCAGGGAGTTGGAGGAAGAGTAGAAGGAGGTTATATATGGGGGGAGTGGGGGAGTCACAGGAGCCAAGGAGCCAGTGTCCACCAGGGGCAGCAGAACCATGGGGCCATACCTGCAGGCAGGACCTGCTTCTAGATATCTTATGAGCAGGTTGAGGGCCACTTGGTTGCTTTTAGGGAGATTCTGTGTTCCTGCACGAAGGGGAAGCTGAAGGAAACCTGAGGCCTGATCAGACCTTTGCCAGCTTTGCCCCACCCCCAGAGAGCAGTGGGAACTGGGATTTACCGCTTCGTGTGCCCCCGAATAGGGGGCCTGTGATGATGGGGGTCAGGTGGGGCTGCCTTGGGCTAACCAGCTTCCCATATCCCATTCTCCTGGGCAGAGGTGCCAGCCATTGAGGGCATGAGGATGCACCTCCTGGAGGAGACGACGGTTCGGACAGAGTGGACCAGGGCTCCTGGCCCTGTGGATGCCTATGAAATTCAGTTCACCCCCACGGTGAGAGGCACACTCCAGGAGGGGACGAGAGGGTAGGACCAGGGTAGGGGCTGCACACCTCATGCAGGACATTCCAGGTAATTCGTGATTGAGTCCAGATATCTGGGTTCCTGAAGCCGCTGTAAAGTCTTTCTTGTCCTGCCCTACACAGGGTGCCGAGGGCCTTTGCAGCAGCTCCTGCTGGAACACCTCTGCTGACAGCGAGCTCAGCACTGTCTGAGGCTGTCCAGTCCTTTGGTGGTCATCATTGTCAGGCAGTTCTTTCTGTTACTGTTGAGTCCACATCTGGCCCACTCTAACATCCATCCAGCAGCCCTAGCTGGGCCTTCACCAGCAGTCAGAGTTGCTTGCCCTGCATCCTTCACCACAGCCTTTCAGGGATTTGGAAAGCCATCAGGTCACCCTTCATTCTCATGGGCAAAACCCATTGGTTCCTCCCCACCTTTTCCCTAGGACTTTGTTCTTGAATTCTTCACTTCTAGAGTTCTCTCTTCTAGTGCCTCCTGCTTTGTTCATTTGTCTCCAAAACATGAGTGCAGAGAGGAGGGGCCTCTGATGGATTCTGGAGACACTGCACTTTTCTCAGAGTTGACATATATTAACTTGCAGCCACACAGTCAGCTGTTTTGATCATATTTGTTTTTTGGTTTTAATTTCTATTTATTTATTTATTTATTTATTTATTTATTTATTTATTTTTAGAGAGATGGGAAGGGAAGGAGAAAGAGAAGGGGAGAAACATCAATGTGTGGCCTCTGGTGCACCCCCTACTGGGGACCTGGCTCACAACCCAGACATGTGCCCTGACTGGGAACCAAACCAGCAACTCCCTGGTTTGCAGGCTGGCACTCAATTCACTGAGCAACACCAGCCATGGCTGCTTATATTTGTTTTTTTAAATAACTTTTTATTGTAAAACTTATGTAGGCTTAGTGTGGGAACTTCAAAAAATATAGATAAGTAAGGAAAAAAGAAAGAAGAAGGAATGAACTATATACACTTTTTTTAGCCTAAATATAGGGCTTTGTAGTTGGCTCTGTTTCATGTAGTCTTTTCTGATTCGGGCCAAGCTGTCTAGGCTGGTGCAATAATTTTTAATCTGTGAAATGGTTCTTCTGCCTCCATGTCATCACTGCACTGCAAAGCATCCTTTCTCTGTCTCCTTCCAACATACACTTAAAATACTGGACGGGGGTACCCGAAGGACAAAGCCCTGTAGCCTCCCATCAGAGACCTCCCTTTGTGCAATACGAGCTTTTATGATGTGCTTGGTCTCCTAACTCCAAATCATCTCACATTTCTACTGTCCAATTCATGTTTTCCTGAATCATCCCACAACTGTCATAGCAGGTAGGCTATGTCACCCTCATCTCTGCCCAGCCAGAACTCTGGGAAAATAAATAACTCCCAGGGCGAAACCCTAGGAAGCCTCTGGGATGGAAGGAGCAGCTCGGAGAGGTTGTCATCCCCACCCCCAGTGCCTGGCTGTTCTTCTCATACCCCAGAGCCTGGGCCGTGCCATTTTCTGTCTCTCCTCACCCCCTGAGAGAAGCAGAGGTAGAAATCCCTACTTTGTTTTACAGCTAGGATATCTTGGATTTTTTTTCTTTCATTTAAAAAAAATTTTTACACCATGACCGGTGTGACTCAGTTTGTGGGGCCTTGTTCCACAAGGTGAAGAGTTGCCGGTTCAATTCCTGGTCAGGGCACATGCCTGGATCGTGGGTTCAGTCCCCTGTCAGGGCGTGTGCAAGAGGCAGCCGATTGATTTTTCTCTCCCTCTATTTTGCTCCCTCTCTTTCTCTCCCTTACCCTCTCTCTAAAAATAAATAAAATCTTACATTTTTTTTCCACTTGGCATAAGAACAATTTAATCACAAGACAAGAATTTGGCAACTAGACAAAAAATAAATAATTTTTGGCTGCTTCACACTAAACTAAGCACTGTTAACATTTTAAAGTGTTTCTTCCACTCTCTTCTCTGTGTGTATTATTTACATAGTTCTAATCTTGAGAGGGTGGGACTTTTAGAAGGAATTTTCCAAAGAAATTTGAGGGAAAGTGGAATTAAAATAAACACTTGAAATGGAAGGAGCATGCAGGGCAGCACCGCCTCCCGTTCTCAGTAGCACAAGCTCGCCCTTGGGTGTTCTCAAGAGGCAGGGCTGCCCAGTCGAAGTCTGAGGCTTCCTCCCTCACCACGGGGCTGGGCAGCGTCGAGCTGGCCTGAATGTGGCTTGGCCAGGCTGTCAGCTCATGTGCTCTGCTCTGGGTATGGGCCTCTGTCATATTCTGGGTTCTCTCTGAGCCCAGGTGTGAAAAATTCTCCTGTAAAGTTGGTCCCTAAACATTCCTCTTGGACTCCCCATCAGCCTGTGCTACTGGCCCTCAGACTATACTTGCTACACTTTTAAAAAAAAATATTTATTTTATTTTTAGAGGGTAAGGGAGGGAGAGAAACATGAATGAGTGGTTGCTTTTCGTGCACCCCCTACTGGGGACCTGGCGCACAACCCAGGCATGTGCCCTAACTAGGAATCAAACCAACACTGTGCTCAGTCCACGGAGCCACACCAGCCAGGGCTACTTGCTACACCTTCTGTAGCTGGCCCCTGAAATTGTGCCTCTTGCCTTGGTCAGTGCCCTCTGTCCAGCCCTATTGGCACAGAATATATTCAGTAGCTGGCAACTGCCATCTTCCTAGAAGTCTGTCTATACCTCATCCTGAAACACATCTCTCTCAAAGCCCAGACTCTGCTACTCCTGGGCAAGGGACACACCTGGCCACTGGAGTGATTTTCAGAACACCGGAAAGAAACATTCTCTCTGCATACGTGGCCTTGTTACTATGACTTAGTGGTTCTCAAAATGTGTTCCGTGGATCTGCAGCATTACATCACTTGGGAGCCTGTTAATCATGCAAATTATTGGATTCCTTCCCCAGATCTACTATCAGAAGCTCTGGGGGTAGAGCCCAGTAACCTGTGTGGCAACAAGCCCTCAAGGTGATTCTAATGCACCCTAAGCCTGAGGACCACCAACTTAAGGAATGTTGCTATTTTGCAAAATGTTGGCTTCTCTATGAATGTAAGAGAAAGCACGAGGAAACAGCAAAAGGTTCAGATATTCCTTGTCTGGCTGTATTCTGCAGCCTGGAAACCAAGGCTACGCCAAGTTTTCATTGAGACACAAGATCTTGCAGCCTCAGAAAAGTTTGTCTTTGAGTCTAGTCTGAAGAGAGGGATGAGGGTGCAGTAAGCTCCAATGACCAGCCAAGGTGGAGTCCACCACGAGAGCCACAAGGTTGATTTCGAGAATAGAGTTAGAAATTAACCAAAGACAATCAGTGAAGCAGCCAAGCTTTTACTAAGGGGCCAAGAGTCATCTGCCAGCATCTGGCTAGAGAGCCTGCCTCAAACCAGCCAGATGCGGGGACAGTGGGATTGTCATGGAACTGTTCCAAAGTAGATCTCAGGAGGGACTTAAGGCCTGTCTGAAAGGTTCATGTAGGTGATCCGAGAGGGTGGGAGACGATGGGAGAAGGAAGCCTTAGGATGGGCTTACCTCGCTGAAAGGACCAGACGTCATCAGAGAGCATGCGTGTGTGGGGCGGGGGGGAATAAAGGGTGAAAGGGTTAAGCCATGGGAGGGATGAGGATTTCATAGGTCTTGAGTTGAGGTCAACCAAGGCCTATTAGACTAGGGTGTCCTAGGGCAGGGTGAGCAGAAGGATGAGGGTCCTATGTGCCCAGGATACTTTTTCAGCCAAGAAAACTCTGACAAAGCTTTATTCATCCTCAACCCAGAAATCCATTATGTGGTCTCTCATCTGCTTTTGTGCTTTGGTGTTTACTTGTTCCCCCACCAGGTCTGGGTTTAGGAGAAACCTAAAATGTCCAGTTCTCCTTGGCTGGACGGGGGTGTCCCTAATGCGGCCACCGCAGCACAGCGGAGCATGCTCGTTGGCCAGGCGGCCCAGTGAGCATGGGGCTGGGGCTGCTCACAGGAGTCAGTGCCTTCTGTCCTGGTGGCTGCACTCCAGAGAGGCCCTGCCTGGAGCTGGGGCCAGCAGCTTTCCCGTGGGGCCACCACAGATAGTCCTCACACCTCCAACGCACACTTGGAGGAGGGTTGTTTTCTCACGTACTATACTGAGATTTGGGTGGGGTCTGATAAAATTTAAGACACAGCCACACCATTAGCTACTATATAGCATGAGCCGTCTGAGGACAGGGACCGTAGCTTTTATTTTTGTGTCTCAATGCCCAGCACGATGCCAGATACAAAACTGGGAAACGTATTTGTGGAGCTCTGAACAGATGGGCCTTGTTTTTGAGGGGCCTACAACTCTGCTGAAGAGACAAGAAAAATGCCTGAAGGGAAATGTCATGACAGGGTGACACCCACATCAGACAGCAGGGCAGATGTCTGTGGGGAGGATCGGGCTGGGGCAGATGCCTTAAGGAGGAAATGAGACTTGAAAGGGCATCCCTCATTTCCTATATCTGTCCTGACAGGCCTGAGCTTGGGAGAAGCCTTGTCCCGCCAGGAAGCCAAGGTTGCAGGAAAAGCCAGATTCCTGGGTGTCGGGTAGGATTCTGGCAGATAGCTGATGACCAGGCTAAAAGGTGGTGCCCAAGAGAGGGAACTCCAAGGTCACACTGCCTTGGATTCAATGAGGTCATACACATAAACTGCCTTAAACAGTAGCTGGCATAGAAAGAGTGTTCTGGACGTGTTTGCTGCTAACCACCCATGCTCCCCAGCTGCACAGGGCCACCCTCTGCACAGTCCCAGGCTGACACCGCTTGGAGCCAGAGCCGGGGGCACTGAGCGGCAGGGGCAGAATGCCAGCCCTAACCTACCCAGTGCTCTCTCTCTCTTGCAGACAGATGGAGCAAGCCCCCCATTCACTGCACGGGTGCCAAACTCTGCTTCAGCCTATGACCAGAGAGGACTGGCCCCCGGTCAAGAGTACCAGGTCACCGTCCGTGCCCTTCGAGGGACTAACTGGGGCCCTCCTGTCTCCAAGACCATCACCACCAGTGAGAGCAGGGGCTGTGGGGTGGGTCCTAAGTGGAGATCTGGATATTAGAGAGGTGGCCAGGAATCTGCCCTCCAGGAGGGCAGAAGGGAGGGTTTGGGTGGGGCAAGGAAAGCTGGTGACTGAAAAAACCAAACTCCCACCTGATCCCTCCTTTCTCTAACCTGGCCAGTGATTGACGGCCCCCAGGACCTCCGAGTGGTGGCCGTAACTCCAACCACATTGGAGCTCAGCTGGCTGCGCCCCCAGGCCGAGGTGGACCGATTTGTGGTGTCCTATGTCACTGCTGGCAACGAGAGGGTGAGGCTGGAAGTGCCAGCTGAGGCAGACGGGACACTGCTGACTGACCTGATGCCGGGTGTGGAATACGTGGTGACCGTCACGGCAGAGCAGGGCCGGGCAGTAAGCTACCCAGCTTCTGTGAGGGCTAACACAGGTATGCTGGCCAGGGGTTGGGGAAGGGCCTGGTTTCTGAGTGCAGGAGCCCATTCCACGGGGGCCCACATGGGATCCACAGGCTCCTCCGAATGCACTTAGCAGGGTGTGGGGCAGTCCCAAAGCACCTGCTGGGGGTCTTGCTCTGTACCAAAGGCACCAGGGAGACAGCTCTCAGGCACTCAAGTCCTGTAGGAAGCCTATGGGCTGGAGTATGGGAGGAGCTGCCCCTGAAGAGAGTAGTGAATAAGAGATGCTCGTAGATGGGGAACAGCCCTCATGCTCGGCCAGTGGTCAGATCTTGTAGGGACTGGAATTAGGCAGACCAGACTCCAGCACTCCTGTCGACTTTAGGACTGGGATTTGGGGAATTAGATCTCATGGCAGTAATTTTCCACTAACCTCAAGGTCTCTTGACAGATGCCTGGATCTTTACTTTTCCTCTGACAGAGGGACCCCTCACTTTGCTGTAGCTCACAAGTCTCTCTTCACACTCCCCTTTCTCTCCTTCAGACACAGGGCCCAGCCCGCTGGCTTCCCTTTTCTTTCTAGGTTACCAACAATGCCGCGCTTGGAGGGCGAGGGGTGAGGGGCTTCTGGGACAATGACTCCTTTTTCTGGGTTCTCTTTCCAGGTGGGGGTGGGGTAGAGGGACCAGGCCTCTGGCTCTGGAGGGAGGGACGGATGGAGGGAGGCAATGCCTGGGAGGAGCTCAGCCCCGGTGGGGGCGGCTGCCACTGATCGGCTCTCTCCGTCCCCTTTTTGCCCCCCTACTCCAGCGCCAGGCCACTACAGTTACCCGGAGGTGCGCCCCCCAGCCCCGCCCCCCAAACCCCGGCCCCGGCCGGCTCCGCGGCCCCCTAGGCCCGCTCGGCTCCCCCGGCCGGCAGAGGAGGGGCCGCAGGAGCCTGGGCCCGGGCCCGGCCTGCCCCCGCCCCCTCAGCGGCCTTGGGCCAACCTGACGGCGGAGCTGGGCCGCTTCCGCGGCACGGTGCGGGACCTGGAGCGCCACCTGCGGGCTCACGGCTACCCACTGAGGGCCAACCAGACCTACTCGTCCGTGGCGCGCCACATCCACGAATACCTGCAGCGGCGTCGGGCGGCCCCGGCCCCGGCCCCCAGCAGCTCCCCCGCACCCCCTCCCCGTCAGCCCCACCCCACCGTCAGCCCCGACTCTGGCACGTGGAAGCGGGACTCCAACCGGGGCATCTATGGCCTCTTACCCGAAGGCGCCGATGGGATGGTTGTGCCCCGACACCCCAAGCCCGAAGTGCTGGGCAGTTCCGCCAATGGCTCCCTCCTCGTGTCCCTCGATGGGCTCCGCGGCCATTTCGAGCGAGTGGTGCTGCGCTGGCAGCCCCAGCCGCCTGCAGACGCCCCGCGCGGGGAGCTGACCGTGCCCGGCACCACGCGCGCCGTCACCCTGCCCGACCTCAGGCCGGCCACCACCTATCACGTGGAGGTCCACGGGGTGCGGGCGGGGCAGACCTCCAAGTCCTACGCCTTCATCACCACCACAGGTAGTGTGGGCGGGGGCTCGGAACCACCCCTCCCCTGCCCAGGCTCACCTACCTGTGGAGTCTGCATCCCTCAGTTCCTCCCACTGCTCGCTGCTCAGACTGTCACCCCGTCACACCCTTCTGCCTTCAAGTCCTACCTGGTCCTGACTCCAAGGGTCCCCATAGCAAAGCACAGCCCTCCCGTGTCCCTAGAAGCACCTCCACCTCCAGGGTTCTGACAGCTACAAGGCCCAGGAGAACTAGTCTTTGGGGTCCCTTGGTTTCCACTTGGGTTCTCAAGGCACTTCTGCTGGGGTGGCTGTTCTGGGCCATAGAAGGGGTGCTTGGTGGGCAGGGAGGGCCTGCAAACTCACTGGAAGGGCTGGGTAGGGTAGGGTGGAGTAGGACTGACCGAGGTTCCCAGCTCTGACTCCCTGGGGTACGGGTGGCTGGGGATTGTGGTCAGTGGTTTCTGCTTTCCATGATTTGGCCTTGACCTCAAAGGGACACAGTGGGACTGCTTGGGGAGCCTTGAAGCCATCAGCAGCATGTGTGTATGAGAGAGGGGAATCCACTGCTCCCTGAGCCACTTTTCAGACCTCCTGGCTCACTTCATGCCCATCTCTCCCACAGCAGCGGCGTGGCGGTCAGGGAAGGGGTGTGTTCTGTGGTGACCACAGGGAGGGTTGTGGACCTCTTCTTCACTCATAGGGCCCAGATGCCACCTGAGCTGGACGCTAACACCCCTCCTCTCACTACCTGTTCTCCTTCGGCACCCTCCTTCCCTAACACCACTTTCTCCCCCTTTATTCCAGGCTTCTCACTGCAGCACTAATGGAAGCCACGACCACCACCCAGTGGGGGGGGGGGGCTGCCTGTGGGGAGGGACTGGGAAGTCTGTGGGGCCGAGGTCGTAGGAGTCTTGTGGGGGGAGGGATGGCAGGCTTTATTTCTCTCATTATCTGCAGGCCTGTCTGTTCAGGTGAGGTGCACAGAGGTACTTGGAGGGCCAGGCTGACATTTGGGAGGACAAGGCGGCCCAGGGAATGTGTGCAGGGCAGAGCCTGTGGGCTGGGGTTCCTTCCAGGTTCTCACACTGGACTCCCCTGTTTTTCTCGCCCTACCATTCTCAGGATCCTCCCCCTCGGGCCTCTTGGGAGCCACCGATGAGCCTCCCCCTTCGGGCCCCTCAACAACTCAAGGGGTGCAGGCCCCTGCCCTGCAGCAGCGCCCCCAGGAGCTGGGGGAGCTGAGGGTACTAGGCAAAGACAAAACCGGGCACCTCCACGTAGCCTGGACAGCCCAACCCGATGCCTTCGCCCACTTCCAGCTGCGACTCTGGGTGCCTGATGCTCCAGGGGCACATGAAGAACTGCTGCCAGGGGACGTCCGCCAGGCACTGGTGCCCTCACCCCCTCCTGGAGCCCCCTACGTGCTGTCACTTCACGGGGTTCCCCCTGAGGGCAAGCCCTCCGCCCCTCTCATCTATCAAGGCATTATGGGTACATCCTGGCTTTTGCCCAGACCAGGGCCCTGAGGTTGGGGGAGGGGCTGGGCCATCCACACTTCACAAGTGGGATGCTGGTAGAAGGGCAGGGCTGTGTTTGGGTCCAAATGGTGGGAGAAAACAAGGAGAGAAAAGGAGCTGAGGGTTCATAGGCAAGAGGGATGGGGGTGGAGTCCAAGAATGGTGACAGGGTGGGCCAGGAAGGGGAGTAGCTCCCTGGAAAAAAGACAAGAGAAGTCAGAGTGGACAGAGTCTCTCCTCCCTGCGCCCCGTGTCCCGCACCTCCACATCCTGCTCACCCCTCTGCCCCGCCCCACCCCATGCATCTCAGGGCGGGTGTGGGGAGGCCTCCGGCCTGACGGTGCTCACCCTCCTCCCCTCCCCTTCCCCACAGCCCCTGCCACCCCCTCACTGGGCAGGCTGGGAGGGTGGCCATGCTCCCACGTGCAGAGCCTGGCCTGCCAGGGACAGAGCCCCATGACTCCATCAGCCGCTGTCTTCTGGGGGTAGAGGTTCCTTGGGGTGGGGGGCACCCCAGCCAGCAGGACTTCAGAGATGGGTGAGGTTTTCAGAGCCAGTGAAGGACAGGGCCTGGGACACTGGCTCTCATGTTCCCTCTTCATCCCTGTTTATGGCACCAGGAAAGCTGATTCTCCCTACAACTCCAGGGCAGGCTCACAACTGAGAGAGAGGGAGACAAGGAAGAGAAAAGTTCAGGTGGACTGAGGAGTCTTCACACTGCTCTACAGCAGCAGTGGGGAGTTTTAAAACTCCCAGGAAGAACCATGGGGCACCTGAAACTTCCCCATGAACCTTGGTGTGGAGGGGGACTGGGACTTTTGTGAGGGGTGCATAGGGGCCAAAGCTCTGCCTCCAGAACAGAAGTTGTGGGGGAAATCCCCCTTCCCAGGAAGGCTGGCCACAGAGGGCTCAGGGGCCGGGAGATGGAGTCTGGGGGGGGGGAGCTGTGCAGGCTAGAGGAAGCCAGTGAGCCGAGGGGAGGAAAGGAGACAAGGACAAGGCCTTGGCTGACTGCCTGCGTTGCTTTTACCCCCCTACCCCTATTCCAGACAGGGACGGGGAGAAGCCTGGGAAGCCCTTGGCCCCACCACAGCTGGGTGAGCTGACAGTGACAGACGTGACCTCCAGCTCCCTGCTCCTGCACTGGACTGTCCCTGAGGGCGAGTTCGACTCCTTCATGATCCAGTACAAAGACAGGGATGGGCCCCACATGGTGCCTGCGGAGGGGCCCCAGCGCTCGGCCCTCATCACCAACCTGGACATGGGCCGCAAGTACAAATTTGTCCTGTATGGGTTTGTGGGCAAGAAGAGGCATGGCCCCTTGGTGGCTGAAGTCAAGATCTGTAAGTGAAAGCGTCATACCCGTCACCTGCCCCTGCCCTCTGCATGATCCTTAAGGAGGTCTTTGTAGTGCTTTGGGAACTCCGGGAGGGCTTCCTGGAGGCAGGGACCCCTGAGATGAATCCTGAAGGGAAAACAGTGGTGGGTCAGGCAGAGGATGAGGGGGGCAGCACAGACAGACCCATGGAGAGCAGGGCAGGAGTGAGTGTAATTCTGTAGGAGCGTCCATGTCTGTTTCTTCCTGCTAGACAGCAGGGGGCCTGGACAGCTGACGGGATGGTCTCATGAGTCTGACAGGAGCTTGGACCTCATTTGAGGGCACTGGGGGAAGCCTCTGAGGGATTTTAAGTGGGAAGAGACATGATTCTCTATATATCTTACAAATTACACCAAGGCTACTGTGGAGGCTAGCCAGAGAAGTGAGTTAAGTTTGGGATGGTGGCAGTGAGTCCGGATGTGGGGGGCGAAGGAGAGCGATGGGCCCGGGCACCCCACATTTCTAAATCAAACGGTCCTGTCCCAGCCGAGGTGAGGAACAGTGCAGCAAGATACTTAGTCAGCACCTTTTGAGCATTTGCTAAGGTCAAACGTGTTCCAGATGTTCCAGGTGTGTCATCACACCCAACCCTTGCAGCAGCCCTGGGAGGCGTGCCCGTGCAATAGATGCAGAGGGTCAAGGCACAGAGAGGTCACAAGCAGAAAGTGATGGGCCCTGAGGTCATACTGCTGCCTCCAAGGTGTGCAGAGCAGAGGGGAGGCCCGGACAGGGCGGGGTGTCACCGGTGCCAGCAGACAGGAGTGTGGGCGAGCCTGTGGGGACACTGGGGATGGCCAACACCCAGGGCACTTGCAGAGGAAGAAGGGCCCGCAGGATAGCGTGAGGGGTACTTACAAAGAGGGGCAGAGTCCCAGAGAGTGCCGTCCTGAATGCCAAAAAGAAGGACGTGGTCAGGCAGGTCAGATTCTGTGAGAGTGATTCAACACTACACAGTGTCCACAGGACTCAGCAATGTGAGCTCCCCACTGCCCTGGTGAGAGCTGCTGTGGAAGGTGATGGACTTGAGGCCGTGGCGACAACCAGTGTAGACATCTCTCTGGAATCTGGACTGGGAATAGAGCAGAGAGGGAGGTCGGTGGGGTGGAGGGAGATACAGCGGAGTGGAGCAGGGCGGGAGAGGAGGATTCGGGGCCCAGGGCACAGGTGTGGGAGGCTGTCCCGCACCAGTTCACTCTAAGTATGGGGCTCCCCTCTCTCAGAGGAGAAACAGCTAGTAGTTAAGCCTGAAGCAATGCAGGTTGCTTTGGAACAATTCCCTCGTCACCATGGAGATGTGGAAAGGGCTGGCTTGGCTCCCTTGTCTCTGAGGCCCCTCCTCAGGCTGGGCATAGCGTAAGTAAGGACCACACCAGTCTACACATTTAGAGGAAGGTGCCCTGCCTGTAGGTGGGCGCAGCCCATCGCCAGGGTATGCAGCCAAGTATCACTCTTGGCAAGCAAAGTACTGGCTGGAAACTCTGTCTTAGTGCTCCTTCTGTGTACCTTTGTGCAGTAGACAACCTGCACGACCTCCCGCAGCACCCCCGCATGGGAGGTGGCTATACCTGTATCCCTTTCCTTCCTTCCTAGTGCCTCAGAGTGATCCCAGCCTAGTGACACCACCGCGTCTGGGAACCCTGTGGGTAACAGATCCCACCCCAGACTCACTGCACCTCTCCTGGACGGTCCCTGAAGGCCAGTTCGACTCCTTCGTGGTCCAATACAGGGACAGGGATGGACGGACCCAGGTGGTGCCCGTGGAAGGACCTGAGCGCTCGGTCACTGTCTCTCCACTGGACCCTGACCACAAGTACAGGTTCACTTTGTTTGGCATCGCCAACAGGAAGCGCCATGGCCCCCTCACGGCTGATGGCAGCACTGGTGAGTGGCCACCACCTAAGCCCCCATGTGAACCCCTCCCAGTCTTCCACACACGTCCTCAGCCAGGAACCAGCTGGGCTTCCCAGTGAGAAGGCTGACTCTAGATCCTCGTCCTGCTCCCAGACTGAGGGCAGCCAGCCCTACCTCGAGCTGCTGGGTCCTGTCCAACCCATTCAGCTGCTTCCCAAAGGCCCAGAGGTGTGTCACACCCTGGCGGTGCCAGACATCCCAGGAGTTCAGTACTCATACCAACCCAGTGTGACTCTCCAGGTGTGACAGCCCGTCCACACCCCGAGCCCCAGTCCCAGGCTGCCAGTCCAGGCCTGTCCGGATCCTCTTATTTACAGCTCCAGAGAAGAGAGAGGAGCCCCACCACCCACAGCCCCCTGAGCAGCCACTACTGGGGGAACTGACAGCAACATTTGTGACCCCAGACTCCCTGCACCTGTCCTGGACAGTGGCCCGGGGCAACCTTGACTCCTTTGTAATCCAGTACCAGGATGCACAGGGGCAGCCCCAGGCAGTGTCTGTCAAGAGAGACGAGAACACAGTCACTGTCCCCGGCCTGGAATCTGACTGGAAGTATAAAGTGAACCTCTACGGCCTTCATGGCCGGCAGGGTGTGGGGCCTGTGTCTACGGTGGTCAGGGCCACAGGGCCGCCCTTCTCTGACAGCCCCCAGTCCTCTGAGTGGGACCTGGGCTCCCATGCACCTCCTTGCACCTTCTTTTCCTTGGCTTCAGTTCTGCCAAAGCCTCTACCCTCGTTTTCCCCACGTCCCGGGACTTCTCTCCCAGCCGTCAGCCCCAGCCTTTGTCACGGGCCTGCTTCTCCATCTCCAAGAACAGCCCTAATTCTCGCAGTTGGAGCACCTGCAGCCACCCTTCCACCCCAGCTGTCCTGCACCTGTCCTGCCTGCATTGTCCTCGGCCACTATGTTCTTTCCCCATGGTCTGTGCTGGGCTTCACCTTCCATGACCTGGCTCCCGTCACAGTCATTTCTGAGCTTCAGAGCACCGTGTTCCCCTAGCCCTGTCCAGCATGGAGAGGATTCCTGAGCCCCCTGACTCCCCGACTCCCAGCCAGCTTGGAGCAGGGAAGAGCGCTCACTTCCAGCACCCTCCGGATGTCCCACCTTTCCAGCCTCCCCAACCAGCCCCGTCTCCGTGGCTGTGGAACTGCATGGTTGGGAGCATGGCTCCAGAGCCAACGGCCTAGATTTTTATTCCAGCTCTCCCATGTGTGACCACGTGTGTCTCAACTTTCTCATCTGTCAAGTGGGGGCAATAACGGTAACTGCTTCGCTCTGTTGTGAGAGTGCACACGGCACTCAGCACGGCACCCAGCACATTGACACCGCCCTGTGAGTGCCAGCTCCCTGACTCCCTTGCTTCCCAGTGTCCTTTTTCCCTCTTCACATCCTTCCCACCTTCCTCATCCTCAGCTGGTTATCATTCTTGCCTACTCCCTCCTCGGTCTCCTTCCCCTCAGTAGCTCCCCATGGGCCTGGGAGTGGGTCACCGAAGGCCTGGCTGACCTTGTCCAGTCTCCCCAGGCTGTGGGGCCACAGCACGGATCCAACTGCAGAGAATGTGGGTCCAGGAAGTGCAGGGCCTTCCCCGGCCCTGCTCCCACACCCAAACTGAAGCAGGGCCCACCCCACTCCACTTTTGCCTGAAACCCTGACTTAGTGACTCATCCTTGAGGTTTATAGTGGGGTGAACATGGGAAGCCCTGGAGGGGGCAGGGAGGCAAAGGCTGAAAGAGAGGTGCAGGTGGGAAGGGGGGACACTGCCCTTCACCACCGGAGGTCAGCACTGGCAGTGAACATAGTGGACAGCACCCAAGAGGTCCAATCTTCCCATCTCAGCTCCTTCCTCAGACATAAGGGGGGACCCCAGTCCACAGAGCCCCCTAGTACAGTTGGCTAGCACGGCATGGTAGACACGAGGCTCCACTCAGCCCTGGCTTCCATGACCACCCCTCAGTGGCTAACACAGACGCCACACAAACCATAAGCTTGAGGAGTATATTTGCTGAATATAACTGATTACAATATGTACCGTCACCAGCAGAGCAAGTCACCCTTTCACCCTGTATCCTAATCCATTTCTCAGGCCGTCAGGAGGCTGTGGAGGAGGCCCTGAGCCCCACAGATTCCAGCACAGATGCCCCAAAGCCTCATGAGGAGCCCCTCCTGGGGAAGCTGACAGTGCACCCAGCAGACTGTGTGCATTTCTCATTGGCTACACAACCCGCATTAATCACCACCTCGATGGTTATTTGATGCTTTGTGGCAAAAGTGCCACAGCAAACCCGATCGCCTCCTGTGGGCCTCTGTGTCCCTCGACGTACGTCGCCGTCATGAACAAGCCCACCACGCATTCCTGTGACACAGCTTTTTCCTGCTTTGTGATCATTTCCTTTGGCTGCCTGCCTGGAAATGAGATTATTGGGTCAAAGCACATGAGCATTATTTTGGCGGCTCACGTGTCCAAACTGCCTTCTGCAGGTTTATGCCACCAGGCGGGCACATGACAGGGGTTTGGGAGCCTGTCCCAGCTCCCTGCACCAAGGACACTATGCCAGTGACAAGGGCTACAGCTTGAACAGTATTTCAGTGGGATGGATTTGTCGACACCATAGACATCACCATAAAAGTAACTCCCCACTTAAGCCTCTCCCCCAATCTCTTTACTTAGCTCCCCAGCTGGATGAGGATGAGACCCCCAGCGTCACAGAACCCAGCACGGAGGCACCAGCGACCCCCAAGGAGCCCTTCCTCGGGCAGCTGACAGTGACAGGATCCTCCCCGGACTCCCTGCGCCTGTCCTGGACCATCCGCGGGGGCCAGTTCGACCACTTCCTGGTCCAGTACAAGAACGGGGATGGGCAGCCCAAGGCAGTGCGGGTGCCAGGACACGAGGACGGGGTCACCATCTCTGGCCTGGAGCCAGACCACAAGTACAAGATGAACCTGTATGGCTTCCACAATGGCCAGCGCCAGGGCCCCATCTCTGCCATTGGGGTGACGGGTGAGTGGACAGTGGGCGCCCTGGAGCGGGAGCCTGCAGGGGGATCACACTGCACAATGGGTGGGTGGGGTGCAGGGGGCCCCTCTGCTGAAGGCTGAGCCATGGTGCCCTCAGGGCCTCCCCTGGGCTCCCTGAGGGTCTGGGCATGTTTGTGAGGTTGGGCTGAGCAGGACCCCCCAGCCCCCAGCAGAGGAGGGACTTCTCTGCAGTGAGCTCAGGGTCCAGTGGTGACCCCAGCTTGGGAGAAGACTGAGGACATCTCCACGGACCCTGCCTCACCCTCCCTGTGTCTGTCCTTCTCAGCTGCTGAGGAAGAGACCCCCAGCCCCACAGAAGCCAGCACAGAGGCCCCGGAGCCCCCCCAGGAGCCCCTGCTGGGGGAGCTGACAGTGACAGACTCCTCCCCAGACTCGCTGAGCCTCTCCTGGACCCTCCTCCAGGGCCACTTCGACTCCTTCACCATCCAGTACAAGGACAGGGATGGGCGGCCCCAGGTGGTGCGTGTTGGGGGTGAGGAGAGCGAGGTCACCGTGCGGGGCCTGGAGCCGGGGCGCAAGTACAAGATGCACCTGTATGGGCTGCACAGGGGACAGCGTGTGGGCCCCGTGTCCACTGTGGGCCTGACAGGTGAGCGGGGGCTGAAGGGCCTCCAGGGTTGGGCTCAGGAAAGGTCTCAGCAGTGGAGCCTCCAGAGTCCCCTCCAGTGCAGATAGTCAAGTGCCGTCCCCTGACCCCTGCACTGCCTGTTGGACAGACGAGGACCGTGACGGTCCGGGGGCAGGATTGTCAGGAAAGTGCCTGGCCGTCTGAGAGGCCCCTGGGTACTGAGCCCTCCAAGGCAATAACACCCTGGCCCACTGCAGCTCTCTGCCTTGCCTGGGAACTCTGGAAAGAACTCAGTTGGGGGGGCTGGGACACATATCACCTGCTTCTTCCAGATACCAACTCCTGCCCAGTCAGCTCGCCCTTTTCTCCATCTCCGCCTGCCCTCTCCATAGAATGCTTCCCTATTACCAAGTCTATTGACATAGTTCACCCGTTTACGAGAAAAGTCACCCGTTTCAGTATACGACTGAATCGATTTTTAGTATATTTATAGAGTGTGCATGCTCCACCACTCTCTTGTTCTTGAACTTTTCTTCCACCCCAAGAAGAGTCCTCGTGTGTAGACCCTTCTGACTCCCATCCCTGGGCCACCCTGATCTGTGCTCTGTGCCTAGCCCTGCCCTGTCCAAGCCAACCGCACAGACGGGACCACGCAGCTCATGCTCCCTTGTGCCTGGCTCCTTCGCCGAGCGTGCTTTGAGGTCCACGCATGTGGTAGCATCAAGCGGTACTTTATTTCTTTGTACAGCCAGATAGTATTCCTTATAGGGTAGACCACTGAAGTGTTTTTGCATTCATCTCAGACAGGGTACTTCATCACTAAATATTTATAGTCCTCTCTTTTAAAAAGGCTATTTAAAAATAACCACATGATAATTACTGTTCCTCAAGAATGAACAGTCATTCCTTAATGCCCTCAAGTAAGCAGGGAGTGCTACAGTTTTCTGATGGCTTCATAATTGTTGTTTTCCAATTTGTTGCTGCAATTGGGTCTAAAGAAAGAGGGTAGGTTGTAACTGGGAGGACTGGGACTTTAAATAGGTAGTGGGGGCAAGGTCCCACCGGGGAGCAGCATTTGAAAGGACTTAAAGGAAGCATGGGTGTGAGCCATGCAGACATCTGGGGAAAGAGCACGAGGGCGGAGGAAGAGGCAAAGGCTCTAAGGCAGGAGGCTGGCCAGGTAGACACACTGCAAGGAGGCCACAGAAAGACTTTGATGGTCATAACCGGAAGTGGATTTTAGGTTAGTGGCAGAGCTGAAGAAGCCAGGAGAAGCTGGGGTCTCAGCAACTCTTCTAGTAACAGGAAAGCTTCTGTCTGCATCTTTTCCCAGCCCCCGAAGTAGAACAGGGAGCCAGCCCTACTTTGAAGCCGAGCCTGGGGGAGCTGACTGTGACGGATGCCACCCAGGACTCCCTGCGCCTGTCCTGGACCATCCCCGAGGGCCAGTTCGACCACTTCCTGGTCCAGTACAAGAACGGGGATGGGCAGCCCAAGGCAGTGCGGGTGCCAGGACACGAGGACGGGGTCACCATCTCTGGCCTGGAGCCAGACCACAAGTACAAGATGAACCTGTATGGCTTCCACAATGGCCAGCGCCAGGGCCCCATCTCTGCCATTGGGGTGACGGGTGAGTGGACAGTGGGCGCCTGCAGGGGGATCACACTGCACAATGGGTGGATGGGGTGCAGGGGGCCCCTCTGCTGGAGGCTGAGCCATGGTGCCCTGGGGGCCTCCCCTGGGCTCCCTGAGGACCAGCAGGTCCCCTGGGCAGAGGAAGGCCTGTGTGAGCTGTGCTGGTGGCTGCCCTGCTTGCCCAGAGCTGACCCTGAGGGTCTGGGCATGTTTGTGAGGTTGGGCTAAGCAGGACCTCCCAGCCCCCAGGAGGGACTTCTCTGCAGTGAGCTCAGGGTCCAGTGGTGACCCCAGCTTGGGAGAAGACTGAGGACATCTCCACGGACCCTGCCTCACCCTCCCTGTGTCTGTCCTTCTCAGCTGCTGAGGAAGAGACCCCCAGCCCCACAGAAGCCAGCACAGAGGCCCCAGCGCCCCCGAGGAGCCCCTGCTGGGGGAGCTGACAGTGACAGACTCCTCCCCAGACTCGCTGAGCCTCTCCTGGACCCTCCCCCAGGGCCACTTCGACTCCTTCACCATCCAGTACAAGGACAGGGATGGGCGGCCCCAGGTGGTGCGTGTTGGGGCTGAGGAGAGCGAGGTCACCGTGCGGGGCCTGGAGCCGGGGCGCAAGTACAAGATGCACCTGTATGGGCTGCACGGGGGACAGCGTGTGGGCCCCGTGTCCACTGTGGGCCTGACAGGTGAGTGGGGACAGGGCAGGCTGGGTGGTTCGGGCCAGCCCTGGAAAGCTTTCCCCTTATTACCATCTTTGTGAAAACATCAATATGCCCACTTGCACGTCATCTTTTGCACATCAGTGTCCTGAGGGTCTTGGAAAAAGCAGATTCTTTCAGCAGATTGGGCTGGGGCCAGAGATTCTGCATCCCTAAGGTCCTCCGGGATGCTGCTGCTGCTGCTCTGAGGACCACACTTGGGTAGCGTCTCCTCACAGCCAGAGGTCAACTCTTTTTTAGAATCTGTGGCAGGGAATCGTACTGGTGTCCCTAGTGTGTCCTAGAGACGCAGCGTCTGTGGCATGACTGTAACGGAGGACGGGAGGTGCTCCGAAAGCAGCATCTTTTCTGCAGTGCCCCAGCCTCATGTTTCGGACATTCCCAGACCTCTGACTGAAATGGGCCAGCTCGGATGGGGGCATCCTGAGCCAAGTCTGTGGGAGTTCACAGGGCTCACTCAGCCTTGAACTTGACTGAGAGACAAGGTCTCATACTAAGAGGCTCATGGTCAGGGAAAACAGGATGTGAACCAGCAAATCAGACAAAAGGAGGACATGGATATGACAGAAAGTCCCAGGGCACTGAAACCTAAGCCAGCCTGTCCACAGTCACGTACGGGATGGCTGATAACCTGAGGTCAGGCAGGTGTTAGTGAGGTGATAGTGTGATAGGCTGACTAGTGTGTCAGATGAACAATGTCGCAGCTGGTGCAAAGGCCTGGGAACTTGGAACACCCAGGCACACGAGAGCGTTTTGGATGCAGTGCTCTGGGTAGGGGGTAGTCTTGAGATGGGGGTGGAAAGATAAGGGCAGCTCTGGAAGCAGGGACCCCTCTGGGGGTTCAGAGGGTTGTGCATAGTTTTTTTTTTTAAGATTTTATTTATTTATTTATCTTTAGAGGGGAAGGAGAGAGGGAGGGAAACATCAATGTATGGTTGCCTTTTGTGCATCCCCTGCTGGGAACTGGCCTGCAGGGAACTGGTCTGCAACCCCAGAAATATGCCCTGACTGGGAATCGAACCACGATCCTCTGGTTCGCAGGCCTGTGTGTGCATAGTTTTAAGTAGGACCGATTCCACCAGCTGTGCACTCAAAGTCTCGTTCTGGTCCCCTGTGCAGAGGGGACGGGAGGGAGGCCGAGATACCAGGTGAGAGGTGAGGGTGGCCCTAACCAGGAAGGTTTGGCTGCAGGTGTGGAGAGTGAGGAGATGCGGCAGGAACTTTAGAAAGAGAGGGACACTGAGTCAGTGGCGGCTGAGGACAGGGACAGAACCAGGAAGACTGCTGGTTTCCTGTGGGGAGCAGCTCTTGAGCTGTTCAGGGGCAAAGCCATGAGCCAAAGGGAGTGATATGCCAATGAGACCCCAGTGCAGGAAGCCCAGGGCACGGTGGCCACACGGACCTGTGTTCCGAGGAGAGGCAGGTGCGGGAGGAGGGGGAGAGGTCACGGGTGTGGTGGGTGGTAGGCGAGGTGAGGGAGGAGGGGGTGACAGTGAGGAAGGAGACGTCAAGGGACCAGAAGGAGTCAGAGCGAGAGCCAATGTGGACAGCAAGAGTCTGTTCCTTGTTCTCTTATTTTTGCAGTAGAGCCCTGATAGGCTGAACTGAGGACTGAGGAGACCTCACCTGTCCCCCATGTCTCTGTCCAGCTCGCCCAGCTCCAGATTACGCAGCTGGGACCACCCAAGTTCTGCCCACCATGACCCCTGAGCCTCGCATCAAGCCGCGCCTGGGGGAGCTGACTGTGACGGATGCCACCCAGGACTCCCTGCGCCTGTCCTGGACCATCCCCGAGGGCCAGTTCGACCACTTCCTGGTCCAGTACAAGAACGGGGATGGGCAGCCCAAGGCAGTGCGGGTGCCAGGACACGAGGACGGGGTCACCATCTCTGGCCTGGAGCCAGACCACAAGTACAAGATGAACCTGTATGGCTTCCACAATGGCCAGCGCCAGGGCCCCATCTCTGCCATTGGGGTGACGGGTGAGTGGACAGTGGGCGCCCCGGAGAGGGAGCTTGCAGGGGGATCACACTGCACAATGGGTGGGTGGGGTGCAGGGGGCCCCTCTGCTGGAGGCTGAGCCATGGTGCCCTGGGGGCCTCCCCTGGGCTCCCTGAGGACCAGCGGGTCCCCTGGGCAGAGGGAAGGCCTGTGTGAGCTGTGCTGGTGGCTGCCCTGCTTGCCCAGAGCTGACCCTGAGGGTCTGGGCATGTTTGTGAGGTTGGGCTGAGCAGGACCCCCCAGCCCCCAGCAGAGGAGGGACTTCTCTGCAGTGAGCTCAGGGTCCAGTGGTGACCCCAGCTTGGGAGAAGACTGAGGACATCTCCACAGACCCTGCCTCACCCTCCCTGTGTCTGTCCTTCTCAGCTGCTAAGGAAGAGACCCCCAGCCCCACAGAAGCCAGCACAGAGGCCCCAGCGCCCCCCGAGGAGCCCCTGCTGGGGGAGCTGACAGTGACAGACTCCTCCCCAGACTCGCTGAGCCTCTCCTGGACCCTCCCCCAGGGCCGCTTCGACTCCTTCACCATCCAGTACAAGGACAGGGATGGGCGGCCCCAGGTGGTGCGTGTTGGGGGTGAGGAGAGCGAGGTCACCGTGCGGGGCCTGGAGCCGGGACGCAAGTACAAGATGCACCTGTATGGGCTGCACGGGGGACAGCGTGTGGGCCCCGTGTCCACTGTGGGCCTGACAGGTGAGTGAGGGGGAGGCCAAGTTTATTCCTCCCACCGGGGCCTTAGCCACACTGTGGCCATTGCTGACTTGCTGCTGGGAACCTCATGACCCACCTGCTTGGGAAAGACCTAGAAAGAGCTGTTCCAGGGTATGGACTACAGCCAGCTGCACAACCTTGAACTAGTCTTAAACTTTCTGTGCCTTTGTTTTCTCACCTGTCAAATGGGGATCAGAATGCCCATCTAATAGAACTGGTGTGAGGGCTCAGTGACAAGAGGCACTAAAAAGGCTTGACCCAGAGCGAGCCACCGTTCGTGCCCACTGCTGAGTGTTACGGTCACGCTCCTCGGGCTGTCTGCTTCCGCGTCCCAGTAGATCGGAGTGTGCATGAGACGCGGCTCCTTCCTCAGCGCAGCTGGAAGCTCTCTTCACTCCCCTGGTGGATGCCTCTATGGCAAGGAAGAGCACCCCTGCCACCCCTGTCTCAGGCCCAGGCACATGCCATCTCGGCCGTCGTGAATGACCCAGCTTGGGTACCTCCTCTCCAGAGCCTCAGCACAGTGGCGTGGGTCGTAGGTGACCTCTGGGACCCTCCAGCAACCAGCCCAGCTTTCTAGAGCAAGGGGGAATCTCTTTCCCCCTCAGCTCACTGAAAGAACGACACATTTTTGGAAAACAACTTTTACTATTAAGGGAAAGAGTACAAACTTGAAAGGAGAGGAACAGATAGGTTTCCAGAGCAAGGTTTCTGTATTTCCACAAAGCCCAACCTCACTGTGACTTGGTTGGCTGTTTCCAGAACTGTCCACTCCTGATTTCTTTTCTTACTTTAGTCAGCACTGAGAGTAGGAAGAGGGTAGAGATACCCTGAGTCCTGCATGTCACAGGGTGGAGGCTTGTGCCAGGCCCAGAACATGAGGCTGAGGTTTCTCCAGGGGTTACCCTCACTCCATCTGTCTGTCCTGGGCAGCCACGAGGGGCTCATGGTCAGGGCTCTACGAAGCCGTTCGCTGGTCCCTGGGTAAAGGATGGGTTGTGTTGAGCATGGACTGTGCAGTGAGGAGAGTCAGGTTCTGGAATCTGAGGAGCTGAGTTCCATTCTGGCTGCTGCCCTTTCCTGACTGTGAGGTCCAGCAGCCCAGTCATTATCAGAGGAGGCCACCGTGCTGACCGGGGCCATGCCGGTCAGGAGAAGAAATGTGTGCAGCTAATGAGAAATATTTCTAAGTTGAAAAAAGGTTATGCCAAATGCAACCTTGGGACTGCCATACCCATGGGCAGGTATAATCCCAGCTTCCCAGTTAAGCCAAACCACCGCCAATAAAGCTTGATGATAAGGGACGGTTTCTCTATCTCAGGGAAAGAAGTACAGAGAGGGCAGAAATGAGCAGGAAGTGGATCCTGCAGGAACTAGCAGAGACAGAAGGCAAATGACACGAAGTCCAGTGCCCAGCCTGGCACCTGCGCCTCCTCGCTGCTCAGCAGTGGCCACTCCCGTCCCTTTAGCTGCCTCTGTCCCCTGCCCTCTCCTCTCAGACTCATCTCTGTCTTCCTGAGACCTCATCAGCAGCTCACTCATGAGGCAGTGTTTTTAAAATATATTTTATTGATTATGCCATTATAGTTGTCCCATTTCCCCCCTTCATTCACCTCCACCCTGCACACCCCTCCCCCCACATTCCCCCTCTTTAGTTCATGTCCATGTGTCATAAGTTCTTTAGCTTCTACATTTCCCACACTACTCTTGCCCTCCCCCTATCTATTTTCTACCTATCGTCTATGCTACTTATTCTCTGTACCTTCTCCCCCCTTCCCCTCCTCCCACTCCCCAGTTGCTAACCCTCCATGTGATCTTCATTTCTATGGTTCTGCTCCTGATCTGGCTGTCCTCTTAGTTTGCTTTTGTTTTAGGTGTGGTTATTAATAACTGTGAGTTTGCTGTCCTTTCACTGTTCATATATTTTATCTTCTTTTTTTTAGATAAGTTCCTTTAACATTTCATATAATAAGGGCTTGGTAATGATGAACTCCTTGCACTTGACCTTATCTGAGAAGTGCTTTATCTGCCCTTCCATTCTAAATGAAAGTTTTGCTAGATAGAGTAATCTTGGTTGTAGGTCTTTGCATTTCATGACTTGGAATACCTCTTTCCAGCCCCTTCTTGCCTGTAAGGTCTCTTTTGAGAAATCCACTGACAGTCTGATGGGAACTCCTTTGTAGGTGACTGACCCTTTATCTCTTGCTGCTTCTAGGATTCTCTCCTTCATTTTAATCTTGGGTAATTATGATGTGCCTTGGTGCGTTCCTCCTTGGGTCCACCTTCTTTGGGACTCTCTGAGCTTCCTGGACTTCCTGGAAGTCTGTTGCCTTTGCCAGATTGGGGAAGTTCTCCTTTATTAGTTGTTCAAATAAGTTTTTCACTTGTTGCTCTTCCTCTTCGCCTCCTAGTACCCCTATAATTCGGATGTTGGAGTGTTTAAAGATGTCCTGGAGGTTCCTAAGCCTCTCCTCATTTTTTCAAATTCTTGTTTCTTCATTCTTTTCTGTTTGGTTGTTTCTTTCTTCCTTCTGGTCCACTCCATTGATTTGAGTCCCCGTTTTCTTTCCATCACTATTGGTTCCTTGTGCATTTTCCTTCATTTCACTTAGTGTAGCCTTCTAATTTGCGACCAAATCCAACCAGTTCTGAGAGCATCCTGATCATCAGTGTTTTGAACTGTGCATCTCTTGGTCACTTAGAAGTATTGACTCTGGGGCTTTGATCTGTTCTGTTTGAGCCATAATGTTTCGGTCTGTTTGCTCCTGTTACGTATGAGGGGTGGAGCCTTAGGTATTCACCAGGGCAGGTCTACCCAGGTCTCTGGGTTGTGGTGCTGTATGTGGGGGCAGAGTCAGAGGGGGGAATGGTGCTTGTTCTGCTCTCTCTTAGATTTTGGTCCCCTCTGCTGCTTGCCACAAGCAAATTGGGCCCTTCTGGTGCTGGTTCCCAGGTGGGTGGGCTTGTGTACATTCAAGGACCCTGTGGGTCTCTCCAACGAACTTTCCTGTGAGGCTGGGAGCCTCTCCCGGCACCTCAACCCCCAAAAGTTTTTTCATTCGGTGCTTTTAGGCTTTATTTCTTGTCATTGGGCCTTGGGTTGCACAGTCTGTGTCACTGCCCTTTTTTTTGCCTGGTTATCTGTGTGCGAATGTGTGTCCTTGGTGAGCCAACTGCCTTTCACACCTTGTTTCCTTCCCGCACCCGGTTCCGCTAACCGGGACCCCTCTCTGCTCGCAGCCAACTCTTACCAGTCTGGGTGAATGGTTTGTTGTTGTTGGACTTTGGTACAGTTCAATTTTCTGTCTGTTCTGGTTGTTTTTTGTTTCTAAATCTTTCTTGTTCTTAAATTTAGTTGTGTGAGGAGGTACAGTGTTTCCACCTACTCCTCCATCTTGGCTGGAAGTCTATGAAGCAGGTTTTATCTGTTTGGAACCTAGTCTTCTCAGGAGCCAGAGAAATAAGCTATTGGAAATTCCATCCGCTGCCCCTCGCCCCTGCCAATTGCCTCTTGAGAATCACCTTCCAGGTTCAGTCACTGGTGCAGTCTCTCCAGGGTCATTCAGGGCTGTGGGAACCAGGAGGTCCTGAGTTTGGATTTTCTTAGCCCAGCCATGCAGAGTTTCATTAACAAACACGGTGGAGCACCCCCGGGGGCGGGGGGCGGGGCACAGCAGCGAACAGCCAGGGCTCCTGCCTGTGGAGAGAGACAGGCACTCAACTGCACAGATGTGTTAGTGGTACCATAGTGACAGTGACAAGCTGGGGAGAAAAGCCAAGGCCAGTAGGTTAGTAGATGGGAAGGATGTGGGAAAGGGCAGGGATGAGGAAGGACGGAAGGAAGGGGAGGACAAGCCACTAAGGTCCTTGGGGACGAGCACTCGGGGTAGAGGGAAGGTGCCTGAATGTCCGTGGACCAAGGAATGTCCTAGAATTGGGGGTGGGGGAGCTGGGAGATGAACGTGTTGGACCTCAAGGCCACCGTGCAGATTTGGCTTTCTCTCTGAGTGAGATGGACATCATGGCGGGAGCATCTCTGACTAATGTGTTAACAGTGCAGAACAGAGAGGAGGGCTGAGGATGCAAGAGGGAGGTGATTTAGGGGACTGCCCTATAATCCCATGAGAGCTGGTGGTGTCTGGAGATGGTAGCGGGGCAGTTGGTGAGGAAAGTCAGCTGCTGCAGGTAGCACCCACGGGACTGCTCCTGGGCCGGGCTGGGGGTCAGAGAGGACTGAGTGTGGCTTTGGGGAGGCAGCCGTGGCCGTGCTGAGGTGGGGAGGCCAGGAGATGGCAGGTGTGGGAGGAGGCCCTGAGCTCGGGTTTGGACTGTTGACTTTGAGACACTGATGAGGCGCCCGAGGAAGATGTGGAAGTCTGGAGGTCATCATGAAGGTGTAGACAGTGGGGGCTCCATCGAGGCACGGATAGAAGCTTGGCCACTTCCCCAGGTCTCAGTGACGGCTGGGCCTCAGGGCCTGGCAGGGACTTAGTAAAGGACTGTTGGCCAGACAGATGTTGCCAATTAGTTTAGTTTTACATCAGACCCACCTTGGGGGCACCGAAAAAACAACAGACATAATGACCACCAAGGGAAAGAAGGGCTTTTCCTAACAGCCTCCCACAATCTCTGTCGCAGCTCCACAACCAGAAGAGACTCCTGCAGCCACCAACCGCCCCCTGGAGCCACGCCTGGGGGTCCTGACAGTGACAGATGTGACACCCACCTCCGTGGGCCTCATGTGGACAGTCCTTGAAGGCCAGTTTGACTCCTTCATGATCCAGTACAAGGACAGGGATGGGCAGCTCCAGGTTGTTCCTGTGGCCACAGACCAGCATGAGGCCACTATCCCGGGCCTGGAACCCGCACACAAATACAGGATGCATGTCTATGGGCTCCACCGCGGGCAGCGTGTGGGCCCCCTGTCTGCAGTGGCTGTGACAGGTGAGTGAGGGTCAGGCAGTCTGTAACCCTGGTTATCCAGAGTCCCCACCCACAATCTCTCCTGCCTTGGTAGCCTCTGCAGGTTTTCCTGGGGTCACAGGCATCTTAGTCTCTTCCCTGACCCCTTGGCTCCTGCCCCCCCCCCACATCTCCACTCCGTCCCTCCGCCGGGCCAGAATGCCTTCCTTTCACCCGACCCAAATCTAGTACTGAGGGTCTCCCTCTCTGACTGGCCACAGTTGTTTCTTCCCTTCTCTTTATAAGCTCCTGTGACCTGGACATGGTTGCCATCTCCCCTGCTGCCCTATTGTGTTGGGGTTAAGTGGCACTCACCCCATGAATCCCTTGTCAGACATGCAGGCGCCTCTGGAAGCTCACTCTCAGCCTCCAGGGCTTCACCGCCTCCTGGTCACGGCCCCCACTGTTGCCTTTCCACAGAGCCTGATGAAAAGCATGGATGCCCTTCAGGGCAATGCTTCTGAATGTAGGAAATAAAATGCATAGCATTACAAGGGAAATCAATTATACTGATATGCAGTTCATCAAAATATTTTTAGATTCAAGCTTAACACAGGACCTTCTTGATTTGTTCATTAAATAACAAGACTCAGTGTCACATTTGGGAGCAGTGGTGAGTGTAACCCATACTGTGAAGTCCCGGCAGTGGCTGAGTTGATGTGGAAACGGAGTCACAGGCACTGCTAATGTACCGTGGCCGGTTCCCTGTATTCATCACTGAAGGGAACACTGCATTTTAGTTAGTGGTCAGTGAAGAATGAAGATGTGACTGTCTCCCATCTGAGTTCGAGGCTCCTGAGGTCCTGGGAGCCCAGAGCCCTGTGGGGAGAGCTGTCTCTCCAGAAATCTCAGCCCTGTTCTTTGTCTTCCTCCCCCCCAGTGCCCCTCCCAGGAGCCCCAGCCACAGAGTTCCCCCAGGAGCCTGGGGGGATGTGTGACACCTGGGGGCACTAACAGTGACAGACGAGACCCCTGACCTGACTCTGTGAGCCTCTAGTGGGTGGTCCCCCAGGGCAGATTTGACTCCTTTGCGGTCCAGTACAAGGACAGGGTCTGGCAGCCCCGGTGGTGTCTGTGGCCACAGACCAGCTGGAGGTCCCTGTCAGTGGCCTGGAGCCCAACAAGGAAGTACAAGTTCCTGCTCTTCGGGATCCAGGAAGGGAAACGACTCAGCCCTGTCTTTGTGGGGGCAGAGACAGGTGAGAGGGACCGCCTGACACTGAGCCTGAGGCCCCTCTTCACGCCGTCCGATCTCCTGTCACACCTGTCAGGCCTTTCCTCTGTTCTCCTGTCTCCCTGGCAAAGCTGCCCAGCCCAAGGCACATGGGAGCCAGGACGGTGGGCCAGACCCGGGTCCGTCCCCCACTGGCTCTCCCTGTCTTCTCTTAATCCCTGCTGCTGTTGAAAGTGGGAAGACCCTTCAGACCCCGTCCTGGAGGGTGAGGCATGGGGAACAGGTACCAGGAAGGGAGAGAAGGGAGCAGAGCCTTTTCTGCCTCCCTGGGCCCTGTGGGTCCTCAGCCCTGTGGCACCATCCCCTCCTCAGAGTTTTGCCATCTACCCTCTGGCTTTTGCCCAGCTCTTACCCTATTGGCTCAGGCTCATCAGGTCCCATATCTTTCCTTCCCTGTCCTCCTATTGGAGCCTTAGAAACCAAGGTCCCCAGGAGCTCAGGGCTGGCTGCCCAGCTGTGGCCCTTTCCTGGTTTTCTGTCCAGGCCCTCTCCTGCCCCAGGGGGGGCTGGGCTGCCTGTTGGCAGAAAACTCCTGCAATAACAGTGCCCTGGGCATCCTTGCTGTCTAGGAAGGCAGTAGGCCAGCTCCTTCCCAGGCGTCAGGATGGCTTTGTGGGCTGACACCGGACTCCTTTCCTTCTGAGCTCCCTGCCTTCTCCCTGACCCCTCACACATAGGCAGCCCCCCTCTACCAGGGCCTGTGAGGGTCACCTCCGTCATAACATCATGCCTTCCCTCCTGCTGTCCGCCCCCATCAGGAAGCTTGTGCCCCAACCTGACTGATGTCCCCAGGACACTTGGATTTCCCCAGAGGCAGTCAAATCACAAAGAGTGGGTTCCTTGGTAAAAGGACACAACATTCCAAGCTGCACCTGCTAGGAAACTAGTTTCTAACTGGTGGGAAGAATCTGGGCAGCCAGAGGAATAAGATAAACTGCAAGCCAGGGAATCTCCTTTCCCAGAGGTGCCCCAGGACAGAAAACCCCTCTTGATTGCTTAAGTGGACAGAGGCACAGGCCAGCTGGGGATGGTGGTGGTACTGGGAGGGTGATAGAAAGATTTGGGGGAAGCACTGATCATTTGGGCGGTTCTGGGTTTTTTCAACGCCAGCAAGAGGCAGTAAAGGAGACATTTTGAAAGATAAACATGAGAACTATTCCTCTCTGTCAGCTGCCCAAGGTGATGCCAGCCCAGGGGCGCCACCCCGCCTCGGGGAGCTGTGGGTGACAGACCCCACCTCGGACTCACTGCACCTCTCCTGGACGGTCCCCGAGGGCCACTTCGACTCCTTTGTGGTCCAGTTCAAGGACAGGGATGGGCCCCGGATAGTGCCCGTGGTGGGTCACGAACGTTCAGTCACCATCACCCCTCTGGACAGTGGCCGCAAGTACAGATTCCTCCTCTATGGCCTCCTGGGCAAGAAACGCCACGGCCCCCTTACTGCTGATGGCACCACAGGTGAGGGCCTCCCCTGCAGGGGCTTCCTCTGTTCCCAGAGGCCCTGGGGAAGGTGTCTGGCACTCTGCCAGGCCAGGGCTATGGGTGGTCTTTTGTGCTGGCTGCCATCACAGTTATCTGGTTCCAGCCCCTCGGGCTGGGACCCAGTTCCCCCTTTCCTTGCCTAAGCCCACAGCACCAGCCCTTTGGGATTCACACATCAAAGCCCAGGCTGCAGACCTCCTGCTCCTGCCCTTCAGAGTCACCCAAACTTCCAGAAACATCTCAGCCATTTCCTCTATGTCTACATCTCAGAGACCCAGCACGCTGTGGATGATGCTAGAACAAAGCGTCCCTCAAAACCCCATCTGGGAGAGGAGCTACAGGTGACCAGCGTGACACTGGACTCCGTGGGCCTTGCGTGGACGGTCCCCGAGGGCCACTTTGACTCCTTCGTGATCCAGTACAAGGACAAGGATGGGCAGCCCCAGGTGGTGCCCGTGGAGGGCAGCCGCAGGGAGGTCAGGATCGCGGGCCTGGACCCCTCCCACAGGTACAAGCTGCTGCTCTACGGGCTGTATCAGGGCCGGCGCGTGGGGCCCGTTGCTGCCGTCGCCGTGACCGGTGAGTGCGGCCGTGGCCAGAACAGATGTTCCCCCTTCCTGCCAGGCTTTCCTGGCCTCACCCAGCCATGCCATTTCTGAGCTCCCTATATTCCTTTTAGAGAAAGGGATTAGCTATATGGAGGTACAATTTATGTACAATAAAATTCACCCATTTAAAGGGAATAATTCAATGTCACAAAATCATTATCTCAACTGAGCTGTAAAACATTTCCCTGGGCCCAAAAGTTCACTGTGTCCCTCTCAGTCAGTTCCCCTAGATCAGGGGTATCGAACTCATTTTCACCAGGGCCACATCAGCCTTATGGTTGCCTTCAAAGGGCTGACTGTAATTTTAGGACCATATAAATATCACTACACCTTAACTAGGGGCAAGGAGCTCAGCATTGCTGCCAGGTAGAAACGAGATGCCAGGCTGGATAAAACAGGGTGGAGGCTGCATTCGGCCCTTGGGCCTTGTGTTTGCCGCCTGTGCCCTAGTGCCAGCCTCTGGCACTGTGGATTGCTTTCCATCAGGATCATTTTGACTTTGGAAGCCTTTCATTGCAGAATCACACAGTACATAGTCTTTTGGGTTTGGCTTCTTGCACTTAGCATCATGCTTTTGAAATTCCCCCCTGTGTATCAATAGTTGGCTCCCTTTATCACTGACCACTTGCCTTCAGTTCCTGCCCTCCCCTTGGAGAGACCTAGTGCAGCAACAAGTCCATCACCCGGCTCTACCTGTCTTTCTGCACCAGACCCCAGGGAGGAAACTGGACCTGAGACCATGGCCCCAAACCCTCCTGAGTCTGAGCCGCAACTCGGGGAGCTGACTATGGACGAAGCCACCGCACACAGCCTACACCTCTCCTGGACAGTCACTGAGGGAGAATTTGACTCCTTTGAGGTCCAGTACATTGACAAGGATGGGAAACTCCAAGTTGTCAGTTTAGGGGGCAACCAGAATAACATCACCCTCTCTGGACTGGAATCTAACCACAGGTACCTGGTAAATGTGTACGGTTTCCATGGCCGGCAGCGTCTGGGTCCCATCCAGGTGGAATCTCTGACAGGTGAGCAAGAAGAACTCTGCCCACCCTGCTTCCTTACAGACAGCATGAGAGCCCAGGGGACAGCAGAGTCCTCGTGCACGCCTCCCCTCACTCAGGTCCTTCTCTCTCTCCCTGTCTCTGTTTAGTTCCAAGGAAAGACGAGAATGAACTGTCAGAACCTTCCACCATGAGCCCCAAGTCTCCCATTAAGCCCGTGCTGGGGGAGCTGACTGTGACGGATGCCACCCAGGACTCCCTGCACCTGTCCTGGACCATCCCCGAGGGCCAGTTCGACCACTTCCTGGTCCAGTACAAGAACGGGGATGGGCAGCCCAAGGCAGTGCGGGTGCCAGGACACGAGGACGGGGTCACCATCTCTGGCCTGGAGCCAGACCACAAGTACAAGATGAACCTGTATGGCTTCCACAATGGCCAGCGCCAGGGCCCCATCTCTGCCATTGGGGTGACGGGTGAGTGGACAGTGGGCGCCCGCAGGGGGATCACACTGCACAATGGGTGAGTGGGGTGCAGGGGGCCCCTCTGCTGGAGGCTGAGCCATGGTGCCCTGGGGGCCTCCCCTGGGCTCCCTGAGGACCAGAGGGTCCCCTGGACAGAGGAAGGCCTGTGTGAGCTGTGCTGGTGGCTGCCCTGCTTGCCCAGAGCTGACCCTGAGGGTCTGGGCATGTTTGTGAGGTTGGGCTGAGCAGGACCCCCCAGCCCCCAGCAGAGGAGGGACTTCTCTGCAGTGAGCTCAGGGTCCAGTGGTGACCCCAGCTTGGGAGAAGACTGAGGACATCTCCACGGACCCTGCCTCACCCTCCCTGTGTCTGTCCTTCTCAGCTGCTGAGGAAGAGACCCCCAGCCCCACAGAAGCCAGCACAGAGGCCCCAGCGCCCCCCGAGGAGCCCCTGCTGGGGGAGCTGACAGTGACAGACTCCTCCCCAGACTCGCTGAGCCTCTCCTGGACCCTCCCCCAGGGCCACTTCGACTCCTTCACCATCCAGTACAAGGACAGGGATGGGCGGCCCCAGGTGGTGCGTGTTGGGGGTGAGGAGAGCGAGGTCACCGTGCGGGGCCTGGAGCCGGGGCGCAAGTACAAGATGCACCTGTATGGGCTGCACGGGGGACAGCGTGTGGGCCCCGTGTCCACTGTGGGCCTGACAGGTGAGTGGGGACTGAAGGGCCTCCAGGGTTGGGCTCAGGAAAGGTCTCAGCAGTGGAGCCTCCAGAGTCCTCTCCAGTGCAGATAGTCAAGTGCCGTCCCCTGACCCCTGCACTGCCTGTTGGACAGACAAGGACCGTGACGGTCCGGGGGCAGGATTGTCAGGAAAGCGCCTGGCCGTCTGAGAGGCCCCTGGGTACTGAGCCCTCCAAGGCAATAACGCCCTGGCCCACTGCAGCTCTCTGCCTTGCCTGGGAACTCTGGAAAGAACTCAGTTGGGGGGGCTGGGACACATATCACCTGCTTCTTCCAGATACCAACTCCTGCCCAGTCAGCTCGCCCTTTTCTCCATCTCTGCCTGCCCTCTCCATAGAATGCTTCCCTATTACCAAGTCTATTGACATAGTTCACATACGAGAAAAGTCACCCGTTTCAGTATACGACTGAATCGATTTTTAGTATATTTATAGAGTGTGCATGCTCCACCACTCTCTTGTTCTTGAACTTTTCTTCCACCCCAAGAAGAGTCCCCGTGTGTAGACCCTTCTGACTCCCATCCCTGGGCCGCCCTGATCTGTGCTCTGTGCCTAGCCCTGCCCTGTCCAAGCCAACCGCACAGACGGGACCACGCAGCTCATGCTCCCTTGTGCCTGGCTCCTTCACCGAGCGTGCTTTGAGGTCCACGCATGTGGTAGCATCAAGCGGTACTTTATTTCTTTGTACAGCCAGATAGTATTCCTTATAGGGTAGACCACTGAAGTGTTTTTGCATTCATCTCAGACAGGGTACTTCATCACTAAATATTTATAGTCCTCTCTTTAAAAAGGCTATTCAGGGACTTCCAAATCCCAACAACCAAGGAGTTAAAGAAGAATCATTCATTCAGACCAGTAGGAGGGGTGGAGACAGGCAGCCGGGCAGAGAGGACTCGTGGCAAGGCAGCAGATTGCAGATTGGGCAGTCCCACATTCATGTGCAGATAAACCGGGAGGAATAACTGGGGAGTGGAACACACCAAGCAACCCAGGGTTCTTTTTGGGGAAATAAAACCTCAGACCTTTGATTGAACACTCCGGTAGGGGTTGAGGCAGCAGGAGAAACTCCCAGCCTCACAGGAGAGTTTGTTGGAGAGACACACAGGGTCCTAGAATGCACACAAACCCACCCACCCAAGAATCAGCACCAGAAGGGCCCAATTTGCTTGTGGGTATCAGGGGAAGTGATTGAAAACTGACAGAGAGTGGAACAAGCAGCACTGTTCCCTCTTGGATTCCTCCCCCACATATAGCATCAAAAAGCAGCCACGTTGGTTGCCCCGCCCTGGTGAACACCTAAGGCTGCCCGTACTATGTAACAGGTGTGCCAAGACAAAAAAAAAAAAAAAAAAAAAAGGCCCAAATGAAAGAACAGATGAAAGCTCCAGAAAAAATACAACCAAGCAACAAAGAGATCGCCAACCTATCAAATGTAGAGTTCAAAACACTGGTAATCCGGATGCTCACAGAAATGGTTGAGTATGGTCACAAATTAGATGAAAAAATAAAGGCTATGCTAAATGAAATAAAGAAAAATGTGCAGGGAACCAACAGTGACAGGAAGGAAACCAGGGCTCAAAGCAACAGTGTGGACCAGAAGTAAGAAAGAAACATTCAACCAGAACAAAATGAAGAAACAAGAATTTTTTTAAAAATGAGAAGAGGCTTAGGAACTTCCAGGACATCTTTAAACATTCCAACATCTGAATCATAGGGGCAAGAAGGTGAAGCAGAAGAGCAAGAAATTGAGAACTTATTTGAACAAATAATAAAGGAGAACTTCCTCAATCTGGCAAAGGAAATAGACGTCCAGGAAGTCCAGAAAACTCAGAGTCCCAAAGAAGTTGGACCCAAGGAGGAACACACCAAGGCACATCATCATTACATTAGCCAAGATTAAAATGAAGGAGAGAATCCTAGAAGCAGCAAGAGAAAAGGAGAGAGTTACCTACAAAGGAGTTCCCATCAGACTGTCAGCTGATTTCTCAAAAGAGACCTTACAGGCAAGAAGGGGCTGGAAGGAAGTATTCCAAGTCATGAAAAACAAGGACCTACATTCAAGATTGCTCTATCCAGCAAAACTTTCATTTAGAATGGAAGGGCAGAAAAAGTGCTTCTCAGATAAGGTCAAGTTAAAGGAGTTCATCATCACCAAGCCCTTACTATATGAAATCTTGAAGGGCCTTATCTAAGAAAAAGAAGATGAAAAACATGAACAGTGAAAGGACAGCAAACTCACAGTTATTAACAACCACACCTAAAACAAAAGCAAACTAAGCAAACAACTAGAACAGGAACAGAACCACAGAAATGGAGATCACATGGAGGGTTAGCAACAGGGGAGTGAGAGGAAGAGAGAAGGGGAAAGGTACAGAGAATAAGTAGCATAGACAGTAGGTAGAAAATAGGGGGTAGGGCAAGACTAGTATGGGAAATGTAGAAGCCAATGAACTTATATGTATGACCCATGAACATGAGCTAAAGGGGGGAATGCAAGTGTGAGGGGGTGTGCAGGGTGGAGGGGAATAAAGGGAAAATGGGATAACAATTAATAAAATGCATTTTTTAAAAGGCTATTTAAAAATAACCACATGATAATTATTGTACCTCAAGAATGAACAGTCATTCCTTAATGTCCTCAAGTAAGCAGGGAGTGCTACAGTTTTCTGGTGGCTTCATAATTGTTGTTTTCCAATTTGTTGCTGCAGTTTGTTCTAAACAAAGAGGGTAGGTTGTAACTGGGAGGACTGGGACTTTAAATAGGTAGTGGGGGCAAGGTCCCACCGGGGGAGCAGCATTTGAAAGGACTTAAAGGAAGCATGGGCGTGAGCCATGCAGACATCTGGGGAAAGAGCACGAGGGCAGAGGAAGAGGCAAAGGCTCTAAGGCAGGAGGCTGGCCAGGTAGACACACTGCAAGGAGGCCACAGAAAGACTTTGATGGTCATAACCAGAAGTGGATTTTAGGTTAGTGGCAGAGCTGAAGAAGCCAGGAGAAGCTGGGGTCTCAGCAACTCTTCTAGTAACAGGAAAGCTTCTGTCTGCATCTTTTCCCAGCCCCCCGAAGTAGAACAGGGAGCCAGCCCTACTTTGAAGCCGAGCCTGGGGGAGCTGACTGTGACGGATGCCACCCAGGACTCCCTGCGCCTGTCCTGGACCATCCCCGAGGGCCAGTTCGACCACTTCCTGGTCCAGTATAAGAACGGGGATGGGCAGCCCAAGGCAGTGCGGGTGCCAGGACACGAGGACGGGGTCACCATCTCTGGCCTGGAGCCAGACCACAAGTACAAGATGAACCTGTATGGCTTCCACAATGGCCAGCGCCAGGGCCCCATCTCTGCCATTGGGGTGACGGGTGAGTGGACAGTGGGCGCCCGCAGGGGGATCACACTGCACAATGGGTGAGTGGGGTGCAGGGGGCCCCTCTGCTGGAGGCTGAGCCATGGTGCCCTGGGGGCCTCCCCTGGGCTCCCTGAGGACCAGCGGGTCCCCTGGACAGAGGAAGGCCTGTGTGAGCTGTGCTGGTGGCTGCCCTGCTTGCCCAGAGCTGACCCTGAGGGTCTGGGCATGTTTGTGAGGTTGGGCTGAGCAGGACCCCCCAGCCCCCAGCAGAGGAGGGACTTCTCTGCAGTGAGCTCAGGGTCCAGTGGTGACCCCAGCTTGGGAGAAGACTGAGGACATCTCCACGGACCCTGCCTCACCCTCCCTGTGTCTGTCCTTCTCAGCTGCTGAGGAAGAGACCCCCAGCCCCACAGAAGCCAGCACAGAGGCCCCAGCGCCCCCCGAGGAGCCCCTGCTGGGGGAGCTGACAGTGACAGACTCCTCCCCAGACTCGCTGAGCCTCTCCTGGACCCTCCCCCAGGGCCGCTTCGACTCCTTCACCATCCAGTACAAGGACAGGGATGGGCGGCCCCAGGTGGTGCGTGTTGGGGGTGAGGAGAGCGAGGTCACTGTGCGGGGCCTGGAGCCGGGGCGCAAGTACAAGATGCACCTGTATGGGCTGCACGGGGGACAGCGTGTGGGCCCCGTGTCCACTGTGGGCCTGACAGGTGAGTGAGGGGGTACTTGGGGCATCTCAAGGGAGAACTACTTTTTTCTCATGGACAGTAGCCTCGCTGAGTGCTCTGCTATTTCACCAGCCCCTGAAGGTCCTGACTTAGCTCCCCTTTCATGCCCCCCTTTCATGCCCCCCTTTCATGCCCCCGTGTGGCTCATGGCTGGTGGCCTGGCCCTGCCAGCCTGCAGCGTCATCATCCCGTGCAGCGGGGACTCCTCCTGATGCTCAGCCATCTTCGCAGGTGAAATGTGTCAGGCACACTTACCAGAATTTTTTTTAGATTTTTATTTATTTTTTAGAGAGAGAGGAAGGGAGGGAGAAAAAGGGAGAGAAACATCAATGTTTGGTTGCCTCTCGCACACCCCCTATTGGAGAACTGGCCCACAACCACAGCATGTGCCCTGGACTGGGAATCGAACCAATGACGCTTTGGTTCACAGGCTTGCCCTCAATTCACTGAGCCACACCAGCCATGGCGATACCAGAATTTTTTTTTTCAACTTAATTACAGCATTCTTTGTTATAACAAAAAACAAAAACAAAAAGAGGAGAAGGAAGAAAGAACCCAATATCCAGCCGAATTGGGCTGGTTAAATAGTTTGACACCATCTATAAGAACAATTATAGCCCTGGCTGGTGTAGCTCAGTGGATTGAGCGCAGGCCTGTGAATCAGAGGATCACAGTTCGATTCCCAGTCAGGGCACATGCCTGGGTTGCAGGCCAGTTCCCAGCAGGGGACTCACAAGAGGCAACCATACATTGATGTTTCTCTCCTTCTCTCCCCCTCTGAAGATAAATAAATAAAATCTTTAAAAAAAAAGAAGAATTATGTCATCATTGAAATGTAAGACAATTAATTTAAAATATTACATTGAGAAAAGAAGCCACAATTTACATAAAAGTGTCAACCACAACCACTTGAAAATGACATGTGTGGGAAGGACACTGGGAGGAAACATGTCCCACAAGATGTATGTTTGTAGGATAGAATAGAATGTTCCAGAACTTCCCCCCTCTTTTATTCTATTCCATGGATCCACATTTTCTTAAATTACATGCATTTCTTTTATAATCAGGGAAAAAATTTTAAAGATGATGTCTTATGTGTTGTACTGCTTGTCTTTTACCCCAGTTACTCCTGTGATTTATTTCATTTCTAATTATGCAAAAGACAATTTCTAGTCCCTAAGAAATAAGGGGGAAAAATCACAAGGTGAATTCAGTCCCAACTGTGCAGTCAGGCCGGCTTTTCAAAGTCATTGCCAGCCAGATTGTTGTGTCTGGTGGGAGAGCGTCAGGAGAGTTGCTCTGCACGGAGCCTGTGAGACGGATGGAGCCTTCGGAGGGCAGGTCGCTGCCTAGGTGACGCCCAGCGAGCCGCTCTGTGGCACCCCCTCTCCTCTCCTGAGGACACTGCGCACAGAGGAGCCATTCACTCAGCCCTCCTGACTCCCGGGCAAAGGGCCTCATCTATACCTGTGTTCACAGGAGTGTTCGGGAGGGGAGAATAGGGCTTCAGTAGAAAATGGACATCAGGGGACTTCCGCCAAGATGGAGGCATAGGTGGATGTGCCGTGCCTTCTCACACAACCAAGTTGAGAGACAACTAAATATTAGCAATAGAAAACACAGCCAGAACACGGAAAATTGAACTTTTCGGAAGTCCGTTAACAACAAATTCTTCAGCCTGACCGGTAAGGGGCGAAACCAGCAGCTGGTGAAGCGGCGGTTGCACAGGAGGACTCGGTCAGCCGGACTCAGGCGCGGAATCCAGACACGCGGAATCCAGGCATAGGGTTGGACCTAATGAGCGACCGAGCGAGCGACCAAGCGAGCGACTGTGGGGGAGACAGCGGGGGTGCGGTGCTGCGTGTTGACTGTGGTCGTGCATTTGTGCTCGGGCGGACAGGCGAGGGAGTGGGCGGTTGGACCGGGGCCGCGCGGGTCCCGCAGCAAGCGGCAGTGGAGGGTGCCGCCATTTCCCTGCTCTGACCACGCCCCCACATACAGCGTCATAACCCAGCGACTCTGAGTGGCCCGGCCCAGGTGAACCACCTAAGGCGCTGATCCTCACCCAGCTGTAAAAAACAGCAGAGGGTGCCGCCATTTTCCCGCTCTGACCACGCCCCCACATACAGTGTCACAACCCAGCAACCTGGGAGTCCAAGGCGCCGCTTCTCACACTTAAAAGGCCCGAACAGACCAAAAATGGCGCAAGAAGATCTCAAAGCCCCAGAGCCCATAGATCTAAGCGATGAAGAAATAGCAAAACTCTCAGACGCACGGTTTAAAACACTGGTCATCAGGATCCTCACAGAACTGGTTGATTATAGCCACAAATTAGACAAATATATGTAGGCAAAACTAATTGAAATGAATGGAATTGCACAGGACACCAATAGCAATGAAAAGGAAACTGGGTCTCAAATCAATGGAGTGGACCAGAAGAAAGCAAATAATGGTCAAACAGAAAAGAGTCAAGAAGCAAGAATTCAAAGAAATGAGGAGAGTCTTAGGAACCTCCAGGACATCTTTAAACGCTCTAACATCCGAATTATAGGGGTACCAGAAGGGGGAAAGGCACAGCCACCAGTGGAAAACTTATTTGAACAAATAATAAAGGAGAATTTCCCCAATCTAGCAAAGGAAATAGACTTCCAGGAAATCCAGGAAGCTCAGAGAGTACCAAAGAAGTTGGACCCAAGGAGGAACACACCAAGGCACATCATCATTACATTAGCCAAAATTAAAATGAAGGAGAGAATCCTAGAAGCAGCAAGAGCTAAGGGGACAGTCACCTACAAAGGAGTCCCCATCAGACTGTCAGCGGATTTCTCAAAAGAGACCTTCCAGGCAAGAAGGGGCTGGAAAGAGGTATTCCAAGTCATGAAATCCAAAGACCTACATCCAAGATTGCTCCATTCAGCAAAGCTTTCATTTAGAATGGAAGGACAGATAAGGTGCTTCTCAGATAAGATCAAATTCAAGGAGTTCATCATCACCAAGCCTTTATTATATGAAATGTTAAAGGGACTTATCTAAGAAAAAGAAGTTAAAGAAACATGAACAGTGAAAGGACAACAAACTCACAGTTATTAACAACCACACCTAAAACAAAAGCAAACTAAAAGGACAGCTAGATCAGGAGTGGAAACATAGAAATGAAGATCTCAAGGAGGGTTAGCAACAGGGGAGTGGGAGGAGGAGAAGGGGGGAGAAGGTACAGAAAATAAGTAGCATAGACAGTAGATAGAAAATAGAAGGGGGGGGGCAAGAATAGCATGGGAAATATAGAATCTAAAGGACTTGAGACACATGGTCATAAACTAAAGGGGGGGTAATGGTGGGGATGGGGGGTAGGGTGGAGGGGAATGAAAGGGGGAATAGAACAACTGTAACAGCATAATCAATAAAAAAGAAAAAAGAAAAAGAAAAAAATAAATCTGTGTAAATTAAAAAAAAAAAAAGAAAATGGACATGAGAACAGTCCACACTCCGAAGGTAAGCTTTTAATTCTCATTCACTGCTCAGGTTTTTTACTTCTTAACAAGGTGAATCCCAAACATGTATGAAGTAGAGCAAACCCATGTCACCACCCACATTTTCCGTCAGGTTGTGGATATTGATAATCCAGGATGTCTCTTGAAGTCTGTACTTTTCTAGCGAAAAGAATACAGCAACATGATGGACAGTGTGCGAACGAAGAAAACACCTCCTGTCAGACCACCTTCTGACTCAATAATCACCATTCATAACAATGTGCATAACATCCTCTCTGCATTTTCAGACGTTGCAGAGAAATCTAATTCTTGACTTGGACTGTCCCTTATACCCAGCGGACTGTGTGCATTTCTCATTGGCTACACAACCCGCATTAATCACCACCTCGATGGTTATTTGATGCTTTGTGGCAAAAGTGCCACAGCAAACCCGATCGCCTCCTGTGGGCCTCTGTGTACCTCGACGTACGTCGCCGTCATAAACAAGCCCACCATGCATTCCTGTGACACAGCTTTTTCCTGATTTGTGATCATTTCCTTTGGCTGCCTGCCTGGAAATGAGATTATCGGGTCAAAGCACATGAGCATTATTTTGGCGGCTCACGTGTCCAAACTGCCTTCTGCAGGTTTATGCCACCAGGCGGGCACATGACAGGGGTTTGGGAGCCTGTCCCAGCTCCCTGCACCAAGGACACTATGCCAGTGACAAGGGCTACAGCTTGAACAGTATTTCAGTGGGATGGAATTTGTCGCCACCATAGACATCACCATAAAAGTAACTCCCCACTTAAGCCTCTCCCCCAATCTCTTTACTTAGCTCCCCAGATGGATGAGGATGAGACCCCCAGCGTCACAGAACCCAGCACGGAGGCACCAGCGACCCCCAAGGAGCCCTTCCTCGGGCAGCTGACAGTGACAGGATCCTCCCAGGACTCCCTGCGCCTGTCCTGGACCATCCCCGAGGGCCAGTTCGACCACTTCCTGGTCCAGTACAAGAACGGGGATGGGCAGCCCAAGGCAGTGCGGGTGCCAGGACACGAGGACGGGGTCACCATCTCTGGCCTGGAGCCAGACCACAAGTACAAGATGAACCTGTATGGCTTCCACAATGGCCAGCGCCAGGGCCCCATCTCTGCCATTGGGGTGACGGGTGAGTGGACAGTGGGCGCCCCGGAGCAGGAGCCTGCAGGGGGATCACACTGCACAATGGGTGGGTGGGGTGCAGGGGGCCCCTCTGCTGGAGGCTGAGCCATGGTGCCCTGGGGGCCTCCCCTGGGCTCCCTGAGGACCAGAGGGTCCCCTGGGCAGAGGAAGGCCTGTGTGAGCTGTGCTGGTGGCTGCCCTGCTTGCCCAGAGCTGACCCTGAGGGTCTGGGCATGTTTGTGAGGTTGAGCTGAGCAGGACCCCCCAGCCCCCAGGAGGGACTTCTCTGCAGTGAGCTTAGGGTCCAGTGGTGACCCCAGCTTGGGAGAAGACTGAGGACATCTCCACGGACCCTGCCTCACCCTCCCTGTGTCTGTCCTTCTCAGCTGCTGAGGAAGAGACCCCCAGCCCCACAGAAGCCAGCACAGAGGCCCCAGCGCCCCCCAGGAGCCCCTGCTGGGGGAGCTGACAGTGACAGACTCCTCCCCAGACTCGCTGAGCCTCTCCTGGACCCTCCCCCAGGGCCACTTTGACTCCTTCACCATCCAGTACAAGGACAGGGGATGGGCGGCCCCAGGTGGTGCGTGTTGGGGGTGAGGAGAGCGAGGTCACCGTGCGGGGCCTGGAGCCGGGGCGCAAGTACAAGATGCACCTGTATGGGCTGCACAGGGGACAGCGTGTGGGCCCCGTGTCCACCGTGGGCCTGACAGGTGAGCGGGGGCTGAAGGGCCTCCAGGGTTGGGCTCAGGAAAGGTCTCAGCAGTGGAGCCTCCAGAGTCCTCTCCAGTGCAGATAGTCAAGTGCCATCCCCTGACCCCTGCACTGCCTGTTGGACAGACGAGGACCGTGACGGTCCGGGGGCAGGATTGTCAGGAAAGCGCCTGGCCGTCTGAGAGGCCCCTGGGTACTGAGCCCTCCAAGGCAATAACGCCCTGGCCCACTGCAGCTCTCTGCCTTGCCTGGGAACTCTGGAAAGAACTCAGTTGGGGGGGCTGGGACACATATCACCTGCTTCTTCCAGATACCAACTCCTGCCCAGTCACCTCGCCCTTTTCTCCATCTCTGCCTGCCCTCTCCATAGAATGCTTCCCTATTACCAAGTCTATTGACATAGTTCACATACGAGAAAAGTCACCCGTTTCAGTATACGACTGAATCGATTTTTAGTATATTTATAGAGTGTGCATGCTCCACCACTCTCTTGTTCTTGAACTTTTCTTCCACCCCAAGAAGAGTCCCCGTGTGTAGACCCTTCTGACTCCCATCCCTGGGCCGCCCTGATCTGTGCTCTGTGCCTAGCCCTGCCCTGTCCAAGCCAACCGCACAGACGGGACCACGCAGCTCATGCTCCCTTGTGCCTGGCTCCTTCGCAGAGCGTGCTTTGAGGTCCACGCATGTGGTAGCATCAAGCGGTACTTTATTTCTTTGTACAGCCAGATAGTATTCCTTATAGGGTAGACCGCTGAAGTGTTTTTGCATTCATCTCAGACAAGGTACTTCATCACTGAATATTTATAGTCCTCTCTTTAAAAAGGCTATTTAAAAATAACCACATGATAATTATTGTACCTCAAGAATGAACAGTCATTCCTTAATGTCCTCAAGTAAGCAGGGAGTGCTACAGTTTTCTGGTGGCTTCATAATTGTTGTTTTCCAATTTGTTGCTGCAGTTTGTTCTAAACAAAGAGGGTAGGTTGTAACTGGGAGGACTGGGACTTTAAATAGGTAGTGGGGGCAAGGTCCCACCGGGGAGCAGCATTTGAAAGGACTTAAAGGAAGCATGGGCGTGAGCCATGCAGACATCTGGGGAAAGAGCACGAGGGCAGAGGAAGAGGCAAAGGCTCTAAGGCAGGAGGCTGGCCAGGTAGACACACTGCAAGGAGGCCACAGAAAGACTTTGATGGTCATAACCGGAAGTGGATTTTAGGTTAGTGGCAGAGCTGAAGAAGCCAGGAGAAGCTGGGGTCTCAGCAACTCTTCTAGTAACAGGAAAGCTTCTGTCTGCATCTTTTCCCAGCCCCCGAAGTAGAACAGGGAGCCAGCCCTACTTTGAAGCCGAGCCTGGGGGAGCTGACTGTGACGGATGCCACCCAGGACTCCCTGCGCCTGTCCTGGACCACCCCCGAGGGCCAGTTCGACCACTTCCTGGTCCAGTACAAGAACGGGGATGGGCAGCCCAAGGCAGTGCAGGTGCCAGGACACGAGGACGGGGTCACCATCTCTGGCCTGGAGCCAGACCACAAGTACAAGATGAACCTGTATGGCTTCCACAATGGCCAGCGCCAGGGCCCCATCTCTGCCCTTGGGGTGACAGGTGAGTGGACAGTGGGCACCCCGGAGCAGGAGCCCGCAGGGGGATCACACTGCACAATGGGTGGGTGGGGTGCAGGGGGCCCCTCTGCTGGAGGCTGAGCCATGGTGCCCTGGGGCCTCCCCTGGGCTCCCTGAGGACCAGAGGGTCCCCTGGGCAGAGGAAGGCCTGTGTGAGCTGTGCTGGTGGCTGCCCTGCTTGCCCAGAGCTGACCCTGAGGGTCTGTGCATGTTTGTGAGGTTGAGCTGAGCAGGACCCCCCAGCCCCCAGCAGAGGAGGGACTTCTCTGCAGTGAGCTCAGGGTCCAGTGGTGACCCCAGCTTGGGAGAAGACTGAGGACATCTCCACGGACCCTGCCTCACCCTCCCTGTGTCTGTCCTTCTCAGCTGCTGAGGAAGAGACCCCCAGCCCCACAGAAGCCAGCACAGAGGCCCCAGAGCCCCCGAGGAGCCCCTGCTGGGGGAGCTGACAGTGACAGACTCCTCCCCAGACTCGCTGAGCCTCTCCTGGACCCTCCCCCAGGGCCGCTTCGACTCCTTCACCATCCAGTACAAGGACAGGGATGGGCGGCCCCAGGTGGTGCGTGTTGGGGGTGAGGAGAGCGAGGTCACCGTGCGGGGCCTGGAGCCGGGACGCAAGTACAAGATGCACCTGTATGGGCTGCACGGGGGACAGCGTGTGGGCCCCGTGTCCACCGTGGGCCTGACAGGTGAGTGGGGATGGACAGGGTTTTGTTCTGCTCCTTTCTGCCTTTCCCCTTGAGGGTCAGCACTTCTTTCACACAGGCCATACCCCTGGTCTTTTCCACAGGGCAACAGGGTCTCACCTGATCCCTGAATGAGTGAGGACTGGTGGGGACACTTTCAGGGGCAGTTGGGCATGGATCCTGTACCTCATTCATCTAGCTTTGTCCTTACTTCACCATACCGACCTCTAACTTGCTTTCTCCGCCTCCCTGACTGGGCCATTCAGTAGCTCAAATGTGGATGTGGATTCTGGGTCTCTGGGTTTATGTCCTGTTCTGAACATGTTGCTCGTTTATTATGCACATGTGTCCCAACCCCTGCAGCCAGGCCCACAGTCCCCCACCTGCCCTTCCCCGGGAGTTGGGGGATGAATGTAAGGCACCTACCGCACCTGTTGTGTGGGTGTTTATATACACAAACCCTGGGTCCAGGTACACCGTACAGCAATTAGCTTGAATGTTCCCCCTCTAGAACAGGGTCCTGCCATTGAGCCCTGAGGCTCTGCTGCTCTGTTCCAGCCTCCCTGCCCACAGAGCCCCTGTGGCACCTTGCCTGGAGGTGCTGGCTGTGGCAGCCGTTACCTCCAGCGCAGCGCCCCTGTCCTGGACAGTGACCCAGTGCCTTTTTGACTCCTTCCTGCTCCAGTACAGGGATGTTCAGGGGCAGCCCCAGGCAGTGCTCAAGGGGAAGTCATCATCTCCAGTCTGACCCCTGTTCGAATCCAAGTTCGAATTCCTACTCTTTGGTCTGCAGGATGCAAAAAGGCAGCGTCCTTTCTCTGCAGATGCAAAGACCCTTGAGGAAGGTCCACAGACCACCTTTGCTCCTGGAGCCTTTTGATCATTTTTCGCCCCCTTGTGGTAACAGGAGGAACATCACCTTTTGTGCTCCACACTCCAGACCTCAGGAACTCCAGACCCATACCTTTACTGGGCCAGTGAAACTCAGTCCTGCACTCCCCCTTACCCCTCATCCTGTCCTCCTCTTTGCTCCTCCTATCCCCAAGGGCCCCTCTTTCTTCCCTTGCTCCTGTTTTGTCCCCACACCTCTGCTTCCCCCTTCCTGACACATGGCCCTGAGGATTTCTGTCATTCTCCATGTACCTCTCTTTTTTCCAGTCCCAGACACAAAACCTCCTCACCTGGGGGAGCTGACAGTGACAAATGTGACCCCCGACTCCATGGGCCTCTCGTGGGTGGTCCCCCAGGGCAAATTTGACTCCTTTGTGGTCCAGGACAAGGATAGGGATGGGAAGTCCCAGGTGGTGCCTGTGGCTGCGGACCAGCTGGAGGGCCCTGTCAGTGGCCTGGAGCCCAGCAGGAAGTACAAATTCCTGCTCTATGGGCCGCAGGCAGGAAGCAGCTGGGCCCATGTCTGCTGAGGGCACCACAGGTAAGCTCCATCCCTGCCCCGACCCTTCTCAGAGCTGCCTCTTATCTGAGCCCCGAGCTGGGCCTGAGCCCATCCCATGAAGCTTATTCTTCTCCTTCAGCCTGACAACAACCCGAGCGTCCGGAGCAAATATGTATTGAGTCCCTACCGCATGCCGGGCACTCTTCTGAGCAGTAACACACATTCTCTTTTCCACTCGCTGAGTGGTGTGGCAATAAAAACAACCCAGGCTCCGGAGCCATGCAGGCCCGTGTGCAAGCCAGTGCTGCAGCCTGGGCCAGCTGTGCCCCTTTGGACCGCAGTCTGCATGGTGATTGTGAATGACACATACTGGCGCTCCATGCACGTTCATACCCTCATCCCTTGGTCCCAACTCTGTAACAGGAGGCAGAAAGTATGGAGAGTTCAGCTGCAAAAAGGTGATGGGGAAATCGGTGTCATTGTGCCTGTGACTCAGCCCCCGCCCCCCAGGAGGGGGCAGGGGTCAGTCACTGACACTCGCCCCACCCCCAGGGCCACAAGCCACCCTGGCCAGACATTTGGCACAGGCCATCTGGGGCCAGGGGCCCTCAGACTCCACAGTTCTCTTCCCTGAACCCTCATTACAGTGATGGGACACAGTCTTCCCCAAACCCCACCAGTCAGCACCCACCCTCGGCGGGTTTCTTCCATACTCTGCCCCCAGCTTCTCCCCCTGCCCCTCCTCACCCAGCTTCAAGGTCCCGGGATTAGGGCAGGGCTGGGGAAGTGGGTGGAAGGAGGGCCCAGGCTGACAGAGAGCAAGGAGGGGGTGTGCCAGGTGCTGGCACCTGTGAGTTCTGCTGACTGCTGGGCCTGGCCTCACTGTCAGAACCCAGACACCCTCTGGAGTCTCTCAGCTCTGGCCACATCTCTGCTCAGGGGCCTGGGGTTAGTGGGGAAACTGACACCCTTCTCAGCAGCCCCAGTCACCACCACCCCCTTTGTAAGATGATCTTTTATGCACACTGGCCACAGTGGGGGGAGGGGCAGGGAAGGGTTTGGGCAGTGGCCTCTGCAGGAGCAGACAAGGTGTCCACAGGACTGGGGCAGGCCTGACTCCTCAGGTGGCTGTCCTTGAAGCCACACCTCAGGGACTGTTTCTCAGACCCTCACACCTCCTGGAAGTTGCCAAGGTTGAGGTGAAGGCAGCTCTAAGCGTTTCTCACCACCCCCCATCCCCCACTCTCCCCAGGCTCCCCTGGAGAGGGACTGGCGGCCCCCACCCCGCCTAGGGAGCTTACAGTGTCAGATGAGCCCCCACACTCCCTGTGCCTTGTGTGGACAGGGGCCCAGGGCCCCTTTGACTCCTTCCTGGTCCCGTACAGGGACACAGACTGGCAGCCCGGGGCAGTGCCTGCGGACCAGCGGGAGGCCACCAGAGGTGGCTCAGAGCCTGGCAGGAAACACAAGTTCCTGCTCCACGGGCTCCTGGGAGGACAGCGCCGGGGCCGTGTCTCTGTCCTGGGAGTGACGGGTGAGGGGGAGGCCGTCCTGCACGGCCCCAGCAAGCCGGTCTTTGAGCTGAAGATGCAGGGACAGGCAGGAGTGAACAGGGGCCTGAGGGAGCCCTGCCCGGAACCCAGAGGAGGGGGCCAGGGTCCAGCTCTGTCAGTGACCAGGGGTCAGTCAAAGCAGGAGCCAGGCCGGGAGAGGCCACAGCCCTCAATCTCCAGACCCTTCAACTGCCCCCCCCTTCCTCCAAGGGGCCTTCCTACGTCCCCTCAGGGTGGCCTTGCCCAGGTAGGGTTAAAAAATCCACCCATGGATGAGTCAGAAGCCTTTTCTCAACTGGAAAAATTACTGGAAAACAAAACAGCAAGGGGCAAAGAAACCAGCAAAAGGAGCTGTGTTGGTGGGAGGGGCTCCTCCAGAGGTGCCAGCCCAGCTCAGGTCACCCCACGAGGCAGGTCTGGCCCTTGTTCGCCAGCCACTTCCATCCTCAGCTATCCTCAAAAGGGAGGACCATGGCCGAACTCAGGGCCAGCCAAGTCAGTTCTGCCTCAGAGGCAGCACAAATTCAGACCAAGCAAAGGAGTCCACAGAGAGGAGCCCTGGGGTCACAGTGCGGGCCCCAGGGAGACCCATGGTGGTGTAGCACGCCTCACCGCCAGAGCGGGAATTTGTCAGATTCAAGACAAGGAAAATGCTAGAAGAGCCTCAGTACCTCTCTTCTCTCTACCTGGCTTCCATGGGCGGGACCTGTAAAGTCCCCACTTCAGCCCGAGCCACCCTGGAGCTGGACCAGTGGCGTTGAGAGGGCCTGCTGTGCGCACGCGAAGCCCGTGCAGGCTTGCACAGACTTGCGCACGCACATGCGCACTCAGCGTCTTCTCGGGCTTCTCCCACAGCCGCAGAAGCCCCAGAGTCCCCCGAAGGGCCCCGCCTGGGGGTGCTGGCAGTGACTGACAGGACTCCAGACTCCCTGCGCCTCTCTTGGACTGTGAACCAGGGCTCCTTCGACTCCTTCGTGGTGCAGTATCGGGACACAGACAGCCAATCCCAGGCCTTGCTTGTGGGTGGTGACCAGAACAAGGTCCTTGTGTCGGGCCTGGAACCGAGCACCCCCTACAAGTTCTTCCTCTATGGCCTCCATGAAGGGAAGCGCCTGGGCCCCATCTCAGCTGAGGGCACCACAGGTACCACTAGGCGAGGGCCTGCATCTTAGCCTCCCTGCTTCTCCCCTGGGCCTGGAGGGGGAGGGGCACCCAGGGTGGTGAGCACAGGGAAAGAGCATGAGGATGCCGTGGAGAGGGCCGAGGGGTTGCCCTGGCTCTGCACATAGGCGCTGTCACTGTGGGTCTCGCCGTGGGTACCAGGCCTGCATTAGCTGCACTTTACAGATGAGGAACCAGGGGCCCGGCTGGGTGGCAGAAGGGACCGGCCCCAGGTTACCCGGATGGTGTGCTTCTGCCTTCAAACCGTTCTCCCACCCACTCTGTGCAGGGTCAGCCCCTGCCGGTCAGACCCTGGGGGAACCAGGGCCCCGGCTCTCCCAGCTGTCTGTGAGTGATGTGACCACCAGTTCTCTGCGACTCAACTGGGAGGCCCCCTCTGGGGCCTTCGACTCCTTCCTCCTTCGCTATGGGGTCCCATTAGCAAGCACTCTGGAGCCGCATCCGCGTCCCTTGCTGCAGCGGGAGGTGACAGTGCCAGGGACGCGGCGCTCAGCTGTGCTTCGGGACCTCCGTCCTGGGAGCGTGTACAGCCTTACACTGTATGGCCTGCGTGGGCCCCACAATGCTGACAGTGTGCAGGGCACTGCCCGTACACTGAGCCCAGGTGAGGCCCCATGGCTGGGAGCTGGAGCCTCAGGCAGAGGGGGGCTGGCAAGAGGGGCGGGGAGTGAGGAATGCAGAAGGACGCTCGGGTCTGTGCCTGCAGCCAGTGGCCCAGGAAGGTGGGGGTAGGGGTCCTCCACGGGAGCCCCCAGCCTGTGCCCTCACCATCATTCCTTGGTGCACTACTCTCCTCAGTTCTGGAGAGCCCCCGTGACCTCCAGTTCAGCGAAATTGGGGAGACTTCAGCCAGGGTCAGCTGGATGCCCCCACCGTCCAGAGTTGACAGCTTCAAAGTGTCCTACCAACTGGCAGAAGGAGGTAACACCCTTTGCCCATGCCCTCGCTGGCTCTCGTGTCTCCACACCCTCCACTCTGCCCACCCTGCAGCCCCTCCTGGCCTCCCTAGCAACCTCCCAAGCCCACCGTGTTTTCAGGGGAGCCACAGAGTGTGCAAGTGGACAGCCAGGCCCGGACCCAGCGGCTTGAGGGGCTGGCTCCAGGCGCTCACTACGAGGTGACGGTGGTGTCTGTCCGAGGTTTCGAGGAGAGCGAGCCCCTCACGGGCTTCCTCACCACTGGTGAGGCCATCGGCCGGGCTGGGGCAGGCGAGGGGGGTCATGAGGCCATGGGTGGGAGTTAGTTCAGTGGCTGGAGAGGGCAGGGGTGTTGGAGGGTCCAGCTGCAGACCAGAGGCCCAGAAGGATTTGGGAAGGAGGAGTGGGGAAAGCAGCAAGGGCCTGCGCTGAGCCCTTTGTGTTGTTCTCCCAGTTCCCGATGGCCCCACCCAGCTGCGAGCACTGAACTTGACAGAGGGAACAGCCATGCTACACTGGAAGCCCCCTCAGGCTCCTGTGGACACGTATGACATCTGGGTCACAGCTCCAGGCAGTGAGTAGGGCTCAGGCTTTTGGAGGGGACACATGCAGGGAGGGAGAGCAGAGGCAGAGCGGCAGCTACTGACATCCCCCCTCGCCGTGGCCAGCCCCCTCTCTACAGGCCTCTGCCCCGGGCAGCACCGTGGACTACCCCTTACACGGCCTCGCGCTCCACACCAACTATACAGCCACCGTGCATGGCCTCCGGGGCCCCAACCTCACCTCTCCAGCCAGCATCACCTTCACTACAGGTACCTCCTGGGAAGCATGTGGGATGGGGGAGGGCAGATGCAAAGAAGGGCCCCACCCCCCTCTTCTCTTCCCTTTTCCCCTTCCAGGGTTGGAGGGCCCCCGGGACCTGGAAGCCAAGGAAGTGACCCCCCGCACGGCCCTACTTAGCTGGACAGAGCCCCAAGTCCCACCGACTGGCTACCTGCTCACCTACGACACTCCTGGTGGACAGACCCAGGTGCCCCCTCCCCTGCCCCACTGGCCAACTCCCCTCCCCAGGTTCCCTTCCAGGAGGAGCTGCCTCTGCCTCTGTCCCTCCTGGGGGCCTACCTCCCTGTCCCCTGACCGACCCCTTTTCTGTCTCACAGGAGATCCTGCTCCCAGGAGGCCTCACCTCTCACCAGCTCCTGGGCCTCTTTCCCTCCACCAGCTACAGAGCCTGGCTCCGGGCTGTGTGGGGCGAGAGCCTCACACCACCCATGTCTACCTCCTTCACCACTGGTACTTGGGTGCTGGGACCTGAGGTGGGGGCTGAGTGGGCAGCCGGGGTCGAGGGTTTGGAAAAAGGACTAGTCCCTCTCTGTCCTCTCTGCAGGTGGACTGCGGGTCCCCTTCCCCCGGGACTGTGGGGAGGAGATGCAGAACGGGGCCGGCACCTCCAGGACCTCCACCATCTTCCTCAACGGCAATCGCGAGCGGCCACTGAATGTGTTCTGTGACATGGAGACCGACGGAGGCGGCTGGCTGGTGGGTGGCAGCCAGAAGCCCAGGGACGTGCGCGGGTCAGGGTTGCTACACCAGGGGCCATAGGCTGATGGTGCCCCACCTGCTTCTCAGGTGTTCCAGCGTCGCATGGACGGACACACGGACTTCTGGAGGGACTGGGAAGACTATGCCCGTGGTTTTGGGAACATCACTGGGGAATTCTGGCTGGGTCAGTGCCTCACAGGGATGGGGGCACCAGGGAAGGGACAGGGGCCCTGCGGACACCAGGGCGCTGGTGAGAGCATGCTCCCCGCCCCCAGGTAACGAGGTCCTGCACAGCCTGACGAGAGCTGGTGACTATTCCATGCGCGTGGATCTGCGGGCTGGGAACGAGGCAGTGTTCGCTCAGTACGACTCTTTCCGGGTAGACTCGGCCTCGGAGTACTACCGCCTCCACCTGGAGGGCTACCACGGCACGGCAGGTGAGGGCTGGGCCTGGGGACCAGGTGGGCGTGAGGCAGGGCAGGTCCTCACTCTTTTCCTCACCCCCTGGCCAGGGGACTCCATGAGCTACCACAGCGGCAGTGTCTTCTCTGCCCGAGACCGAGACCCCAACAACTTGCTCATCTCCTGTGCCGTCTCCTACCGAGGGGCTTGGTGGTATAGGAACTGCCACTATGCCAACCTCAACGGGCTCTATGGGAGCACAGTGGACCACCAGGTGAGCGTCGGTGGGGGGGAGGCACAGCTGGGGCAGCTGGGGCTCAGCCTGCCTGGGTGCGACGCTCCGAGTGACGGGGCAAGTCACCGAGCCCTCACGGCCCTTGTCTGAAATGGAACAATGATGCTCTCTCACCAGGGTGTTTTGGGGAGGAAATGATTTATTGGTTGGAAAGAGCCAGCTCAGGATTAAGCCTCAGTCCTTGCCCTTGAGGGTTATGGAGGCTGCAGGGAGGGCAGAAGGTTGATTTCTGGAAATCAGCTTCCCAAAAGGGCAGGGATGGGAGCCAATGGGATGTCCGCTTTGACCGTCTCCACAACCTCCTTTCCAGGGAGTGAGCTGGTACCACTGGAAGGGCTTTGAGTTCTCTGTGCCCTTCACGGAAATGAAGCTGAGACCCAGAGGCTACCGGGCCCCTGCCTGGGGAGGCTGAGCCTCGGCTCGCCTCTCCCACGCAGGTACGACTGCCGCGCACTGAGGGGCCGCGAGGAGAGAAGAGTCAAGGCCCATCTTCACCACCCACCCACCAGAGGAAGCCTTCTCCACCGCGGTCTCACAGCACTATGTTTACAGGGGGGAGGGAGGGTGGTATGGGAGCAATAAAAGGAGAAACTGAGGCATGAGGCCTGCACGTGTCCTGCCAGTCACTGACTCTCTCCCAGGACAGGGCCATGCGTTCCTCGGGGCTGCAGCCGCACCTGGAAAGGCTGCACGGTGAGGTTCACGCCGTGCGGCTGGGGCTGCAAGGAGGGCAGGGCGCCTGCAGGCGGCAGCAGTGTGAAGGCCTGAAGCAGGCGCGCCAGCACCACGAACAGTTCCAGGCGCGCCAGCGGCTCGCCCACGCACACACGCGCCCCGCAGCCGAAAGCCAGAGCGCTGGGACTTGCGCTGGGGGCCAGGAAGCGGTCTGCGGAGGAAAGGACAGACCTGGTCAGAGGCTGCCAGGGACTGGCCCACGCTACTCCCACCCACGGGCCCGGGTCCCCCGCACGCACCAGGCCAGAACTCGTGTGGCCGCTCCCAGACCGTCTCATCCAGGTGGGCACCTTGGAGGTTGGGGATGACAACCGTGCCCTCAGGGATGTCATAGCCGAAGATGCTGATGGCAGGATGGCGTTAGAGGCCGGCCAGGACCCCACCTGCCATCCCACTCACCCCTACCTTTCCAGAGTCACCTGCTGGGCCTAGTGGTGCGGTGTGGCAGGGCCAGGGGCACGACTGGCCGCAAGCGCAGCACCTCCGCGATGGTGGCGTTGAGCAAGGGCAGTCGCGTGCGGTCCTTGTAAGGGACTTGTGAGCTCCCAGCCCCAGGGCCCAGCTCACGGTCCAGCTCTTCCTGCAGTCTCTGCTGAACCTGGGAAATGGGGGCAAGCCTAGTGTAGGGTCCAGTCTTGCCTCTTGCCCCGGCTCCACCTATGACCTGGTGCACCCACAGGAACCTTTGTGCCAGTTAGGAGAAGCCCCCCACCCTGTGCTAACACAGCCTGCACCAGGGTAGGGTGACAGGCAGCCGGGTAGGAGCCTGCCCCGAGGACACACCTCAGGGTGGTGAAGCAAGAACGCCACAGTCCAGGAGAGGGTGGTTGAAGTGGTCTCCGTGCCACCGACGAGAAGGTCCACCACAGACATATGCACATGCCCTTCGAGGAGCTGTCCAGGGGCCTCCTGCACTCTTGGCTTCCCCACCCCCTGAAGCATGTAGTCCATCATGTCCCTCCAGTGTCCGGCCACCATACTCTCCTAGAGAGGGGAGGGGCCAGCCTGAGTGCCTGGCTGCGGGCTGAAGGGCCCAGTCCAAGCACAGCACCCACCTTGTGCCTCCTCAGCTGCTCCTCCACGATGTGGTCCCTGTTCTCCACGGCCTGCTTCAGCCTCCAGAGGCCAGGGTTGGGGAAGAACTGGGCAGGGAACGAGACAGTGCAGCTGCCGGGAAGGAAGCCTGCCCCCCGCCCACTCCCAGCAGCCAGGGCGTCTGGGCTCCACCTCCTCACCCTGAGAAAGGGAAAGATGTCCAAAATTTGGATGGACCAGTGGTCCCAGGTTTTCATCAAGTCCTGGACACAGTCGTGAAAGACATGTACAAAGGTATCCTCCTGCCAGAAGAGGGAATCTTTTCAGTTCAGGACAAAGAGGGCTCAGGGAGGGGCTGAGGGGTGGGTCCAAGCATATGTGAGCATGAGAGAGCCTTGACCTGGTCTCCAAAGGTGAGGCAGCAGATGATGTTGCAGGTGAGGAGAGAGAATTCCTTCTGGATGGCTACAGGGACACCGGCCTGGGCTCTCATGCGCTGTGGACAAAGCATGAACTGAACGGCCTGGGGCTGCTGGGGGGGGGGGAGGCCAACCTGGGGTGAGCACGGGTCTAGCCGGCCTCACCTCACAGAACTCCTGGGTCAGCTGCTCCACCAGGGGCTCCATGGAGCTGCGCATGCCCAGCAGGAGGGCAGAGCGAGTGAGTCTCTTGTGGGCCTTCCAGAGCAGGGAGTAGTCTCCAAGTGAGAGGTCCTGGCTGTGCCGAGACACCAGCTTGTCTGCGAGTAGGGGTAGGGGTTGAACTGACCAAGGGAGCCACAGCCTGACCTTCCCTGCCTCCCCCAGCCCCAGCTTCTCCCACTCCCTTACAGGAGAGTATCTGGGGTCTGCCGGCAAAGTCCACCCACTTCTTGACCATGGCCTCCTCAATGGTTCTCTTAGAGTTCAGTACCACCACATCTGGGGGAGTACCAAAGCAGGTATCAGCAGAGAGTGCACCCACATCCCACTGTGGCGGAACCAGGCAGGGAGCAGGCATGCACTCACCTTGTAGCCCAAGACGGAGCCTGTAGACAGGCCCGAGTTTCTGAGACAGGCCAAGCAGGTAGATGGGGAGGTTAGGCTGTAGTAGGTGCAGAAACCCGGGGACAAGAGGTGGGAGGTGGAGGCTCCTGAGCTTCCACTGGCCCCACAGCAGGCGGGCGCCGGCCAGCACAGTCAGCAGCAGCAGCCCAAGGAGCAGCATGGCCAGAGACCCATGCAAAGGCCCCACCTGGCCACTTATACCTCTGGAGGTCCCAGCACCCATCTTGCTGCTCGGGCTGTCCTGGAGCCCCCCTTGACTCCTTCCCTCAGGCCCCTGCCCACTGTCCCGCCCACAGAATACCACGTTCTTGGAATGGCAACAGGCATGCTGGCCTTGGGGAGTCCATATTTCAAAGAACAGGCCTTTCTTCTTTCATCCATCAAGAAGAAAGGAAGGAAAGCGCAACCCTGACCTTTCTCCTGCAGCCAGCATCAGCTTTATGGCCCTGCACCAGCCATACAGGAAAAAGCATCCACACTCTGGCCTGAGCCCACTGAGCCTGCCCACCCCCTCCCCCACCCTCCCCGGGACCAGCTTACTGCTGCAGAGTTTGTCTGCAAGGGAAAATGAGAGTCCCGGCTCATGTGCCTTTCATACTGTCAGAAGGACAAAATGAGATAGAAGTGATCTGTGTTGTTGTTTAGCTCACAGATGGACAAACGCACAGCCCAGTTCGCCGGGGTTCTCTCACCTTGTGCCTGTAGTCTCCTGTGATTATCAGCTCTCATTTCACTCTCAGAAGTTGGAGGTGAAGAATCATGTGGTCCCCAATTTGGAGCTCTTACCATGTGCTTAATTCTTTTTGGTTGCAAGACAGAACAACTTGAGGGACTTGAGCTAAAATAAGAACTGTTATATGAATACAAGGGCAGCTCAGAACCTGAGAGGAGGGGCCAGGGCTGGGGAGTGTGGTGGAGGGCCCTCAGGACAGGAGTTTCCTCACATTTTGTTCCTCCCTCCTGTGTCTGCACTCTAGCGGCTCGTGTCCAGGTGCGGGCAGAACAGGTGCGGGCAAACTCTGCCTTTGGTCAGAGTCCACGTGTCCAGCCCAGGGGCAAGTGAGGCTTCCCAGCATAGCTCAGCGTGCCTCCTGCCGTTCCAAAGTCCCCAGGAAGGAGCCTAATAGCCACGCTGGGGTCAGGGGTCCAGCCCTATCCTGAGAGCTGTAGCCATAAGAGGTGGGGGTCCCGCCAAACCAAGCAGGACTATCGGGGACCAATTTTATGGGTGAAGTGGAAGTTGGGGTGCTTAGAGGAGAGTCTTGGTGAGAGGCCATGGCAGAGGAGCGTGGCTCAGTGAGAGGGTAGGGCCTCCTGGGGGTCAAAGGCTAGGAGGTGACCTGAGGCCCATGCTATCCCCCAATTCCTCATCCCTGGCTCTGTGAACTGACCCCAGGACCAAGGAGTGGAGGGTCCTCCCCTCAGAGCTTTGCCCAGGGCCATAGGCTTGCCCTGGAGAGCCTGAGTTGAGGTCCCAGATGTCCCACCCGCAAGCTCCGGGAGAACTGTGGGCCCCTAGTGGCAGAGCTCGGGCTCTGCCTGGATCCATGCCCGGGGCCGGGGGAGAACACAGGCCGGGGTTTCTGCGGTTGGGCAGCAGCTGCCGCCTCGCTCAGACCCAGGCCAGGTCTTCCCACAGCTGCAGTTGAATCCCTGGCTCTCTCATAAAGGGGCTTATGCCAGCAGCATGACACTGGCTTTAGGGAATGAGTCCTGAGGGGCAAGCACAAGGCCGTGCAAATCACAGCCCTAGGAAGCCTCTGAAGCACTGGGAAGGTCGGACCTTCTCCAAATTGCATGGAATAGGAGGGGGACTCCATTCTAAAGGAGAGTGACCGGGAAAGCTGGCATGTGTGTGGACAGCTCTTCATCAATCCACTCAAGCCCCATGTCTTCCACACCCCCCACCAAATCCACAGTCCGGCCTGATGAGGCACATGCAGGCCCCCCTGTGTGCTCTGCCCCACACTGGCCTCGGGCCTTTCAGAGTCTCTTTCTCCCGCCTCAAGCGCCCTCATTGACTCCTGTCGTTGCCCAAGTCCTCAGCCTTCAGAACCCAACTTAGATGTGCCACCTCTTCCGGGAAGACTTCCCTGCCCCCTTTGCCCATTTCCCCAGACCGGGTCAGATGCCCCAACTACGTGCTCCCACGCCTCTCCGAGGACGGGGGCCTGGCGTACAGGGCATGGACCAGGAGCCCCACAGATCTCTGTTGGAAGACTGAATGGCAGGCTTCCGGACTGTGCGGCACGTTTATCTGGGTGGAGTTGATGGAACTCTGTCAGCCCTTAAGACTCAAGGGGGCACCACCAAATGGTGAAGAACCAAGCGGACAGGCGAGGAAGGTCCAACCCCAGTAGAACATTCTCTTCAGAGTATTAATAAACACACCAAAGACAATTTTTTGACTTGTTTAAAATTAGTACCTAGAAGAAGAGAGCATCTGATCTGGGAATTACGCAACTCTGGGCATGTTTCCTAACACCACCAACGGCAAGGCCAAGTGTCAACAAGCTTTCAACAGACCAGGCCTCGGCCAAAAGCCACAGCCCCCACAGCCGCCAATGGCACCAGGACCAGCGGGAGACACGGGCCCGATAGCAGCTCCTGAGGCAGAAAAGCCAGGTGTGAGCTGAGCACAGGCCCTGCTTGAGGACAAAGGGCCTGTCACACCTGGGGCCGTGGAGCGCCCTCTGGAAGGGCGGAAGGCAGGCCTTGGTATGGACGCTGGGTCCTCAGGGTACAGGCCGCCGGGTCACAAGTCTGCTTGCGGGGTCCTAGGATGGACTGAGCTCCCAGGGAGCTGTCCGGGAGGGCTGAGGCACCCAAGGTCAGCCAGGCTCCGAAGGCCTAAGATGACGCAAACCCTGGCCTGGGCCCCCCAACCCGGAAGGCACGATGGGGACCGCTCTCAGTCCTGGAGACACACACGGACATGTTGCTGATAAAGGCCTTTATTGAGTCTCTGGCCCTGCCATGGGGCCAGTCCAGGAGTCCCCTGTCCCAGGCCCAGGCCCCTCGGGGGAGGGGCACGGCCCTCACACCTGGCACCCCTGAGTGCCGTACTCCTGCAGGAAGTCTCGGAGTTGGGCGCAGGCTGCCCGCTGGCGGGTGCTCCGGCACAAGCGTTCTGAAGGCATCTCCTCAATCCAGCTTTTCGAGTCCAGCAGGTATTGGGGTCTGTGGGGGCAAAGGGCGGTCAGCAGGGGTCAGGAGGATGGATGGACAGGAGAGGAGAGCTCGCGGTCCCTGGCTTCTGAAGGGCAGAGCCTAGCGCTGGGCATCCATTCCCTCGTGAGGTGTGAGAACAGCAAGAGGCCCAGGGGCCCAGAGAACTCACTGTCCCTTGAGGTCACTGGTGGCCCCGTCCAGACCCATGATCAAATACTCTTTCCCAGGTTCCAAGTGAAGGCGGCAAGAGTCTCGAACCAGGAAGTTTCGGGTCTGACCAGCAGCGGCCTGGGCATCCTTGGCTGTGGGCAGACAGGCCCAGAGCCGTCAGAGGGAGGAGGGGCGGGGACGGCAGGGGGCCAGGGATTTTGCAGACACCCTCCCACCCCCACCGAACCCCGTCGCTCCCAGTAGGGCGCTGCTTTCCCATTTACGACAGACCCAGAGCTTCGAAGAGGCCCCGGGGTCTAAGCTCACACTCTTCTGAATTTTTACCGCTCCAGGCAGCCAGGCCCCAAACCCAGACCTCGGCTCCCCTCTATCTGCCCCGCCCTGCCCACACCCCTGGCCTGTCCCTCCATACAGAAGTGCAGGACTTGGATGATACTGGTCTCAAAGAGGCGGAAAGCAGCTCTGGAATCTTCTCGGAGAACCTTAACCTGGAAGCCTGTGAGGGAGTTGAGGGGAAGGAAAGGAAGGTGAGTCACCCCGGGGCTGAGGGCTGCATGTTGGTGTCATAGCAAGAAGGCCGCCCCCAGGCCTGCGGCAGCAGGGGACACAACCAAAGACCCTGAGAATCAATGGGCAAACCGACCGTAGTCCACACGGGGGTAGTAGCAGGCGAACTTCATCCTATAGCCGTCTTCGTCCACCAGCCCCCGCTCCAGGGCACGCCGCTGTCGAGGGCACTTCCCTGAGGTCAGGACCAGGTGAGACAAGGTCGGCCCCAGCCAGCGCTCCTCCCAGCCCGCCCGCAGACCCTGGTCTCACCCTCAGCACACTGGCAGACGTCAGCAGAGCACAGCGTGGACAAGAGCTTGCTCTTAGCTGGTGCTCCGTAAAACACAGAGCACCTGTGCTCTGGGGACAAGCAGAGGGGGGGGAGTCAGGGCACAAGCTCCCTCGCTGCCTCCCAGTCCTCTGCAGCCACAGGCCCGCCCTGCCACCTTTTACTGCCCCAGTTCCTGATGTCCCAAACCCCCAAGTGTCCGCAGTGCTCACCTGGGTTGTAGTAGTCATACAGGGCTGCGCTGGCGGGCTGCACCAGCCCCACAGGCACCTCCTGCACGGCTCCAAAGCCCACACATTCTCGAGCGGTGGGGACCTGGCACGGGGAGTGAGGGGGGTCAGGGGCCGCTGCCTGGGCCCTACAGGACGCTGTGTTACGTTTCCTTGGCCTATCTCTGGTTCCTGCTGGTCTCATCTTCAGTGTCCTTCACCTTTTGTTGCCTTCTGGCTGCCAGAACTCTAAAAACTCCCAAGGTCTCTGCTGACCTCACTGCCCAGATGGTGACCTCATCCCTGTCTCTTGTCCCCAGGAGCCTCCACAGACTGTCCCATCACGGACACATTCTCCATGCAACTTTCCCTAAACTCAGGGTCAGCTTCTGGACCGTCCCTGCTTCTGGCCTGGTTGTCTCCGACAGCCCCTCGTCTTCCTCCCCAGAGGCCCCCGGCCCCGGCTCTTCCTTCCTCCGTGCTCCCCTGTGAATGTCTCTGCCCCTCCCTGGCTTTCACCAAACCCTCCCAGGCTGATTCCCAAACAAAACTTTGAGCTTTATTCCTGCATTAAGACTTCTGCAGGATATATAAATTCCTCAGGTTCACTCTGCCTGCCTCCGCAAACCCACTCACCCTCCTGGCAGCCTCCCGTCATCACTGAGACAAGGAGGCCTCGTTACCTGACTGCGACCCAAGGGCAGGCGCCGGCCCCACACCCACTCCCCGGGGCCGCCCTCCTCCCCACGCCCGCACTGCGGCACGGCTGGCACCCGATGCCTTCCCTCCTCAGCCGGGCTTCTGCACGGCCGGCACCTGCTTTCCACTGTGCCAACCAGACTCCCCCACCGGGCTTCCCCTCACATGGGGCCACACTGCATGTATGAGCTCATACACTGAGCTCATACAGGCTCAACAGGGACTGGCCCCTCTTTACATACTGGGGGTGGAAGGGGCATCTTTCCTAACCCACAGATACGTGACTGATGGTGTTACTGTGTTCACATGGCTTTTTCGCATTTTTTCCAAGACAGTATAGTAAACAGTCCAAAAATTGTTGAGGGCCGTCAGAGCCCTCTCTGGCTCTGATGATGCTTTCATTTAGCCAAATAGGTGCAAAGACAAAACCAACTCATCTATGACCAACAACACTTCATAAAAGAAAATATACTTTAAAATAAAAAACTAGGAATGTCAATAAAAAGAAAAACAAAAGCAAATCCTCAACTTGAATAAATTCAGCTTCATGACAGACTCACTCGGCTGTCCCCTGCTGACTGGCACCGGCCCCCAAACGGCAGCAGGGCTCAGCCCCCGCCTGCCCGCAGGCGCGGTCCTGCAGCCTGGGCCGGCTCCCTCGCCACGCCTCCCCGCCCACACCAGGTTCTCCCTGGGAGGCGCAGCTGCAGCGTCTCCCGGAAACCTCAGAGTACATGTGCAGTAAGCAGCGCCATCCATGCTCCAGCCCCTCACTCCCTGCTCACCGAGTCGAAGTACAGCAGGACGTGGGGCCCCTCGGTCTCAAAGTGACTCACATAACGATCAGAGAGGGACGTCAGCTGTAAAGAAGGGGGTTTCAGGGGGTGGCCTTGGGCCCTGCACGTGGCAGGACTCTGCAGATGGAGGGGCTGCAGGGAGGAACAGGGCCCCTGAGGGCAGGTGCCACACCTTCTCCAGGTCAGCCCGGAGGGCGTGGAATCCACTCAGGAGGGTGATGTCTGCTATGGCCATGCCCGACAGCCCCACCTTGCCGTTCCGCCTGCAGAGAGATGTGCCCTGTGGTCTGGGTTCCCCAACCACCCCACCCCCCGCCCACCGGCGCTCGCTGCCAGGCTCGGTCCCGGCCCCCCAGCCTCACCAGATGCACACGGTGTACTGCACTCTGGACTCCTGCTCCTCTGCCACCTTGGGCGCCTCCCTTCTGCGGCGGCTCCTCCGCCCCTCAAACAGCTGCAGCGGTGTCACAGGCGGGGAAAGGGCTCCTGGGTCATCTCTGGCGAAACCTAGACCCTCTGAGTCTTTATAGTCCTCGTAGTCCTCGTAGTCCTCGTTGGCTGCCACTACATGGAGAGGCATTGAGACCAGGCCGCTGCTGCCCACCCCCAGAAGCCCAGCGGCCTTGACCCCACACTCACTCGTGTACTCGACGTGGCCCATGACCGTCACCTCGATCTGAAGATCCTGGCAGGTCGTGTTCTTCATGTCCAGGACATTGTAGGTACGAAGGAGCTGGCTCAGCAAGAGGCACGGAGAGAATGTGAGACAACTGGGGCCACAGGCCTTTCTCCAGAGCCACACCTAAGGGCATCTCCCTGGGCTGAGGGCTGTGAGGCCTGTGGCCCCGTCCCGCCCTCCTTCCTGACCAGTGCGTAACCAGGAACGGCCCGGAGCTGGGCTAGACAGTGCAGCAGAGCGGGCAGCAGGGGCCGGCCCTCAGACGCAGCACTATACAACATGCAGAGGAGGCTGCTAGGAAAGTTCAGGAAAGCTTCTGGCCAAGGCTTGAAGGAAGAGAAGGAGTTTGCCACATGGTACAAGAAGCAAGGAGACCTGTGTAGGCAGGTACACCTGTCTGGCCAGGGAGGTGGGCAGGGACCCAGCCCTGTGCGGCATGGGCAAGGCTGAAGTTTGATCTGACCAGTGCCCTCAGAAGGTCAGTTTCACGGCACCGTGGACAGGGACTCGGATGGGCGAGACTTGGGGGTGGGAGATGTTCCAAGACTGTTTTAGCCCCAAGATCAGTGAACAAGTGACAAGGGCCCCAGGCATTAGGGGACGAGAGGAGCAGTTACTGGGGCCATAAGAGGGGCTCGGGAGGGAGAGGCACTAAGACGCCTCCAGAGTGACAACTGGGCTGTGGGGGAAGGGGCTGCGTCTGACGAGGGGACACGGGAGGAAGAAGGGCCAACATCTCAGGAGAGGCCTAGGCTGAGCACAGGGGGTGCAAGTGCAGCACTGAGGGCGAGGGAACCAATGAGGGCTCCAAGAGGGCGGACACCGCAGCGAAGGGAGAGCTGCCAGACCAAGCGCCAGCCCCGGGGTGTCCTCCTCCTGCTGGCCCTGAGCTCCGCCCACAGGCCTCCCACCCAAGACCCCGGCTGCTCCCTGCTGGCCAGGGAGCCCACCGCTGTGGGCTCTCACCTTCAAGGTTCCTTTGCTGTTTCCTCCCACCTGCACATTAATCTTGCTGCCCAAGGGAAACTTGCAGGAACAGAAAAGGGAAAGGCTGTCAGAAGGGCACAGAAGGCCATGCTGTTTGCTGTTCCAACTTATCTCCTCCCTAAAAACCGCCCTCCTCTCCCCACCCAATGTCTCTGCACGTCCAGCCTCACGTGCACCGTTTTCACTTCAGCCTCCAGAAGCTCTGCTGGGCGGACTCTGCATGTACTGCTTCAGAGGAGGAAAATGAGGCCCGGATGCTCAGCAACCTTCCAGGCCGCACAGCCAGTAAATCTCTCCACAAGGGTCTCAGGGCCAGCTGCTAGGGTGTGCCATGGGCGGGGGGCGGGGGGGGGGCTGGGAAGTTCTGGCCCCTGGGAGTAGGCCCAGGTGTCCAGGCAACCCAGGCAAGGGTATGGCTCACCTGCAGCTCCTCTTGCAGCCCCTGACTTTGGCGGTTGTTCAGCTGCAGCACGTGGGACTTCAACCCATTTCGGCCCACGGAGCTGAGGGTGACATTGAGCCCCCTCTCCTCGCTGGTGTGGGACAGGATCCAGTACGCAGACAGCGCATCCAGGGCAATCACCGTGTCCTGGGGAGGTCGGACCAGGACTCAGGCTTGGTCTCTGAACCACCCAGCCCGGGGTCCCAGGGCAGCCCCTACCTGGGTACTGCGGAATCCCCCTTGGAAGCTGCCCTGGCGGGTGAGCCAGGCCGCAGCCTGGTCAGCCAACTCTGCCTTGCCCTCCCGGAGCAGCAGGTGCAGCAGGCCGTAAGCTGTCGTTTCAATCCACAGGGCCGGGGCCTGGGGCACAGGGTCTGCTGGGCTACGAGGGGCCGGGGTGGGCGACACCACATTGTTCTGGGAAGTGATGACGGAGCCCCAGTACATGTGATCTGGAAGGGCAGGGAGACCCACCAGTGAACGGACAGGACACTGGTCATCTGGCCCCTCGCACTCCTGTCAGGCTCTTCCAGCTCTGCCCTAGTCACCCCTGCAGATGTTCCCACTCCTTCTTGGGGTCTTGCTTTGGATTTTGCCTTTGGACATACTCGGAGGTACCACGCCCCCCCAAGCCTCAGGATCAGTGCCAGAACCCCCTCGACTCTCACCGCCTGCCTCTTGGGCCATGGCCATGAGGTTGTTGTGGGCCACGTCCTGCAAGCCCCCGGAGGCCCCGGTCAGTGTCAGCGCGTAGGCTGTGATGGCGGCTGCGTGGGCACCCAGGAGCCCGGCACTTGCTTTTGTCCCCAAAAATGAGTTTGCATTTGAGATGGAAGTTTCCTAGAAGAAAGTGGGGAGGAAGATCTGTGAGCTGGTCACCTAGGTTCCTGAGGAGAAAGAGCGAGAGCTGGGGGCCAGTGAAAGGCAGACACGAGGGTGCCCTTACCACTCTCCGCTTCAGCTCTGCGTTTCTGTCCTGGAAGACGGCCAACCCATGATGAAGGGCAATGACCACAAAGGCTGTCAGGGCCACAGTCTCATCATTTCCTACCAAGCCCCCCTGGTCGGTTCGGGAGGAAAGGAGATGTCAGCCTGGAGGGTGAGGGGCTGGGAGAGCCCCTCCCCTCACTCCTCGGCCCAGCCGTCTGGCCCGCACCTGCATGCCCCTGTGCATAACTGGACAGGGGTCCCGGAATGAACCGTCGGCCTGCTGCTGGGACAGCAGCCACGTGGCCGTCTCCTGCAGCTTTTCAGGTGAGTCGCCCACCTCTTTCTGGGCCAAACTCAGTACCTTCAATACAAAGGCTGTGAGCCTAGGGGGGAGAGTGACAGCTGGGGACAGGGACTGGTCCCTCTAGGGAACACGGCCCCACTCCCCCGGAGACCTGGTTAGTCGCCCTCCCACTGTAACCTGGCTCTGCCCCTGGCAGTCCCGCCACCTCCCACAGACCCGGACCACGCTTCCCAACCTTACCAGGTGCTGCTGTCCCGATGTAACCATGCCCCATAGGAACCATCTGTTTTCCGAAACTGCTGGATCCGCATGTAGCCTTGGAGAGAAAAGGCGGCTGCTCTTGGTGCCCACGGCCACACTCCCCGTCCCCATCGGGTGCCCCCTCATCGCCACGCCAGCCGCCTGGGCTGCCCATCTTCCATGACTGCCCGGCCCCCACTCCTGCTTGCCCTGCACCCAGAACCTTTCTGGATAAGATCTGCAGCGTGGTCCTTGGTCTCCGGGGGCAGTCTGCTCCACTGCTCCGTCTGGTCCAGGTAGCGGGAAGCAGCCAGTGTCGGGGCCAAGAGGACCATGGTTTGTTCCCCGCAGCCCCTAGGAAGCCTCAGGAGGGAGGCCAGGCCTTCTGGTGACAAGGCCCCCTCAGAGCCCAGAGTGTCCAATGGATCTTCAGCTACAAGGGAGAAGGTGGTCACAGAGAGAGAGCAGGTCTGGAGACCCTGGGCCAGGGGCCACGGGGCCACAGGGCCAGACAGGCTGCAGGTGCATCTGAGGGGGGCCACTGGGAAGGGGCTGGAGGACACGCCCACCTGTGAGCTTGACGGAGCTGCTGAAATCGCCATCAGGGATCATATTGGGATCAGACCTGCCGGGAATCTCCAAGGTCCGACCTCGGCGGTCTGGGAGGATGGGGTAAGTTGTCAGTCTGTCCTGGTGTCCGCACCTCCTTCCACCTACCACCCCCTTAGAACACTGATGGAAGGGGGCCGGGGCCACTCACCCAGGGGATTGAGTTCATAGACCACCTCTTCTGTGTAGGTGGCACCTTCCTTCTGTCTCAGGGGAAACAGAGCTCTGAGAGATCGCTGATCGCCCAGGACTGCAGCCACCCCTCCCAGCGCAGACACCCCAGGGCTTGGAGTGTGAATTCAGAGACAGGGCTGGGTCAGAACTGTAGAAACGGTAAACTGACCGAAGTGTCGGGTTTGGGTACTTGGCCTCTGGCCTGGCCAGCAGAGAGGGTGCCCGGGGTCAGCGGGTGAATCTGGGAGCCTGGGGGGCTGGCTTCCGGGGTCATCCATTCACCTGAATTTGTAGAACCTTAGACACTGCATCCCCTACAGGGAACTCCAAGGGTCCTCGAGCCACCACCTTCAGGGACACAGCAGCGGCTGCTGTGGGCACCACAGAGAAGCCAACTGGCCGGGCAGAGCGTGCAGGCACCAGCACCTGCTGGGCCAGCCCTCCGCCCCCCGCCAGGCACAGCCCATCCACCGGAGACACGTGGACGCTCACCTGGGGCAGGAAGATGGGAATGGCCAGAGCCCCAGTCTGGTTAGGCTCTTCAGCCCTCCCCCCACCGCCTCAGCTCCCACAGGGCCCCAGGCACAAAGGCTCCCACGGGGCCTCACGGTCAGGTTTTGATCCAGGTAGTTGTAGAGGACAGGACGCAGCTCAAACTGCTCAAAGCGGCGAACAGAGATGGGCAGGCGGAGGTGCAGGTGGAATTCGCGGAAAACCCGGAGCTGGGCTGGCGTGGCCACACACAGGCCTGTTGGGGAAGGAGCATGGGAAGGGGCGGGAATCAGAGGCCTGGGAGCATCATGGCCTCAGGGCACCACTAATGGGGGGCAGGGGTGACCCATCTCTGCCCTGCTCTGTGGCCTCCCGGCCCGGCAGCAGGCAGTGCAGACTTCCCCTGCTCTCTGCACCCCTTCCTGACAGTGAGGGAAAAGGGAGCTGGACGGAGGGGGATGGAAGAGGGGTGGCCGGAGGCCCAGCACAGCCACCTCACCTGCTGTTTTAGACAGGCTCACAGCATGGATCTCCCATGTGGTCAGAGAGTCAGGCAGCGGCTGTAACACTCTGTGGTAGGAGAGGTGAGAAGCCTTGTCACAGCCTGGTCTGGCCCCCGACACTGCCCAGGGACCAGGCCAGGCCCACCACACGCCCTCACTGGAGGAAGTGGTCCACGGGTGCCACTCTCCAGAGCCAGTTCTCTGGGAAGAAGCTGCGAACAGGAATGTCGTCTTCATTCATCAGGTCCTCCTCCTGCAGGATCTCCAGAGCTGGGGGACCACAGTGGACGGGGATGAGGAGGGGCCCTTGTGCCCTCCCAGGTTCCCCCGCCTGTCCCCCCAGCCCCTCCCAGCAGCTCACCTCGAGCGAGGCCCGCCTGGCCCACGGCCCGGGTCTTCTTTCGCAGGCCCTCGGCAAACTGGCAGCAGGACAGAAAGGGCTCCCGGCAGGCCAGCTGCGGCACGCGGGCCGCTCGCTGCTCACAGGAGCGGGTCATGGGCAGCCGCGTCAGCCCGTCCTGGCAGCAGCGCCTGGCTCCTGGGGAAGTGTACTGGCCCACTGCGGGGCCCACCAAGGGTAAGAGCAGGGGACACACCTCCTCCTCACAGCGGCCTCCAGAAACACAGGACTCACCCCGAGAAACCAGAAACTCCACAGAAGCCAGTAGAGAGAGCTTCCCACCCATTCACTGCCAACCCCAGAACTTGGATCTCTGGCCCCGACACCATCAACTGGCTCCCTTGGAAGCAGAGGAGCCGAGAGGCAGACCTCGCCCCGACGTTTGGGCCTAAGTAGAGAGCTTCAGAGGTGCCCACAACTCACACTTCTCACTAATTGCCTTCTGGAAGTTCACGTTTCTCTTTTCCCGGGCTTTCTTCTCCTTGGGGCAGCTCAGACCTGGTAGAGAGCAGGACTGCAACCCAGCTCTGGGGTGCGTGGCCTCCCACCTCCCCTCCCTGCTCCCCCTCCCAGGCCCAGAGCTTCCCACCCCTCCTCCTCCCTTCCCACTACCCATCCCACTTCCTCCTATGGTCTCACTCCTTCTAGCTGAAGTCCATCTGTTTCCATCAGAGAAGGCCAGACCAGCTGCCTCGAATACCTGAAGGGCACTGTCCCCACCCCCAGGACCACAGCCAAGATCATAGCTGTTCATCACCTCGAAGACCTAGCAAGAAAAGGCAGGGAGGTGACAGAGACAAGAGTGCCTTGAGGGGCAAGACTGGCTATGGGTGAGAGGGCAGGGGACGGGCAGACACGAGAGGCGCAGTGTGGAGACAGAGACCACGGGGCCCATAGCTCGAGGCGGGGGGGGAGCTGGGGGCCACCTAAGTGAGGGCCAGGGCTGGGCCGCAGGCTCAGGGCTCTGGGCTTGGGCAGCAGGCGAACGTGTCATAGAGGACGAGGGCGGGGTGGAGAGAGAGACAGAGCCTTAACGAACCTTGCCCATGTCAAGGGGCTTGTGGGTTCTGCCACCCACAGCATACAGAGCCGTGTCCACAGCTCCCAGAGCCACCAGGGCCGGAGAATCAGTGCGCAGGTGGAGCTTCACCATCTCCCCAGGATGGTGGTCCTTGTGACTGTCCACACTCAGCTCCAGCTGGTAGAGACGGAGGTGGGGCAGTCAGAGTGGGGAGAGCTGCTTTTCTTTTCTCTCAACCACCCCGTCTCTCCCGATGGGTTGGTTACCTTGCCCTCGCAGGCTCCAGCCCGGACGTCCACTCGCAGGGAGTTGGCTACTGGGAGGCCCCTGTGATAGTAGAAGGCCACAAAGTAGAAGGAGGGTGCCAGGCGGTGGTCCACAAGCACAGAGACCGAGGTCAGGGCCGTCCTGGGCTCTTGACTCACAGACATGATCTGGCCCCGAGACAGGATCTGGGCAAGAGCGGTCCCCTCTTCACTGTGCGTCCCCAGCGCCGAAACCGCTCCCCACCAGAGGGCTCTCTCCTGCCCAAGCTGCCCCCTGCACTCTGCCCTCCTCCACCACCCAGCTCATGCACACCATGTAGTAGTAATGAGAGAAGCTGGCCTCGCTGATGCCCACGGCTCGTAGGGTCAGGTGGAGAGTGTCCCCAACTCGAGGGGACTGAGGATCCAGCCGTTCAATGGACAGAAACCCAGGGCTTCCTAAGGGTGGGGCTCGCACGGTGAGCGTGGCCGTAGCTGGGTGCGGAGAGCCTGCAGACACCTGGAGGGAGGGGCAGGGCAGGGCCACGGGGCTGTGGGTGCTCAGGGGCCCAGCCTGCCCTTCGTTCCCTCCCCATGCTCTCTCTTGGGGCAGAGTCCTACCAAGAGCTGCACTTCTGAGGTGGTCTGAGGGACAAAAATGGAAATGATGGCTTGGCCTCTCTCATCTGTGTGGTGCTGATAGTGATGTATTGCAGGAGAAGCAGAACCAGTAAATAATGAGGCAGAAACTTTGACAGGAATGTGGGAGGCAAGAGAGCCTGACATGTCCCGGACCAGGGCCTAGGTAGGTGGGGAGGGGCAGGTCAACGAGGGTGGTCAAAAAGGCCTCAGGCCCTCCTGACGACCACACTCCTCGCAACCCCCTGCCCTTGCAGAAGAAACCTGCAGTGAAAAATGGGTCCCAGGCACAAGGTGTCGCTTGGTATGGCTAAGATCCAAGGAGAAGGGAGATGACACAAAACGCCAGGACGTGAGCTCTGCCTCCTCCATCTCTCCCCCTGCAAGACAGGAAGCAGAGAGGGGAGGAGCGGGGAGACCCAGGAAGAGGGGCAGGGGAGCGGAGGGAAGCAGCTCAGAGGTGTCCTGCCCACAAGACAGTGAGCTCCTCAGGGTGCAGGCAGCCTCCCATTTATTTCTGTTCACTGAGCCACACAGGGCCCAGCACACAGATGGAGCATAACATATATCTGCTGGGTGAACGGATGGAAGGACAGGTGGGTGGGTGGATGGATGGACAGATGGATGGAAAAAAAATAAACTGAGATGGTGGAAGGTGCTGCTTCCCCAGAAACCACCCATAAGCACAGGTAGAGAGAGACAGGCTCTGGGTCTTCCGTGGCTCTGGGTCTCGGATGACGGTAAGAAGGGTGAGGGGTGGTGTCAGTGCTGGAGAACAGTCAGCTCAGAGGCCAGAGGCCAGGGCCTGGGGTCATCATCAGGCGAAGCTGCTCACCTGGAGACTCAATGATGGCGGCTGCCACGTAGAGGCGCAGCCCCGGGAGGTCAGGCAGATTGATGTTAAGCTTCTCCAGGGCACCCTGAACCTCAGCCTTTGAGAGGGTGACGCGACACTGGCCCTCTACCAGCTGGGGCAGACGAGAAAACAGGGCCTGGTTGACACCCGAGTCCCCCAAATCGAGCCCTCTGCTCCCTCCTCCCTCACACTCACCTCACCCGCACACCTCCTACCCTCCTTCCTACCTTGGTCTGATTCTCCAGTCCCCGAAGGAAAGTCTTGTCACCATTCTCACCCAGGAGTCCAAAGCGCACATATGCTACCCCCTGCACTGGCTTCCCGTAGATGTACCTGTGACCACAGAGAGGTTGGGCGGAGGGCTGGGGCAGACGGTGGAATGGTGGGGGCGGGGTGTGGATGGGGGAGGGGAGTGGCACGTTCACGTTGAATGGGGAGCCCTGGGAGCAGGCCCAGAGTTACCTGGCCTGGATGTCTAACTGGATCTCATCAAGAACGCCAGGTGCTATCAGGATGTAAGGCTTTCCAGGGATGATCTTCACCTCAAAGTTAGGAAGGACTGACCCGGGGCAAAGAGGTAGGCGAGTCAGGCTCTAGTGGAAGGGCCCTTTAAAGACTCCCCTCACCGCTCAGGGTGGTGGCACCCATACTTCCCTGACCCTGCCCTGCTCCTACCACCTCTCCTTCAGCCCTTACTCCCTGCAGGAAAGGGGCTGCTTGGCCCTCACACCTCCAGCTCTCACCATATCTTTTCACTTCAAACTGGGTGCTGCTGTTGGACTCCAGGCCATCTGAGAATCGGGCTGAGATCTTCCAAGTCCCGGGCCTGCGGACAGACAAGGGAGGGACTCAGCCCACTTTTGCAAGAGGGTCTGGGAGAGCCAGCAGCCTGGCTCCCTGACAAAGGACTGTGGGGTAAACCGGAGGCCCAGGGAGCGGGGGTCTGACTCTGTGTGTTGGAGGGTAGAGCAGGGGAACCAGAAATGGGGTGGTTCTCCACCCCATTGAAACCAGAAATGAGGCGAGAGCTCACTCCGAGATGTCCGGGATCACAAAATCATCCTGGAAGATGGATGTGGGGGCATACACCTGCTTCTTCCGCACACGGAGGCCATGAGAGTTCTGTAGCGGGAGGAAAGGTGCCATGGGTGGGAGGTCAGATCAGCGGCCTCAGCTGATCAGGAAGGCCAGAGGTCAGGGACTCACCTCCACAGTGACGGTGAGGGTGTCCGTGGATGGGCGCATCTTTTGATCCAGAGCAAAGACCCGGTATCGAACTGGGAGGGGAGGGTGAGAGGTAAGCCGCAGTCCACGTGGGCAGGGAGTAAGGGGACGAACGTCTGCTAGGCAGCCTTCCTGTGCAGCGCACTTTCAGACTGTCTCACGTAAGGAGGCGTGAGGAGCTCAAGGGTTAGGCTGAGACTCACCCCGCTGGCCAGGGTTATAAATGGGCTGGTCGGTCTGCAGAAAAATGTGCCCCCGGCGAGAGGAGAAGAGAAGGTTGATGCCCTGAATGTCTACCTCTCTCAACAGGGCGCTCTTCAGCCATGGTGACTGGGCCACGAGCTGGACCTGGGGGCCTCCGAGGAGTCTTTGGAGGCCACAGCTCTCGGCACCTTTCGGGGAAGTCTGTCAGGAAAAGGGGAGGGAAAGGAAGTGGGTCAGAGACAGAGCAGAAGGGGAAAGCGAGACAGAGGAAGGGACGGGGAAGGAGACCTTTGCCTGAAAGGAGCGACGGGGAGGGAGGCCGGCGAGAGGACAGACACTTAGAAGGCAGAGGGGCCAGGGTGGGGGCACTAAGAACGGCAGGAGGGAGTGGCATCCAACTACCTGGAGGCTGAGGAGAATAAAGTCTTTTTCTGAGGTGAGGATAAAGTCCACCTTCGGGGAGCAGGAGAGACGATTGTTCGGGTTTCTCAGGAACACCGTCCCTTTCACTTCCTGTCCTGGGGGAGCATCCTGGAGCCACAGCCCCACCGACAGGGGGACCCCCAGGTGAACCACGGAAGGAGAGAACAGGAGCAACCTGGGGGCGAGTCAGGGTCAGCAGCCGGCCTCCCACCTTCCACCCCTGCCCGACTCTGCAACCCTGGCACCCTGCCTCCAGCACCTGGGCTTCTGCAGAGAGAAGGCGAAGAAGCTGGATGCCCAGACCAGCCCCCAGAGGAGCCTCATGACTGGAAGACCCAAGAGGGATCAAACACGTCTGTCTGTCTGTCTGCTCCTTTCTGGTCAGCCTCGGTCTTGAAGCAGGGTTGACTCTGGACCTTGCTCCTCCCCCGGCCCAGCCAAGCCGGGAAACCACGTGACAGCCAAGAACTGCAACTGGCCCCAGGCCCAGTGTTGGGGGTGGACACCCGGCCACCTGGGTCTCTGAGGGAATCGGGAAATCACAGCGCAGTCATGCTGTCCCTGTTAACCCATCTCATCCCTGTCCCCTGAGCCCCCCTACGGGGCATGTCTGGGTGAGTGCGAGAATGTGCTCCGTAGCAGTGGGTGCAGCGCACGGCTAGACACACAGGCTCCTTGTCCGGGCCCCAACACCACAAGGGGAGGAGACACTGGCCTCGTCCATAACCCACAACAGCTGCACTACAACAGGCCTTCGCTCTTTGCAGGCCCTGACAGAAACTGTGGTTTACATCAGGCACACCCTTGCCCCCCACAGGGAAAAGTGACCTCAACACCCCTTTTTCTCTCTGAACAATGAGGCATTGGTTGGGCCCGAGTGTGGCCTTACCTCTACCCCGAAACGAGCAGCACACATCACATTACACGAGACACCCAGGAAACAGCACTATCAGAAATACTTTATTTGGCAGCTTCAATCCAGCACGTAGGGAAGAGAACCCTGCCTGCCCCCACCAGCCTCCTTGGAAACCCCACCCTCCTAGCCCGGGACAGTTAACAGCAGCACCTTGCTGCACAAAAGGCAGCGGCCACGGCTTGGCACACCTTCTGGCTCCACTCCCGTGGAAGGGCAGGGCAGCACTGCCCAGACCCCACCACTGGCTCGGAACCCAGGGCATCAGCAGCAGTCACATCTGACGTCACACACTTTCGAGTCCAACACTCACAGTCTGAGCCCCAAACTTTCACGAGGTGACCCTGTCTTGGCCACCACTGGGCAACACTCCCAGGCCCCTGTCACTCCACTGCGGGGAGGTTTGCCACAGTGAGTAGAATCCTCATGTCTCTGGCAGGCGCAGAAGGGTTCCAGAAGTGGTGGAGACACTGCGCAAGAGAAAGACACGGTGGGATCCAGACTTGGAGGCCCAAGGTCTAGAGAGAACTCAGAACTTGGCTAGGGATGTTCCCCGGTTCCAGGGGAGAGAAGAGCTGGGCTTCCCTAATGAGGAAAGCAAGAGTGGGGAGGAAACCCGACTACACTTTGGGTCACTGCTCTGTCAACTGCCAGAAAAAGCTGGAGGCAAGACTCACCAGTCCACCAGCTGGGCCCCAATGAGGTCATGCACATGGTAGGCAAGGCCCAGCTTCACCGAGGCAGGTGCCCGCCGGCCCAGGAGCTCTGAGAGGAGCAGCTCCCGGTACTTGGCCTTCCGGACCATGCCAAGGACAGCCCTGCGCCCTGGAGGAGAGATGGCACAGGAGTGCGGAGTAAGGCCTGCAGGCCAGAGAAGCGATTGAAAGGTGTTTTTGAGGAGCTGAGGGCTTGAGTTGCAGACAGGATACCTTTAACAAAATACTTAATAAATCTCCCAGCTCCAGGCACAGCCAGCCACCAACTCCCGGCATCTCGAACGGTGAAGATTCCAGCATTCACCAGCTGCCTAAGCGGGTGGGAAGCCAGGAAAGATGAGGCCTTGGCCCTGAGAACCCTCTCTCCTCCCTGTCTGCTAATGTTTGGACTCTGTCTCCCGAAACACAAACAACCAGGCAAAGGGACCGAACAACAGATATCCCACCTGCCACCCAGCAGTTCTCTGCCCCCACTCACCTGCCCAGCTGCCTTTCCCTCACTCTTTACCTGCTGCTAGTTCCCCAAAACTGCTCTCAGAAGCCTTCCCTGACCACGAGCCCTGACACTCTCAGTCCCACCAGAAATGTGGGTCTTTTTACTGTGCTCCTGCCACTGACTACGCATACTTCACCACAGCTCCTCCCACATCTACTGAGAAGTTCAGAAAACGCCTTCACACGCACCAGGAGTTACAAAGCAGGGAGCCTGAGCCAGGCACATTGACATCAGCCCTGCACTGATAATTTTATCCTACCCACGCCTGGGTGCTGTTCTTTTGAAAGCGAGTGCTTTAGTTCCTGCCACTCCCATTCTTAGTATCAGCAAGATTCACGTCAGGCATTTGTGGTCCCTGGAGGCCTCTAGATGGGTCTGATTAGCCACCCAGATGGCCTGAATTTTCATCCAGGGCTCTTTCCAAGGCCCCAAGTAAGACAGGTGTCTTACCTCGGAGGAGGAATACAAATTTAGATCATTTTACTAAAATTAAAGTAAACCTTTTGGGCAGGTTCAGCAAAAGGAAAAGGACAACACAAGGCTGGATGGGAGGGAGGCAGGGAGGTGCCAGATGCTGGATTTGATTGGTCCCCCAAGACTCACGTGATCTCTGTGTCCGTGAAGCCAAAGGTCTGTGTCATCTGGTCCTGCTGGACGCTAAGGTCCCTACAGGCTGGAAGCACCAAAGCCAGAAACTTCTGCACAGCCCCAGCATATGACCGCCCACTGCAGGCCTTGAGGACCTGGAACCAGAGATGAGAGACTGGTGTGGCCTCCCCCCCAGGACATTCACCTGCAGGCGGGAGGCAGATTCGCTTCTGCTGGGTTCCTTCCAGCTTTCATATCTTTCCTCCTCCTCCTCCCTCGTATCACTATTTAGCAGAGCCCTGTCCTGTGCCCTCTGTGAGCTGCCGAGTGGGAGAACTGCCTCCTTTCTTTTTACTTCCTTTCCCCAGTCCCCCTGCCTGCCCGCCCCACGCCCCATGACGCGCACAGTCACACGCACCCGGGTCCTGTAGTCCTCGGTGAGTATGATCCCATGGGCATCCAGGTCGAAGCCTAGCTGGACAACTCTGATCTCCCCCTGTTCCTGAAGTTCTTTCTGTTTCCAGAAAGATGGGAATGGAAAGAAAAATGTCAGGGAAAGACGCTCCACTAGACTCTGGGTGCCTGGCCCACACCGGGGGCTTTTCTCTAAGTAAAGGAAATGCTGTGGGGGGTGAATCAGGTGAATCGCCAGAGTCTTTCCCGACTGGTCACCCACGCACCTCGTCTGTAGTGTCAAACTATCAGTACACATTTTCTAAGAACAGTCACATGCCTGACACTAAGATAAAACAGTGATTAAGACACAGGCCCTGTCCTTAAGGAATTAACAGTCTAGATTTGGGGTAGAGGAAAGTGGGGAGGAATACAAGATAAAAGGTTCAAAACAAATAAAAATCAACCAGGACTACTGTTTCTAAGAGTATAGCAGGAACCAACCTGCCCGCTGAAAATTAATTAAAGTGCTGGATAAAATATTATTTTTTAAATTGTTAAGCATCAAAGAGCCCACAAAATAATAAGTGAACAAAAGAATTCATAGAAGTAATTGGAATGTGGAAGACATGTGATGATTTGGGCAACTCTGTCCAGCATAGTCAAAAATAACTGGACATACAAGGAAAGAAATTCAAAAGAAAGACAATAGAAACAGACCCCAACAGACATGTTACCAAGGAATTATCAAAAACAGACCATTAAAGCTCTGGCTGGGTAGCTTAGTTCGTTAGGGCATCGTCCTGATATGCCAGGGTTGTGAGTTCAATCCCCAGTGAGGGCACATACAAGAAGCAACCAATGATGCACAAGCCTGGAGCAACAAACTGACGTTTTCTTACTCTCTCTCTTTCTCATCAATAAATTTTTTTTTTAAATGTTTAAAAAGCCCCTATGTTTATAATGCTGAAATAAGTAAAAGCCACGATAGACTTTTTCAGCAGGAAATTATAAAAATTAACATGACAGTCCTGGCTGGTGTGGCTCAGTGGATTGAGTGTTGGCCTGCAAACCAAAGGGTCGCCAGTTCCATTCCCAGTCAGGGCACAAGCCTGGGTTGCAGGCCAGGTCCCCAGTAGGGGGCGCATGAGAGGCAACCACACATTAACATTTCTTTCCCTCTCTTTCTCCCTCCTTTCCCTCTGTCTAAAATAAATAAAATCTTTTCTAAAAATTACCTAAAAAAATCAACATGATATATTTTTAAAATCCACACAGAAATTCTAGAACTGGAAAGTGCAATTAAGGACTCAATGGATGGGTTTAATGAATTAAGACACAACTAAATAAAAAGCTACTAATCTGCAAGACAAATCAAAACAATGAACTACACTATAGTAAAGACAGTCAAAAAGACAGAAAATGCAGACAAGAGACTAAGAGACTTAAAGGATACAAAGAGAAGGTACAATGTATAACACATCCACAACCACAAAAGTGTATTAATCCAATTTCCATTAATTCATAGAACAACAGACAAAATAATCAGTGAGGAACCAGAAGACTTCAACAGTAACACCAGTTACTAAGAAATTAATAACCAAATACATATTCTTCTCAAATATACATACAATATTTAACAAAACTGACCACAAAGGACGAAGCCAGTCTCAATAAGTTTCAAAGGACTGAAACCATATGTTCTCTGGCCACAATATCATTTATGCCAGAAATCAGTAACAACGAAGTAATAAGAAAATGTTTAAAAATTAAGACTTCCATTACTAACCAAACCAAAGAATCAAAGAAAACAAATCACGAGCCAAATTAGAAGACATTTTAAAATGAATCATAATGGCCCTGGCTGGTGTAGCTCAGTGGATTGAGCATGGGCCTGCGAACCAAAAGATCACGGTTTGATTCCCCATCAGGGTACATGCCTGGGTTGCAGGCCAGTTCCCAGCAGGGGCCAGTTCCCAGCAGGGGATGAATGAGAAGCAACCATACATTGATATTTCTCTCCCTCTCTCCTTCCCTTCCCTTCTAAAGATAAATTTTTTAAAAATTTTAATGAATTATAATGAAAATTTATACCAAAACTTGGGAGGCAAATAACTCTCAGTACTTAGTGGGAAACTACAGCCTGCCCTTGCATGTGTCTGTTGGACAGAGAAGAGCCCCGGCTGGTCGGAGCTCCGCCCCCACATCAAAAGGTTGAGGGTTCGACGCCCAGTCAGTGCACATACCTAGGTTGTGGATTCAGTCCCCAGTCAGGGTGCATACAGGCAGCAACTGCTCAATATTTCTTTCTCACATGGATGTTTCTCTGGATTTCTCTCTCTCTCTCCACCCCCCCTTCCTTTCTCTAAAATAAAAAAATAAAAAAAAGAATCCTCAGGTAAGAATTAAGAAAGAAAGAGAGAGAGGGAGGAGGAAGAGAAAGAGACAGAAGAGGGGGAGAGAGAGAGAGAGAAATAGCCATGGCTGGTGTGGCTCAGTTCGTTGGAGCGTCATCATGTAACTGAAGGGTTGCAGGTTCAATTCCCAGTGAGGGCACATACCTGGGTTGTAGGTTTGATCCCTGTTCAGGGTGGGTAAGAATTCGGGACAAGGCGCATAAAGGAGGCAACCAATCAATGTTTCTCTCTCACATCAGTGTTTCTCTTTCTCCCTCTCTCCCTCTCTAAAAGCAATGAAAAAATGTCCTCGGGTGAGGATGAGAGAAAGAGGATAAAAATTTATGAAAAAAGAAAGTAAAATAAGCCAAATAGTAGAGGGGAAACAGATTAATGAAACAGAAAACATGTGAACAAGAGAGCAATAAAGCTATTAACAATGAGAGACTATTGGTCAGTAGTGAGACTGACCAAGAGAAAGGGAGGAGAAATCTACTGTTCAAAAATTTAGAAACAAAATAACAACCGACAGTGACCGAAAATTGAACTGTATGGAAGTCCAACAACCAAGGAGTTAAAGTAGACACATTCATCGGGACTGGTAGGAGGGGTGGAGTCAGGTGGCCGGGCAGAGAGGGGTCTCAGCAAAGCGGTGACTGGCGGACCCAGGGAGGCAGTGGACTGTGGAACAGGCGGCTGGTGGACCGGGAGGTCCCACATTTGCATGCAGATAAACCAGGCGAAACTGGGGAGCAAGACTGACCATGCCACCCAGAGTCCTAGCACCAGAAAATAAAGCCTCAAAACACCAACTGAAAACACCTGTGAGGGTTGAGGTACCAGGAGAGACTCCCAGCCTCACAGAAGAGTTCATTGGAGAGACCCACAGGGTTCTAGAACACACACAAGCCCACCCACACAGGAGTCAGCACCAGAAGGGCCCAGTTTGCTTGGGGGAAGTGGGGGAAGTGACTGAAATCCAGCAGAGAGTGGAGCAAGTGCTGTTGTTCCCTCTCAGACCCCTGCCCCACATACAGTGTCACAACACAGCGACTGGCTTGCCCCACTCTGACAAACATCTAAGGCTCCGCCCCTTGTATGTAAGAGGTGCATCAAAACAGGGAAAAAAAATGGCCCAAATGAAAGAACAGATAAAAGCTCCAGAACAAATACAACTAAATGACGAAGAAATAGCCAACCTATCAGATGCACAGTTCAAAGCACTGGTGATCATGACGCTCACAGAATTAGTTGAATTTGGTCACAAAACAGATGAAAAAATGAAGGCTACACTAAGTGAAATAAAGGAAATTGTACAGGGAACCAATAGTGATAAGAAGGCAACTGGGACTCAAATCAATGGTATAGACCAGAAGGAAGAAAGAAACAACCAAACAGAAAAGAATGAAGAAACAAGAATTCAAAAAAATGAGGAGGCTTAGGAACCTCCAGGACATCTTTAAATGTTCTAACATCCGAATTATAGGGGTACCAGAAGAGGAGGAAGAGCAACAAGTGGAAAAGTTATTTAAACAAATAATTAAGGAGAACTTCCCCAATGTGGCAAAGGAAATAGACTTTCAGGAAGTCCAGGAAGCTCAGAGAGTCCCAAAGAAGTTGGACCCAAGGAGGAACACACCAAGGCACATCATCATTACATTAGCCAAGATTAAAATGAAGGAGAGAATCCTAGAAGCAGCAAGAAATAAGGAGACAGTTACCTTCAAAGGAGTTCCCATCAGACTGTCAGCTGATTTCTCAAAAGAAACCTTACAGGCAAGAAAGGGCTGGAAAGAAGTATTCCAAGTCATGAAAGGCAAGGACCTACACCCAAGATTGCTCTATCCAGCAAAGCTTTCATTTAGAATGGAAGGACAGATAAAGTGCTTCTCAGATAAGGTCGAGTTAAAGAAGTTCATCATCACCAAGCCCTTATCATATGAAATGTTGAAGGGACTTCTCTAAGAAAAATAAAAGAAAAAACATGTACAGTAAAATGACAGCAAACTCACAATTGTTAACAACCACATCTAAAACAAAAACAAAAACAAACTAAGCAAACAACTAGAACAGGAACAGAACCACAGAAATGGAGATCACATGGAGGGAAGTGGGAGGAGGGGGGGGAAAGGTACAGAGAATAAGTAGCATAGATGGTAGGTACAAAATAGACAGGAGGAGGGCAAGAATAGTATGGGAAATGTAGAAGCTAAAGAACTTATAAGTATGACACATGGACATGAGCTAAAGGGGGGAATGCAGGTGTGAGGGGGTGTGCAGGGAGGAGGGGAGTGAAGGGGGAAAATGGGACAATTGTAATAGCATAATCAATAAAATATATTTAAAAAAGAAACGAGACATAAATAAATACACTCAGTATGATTTTGTTTATATCGAGTTCAAAAGTGGGTAAAACTGAGTTATGCTGTTCATGGATAAACACATAGATGGCATAAAGAGAATCGAAGGAACAACTGTCATACCAGTCAGGATAGCAGTCACCTTCCAGGGACATAAGGCATTTTGAATGGAGAGCGATGTATGTTGGATGCTGGCCATGTTCTACAGACTAACTTGGGTGGTGGTTAAATGGGTATATGGTTTGTAAATACTCTTTAAATTGTGTGTGCACATGTTTATATTTTCTCTTGTGCCAACTTTTAAAGTTTTTAAAACAGGCTAACACCAGTCAATTAGATTAAAAACAACAAGTGCTATACATATGAGAGTGGTTCCACCTGACTCGCTTCCTCATGAGACTGGAGTTGGTCTCCATCTTCCCATTCTTCCCTCTTCTTTCCGACAGGTTGCCGCATTAACCTTCTACCTGCTAAACCCAACGGACAGATTTGGGATATTACTTTTCTTGACCTCCTCACAGACCACTGCCCTGAGTCATGGGTTTAAAAGTGCCAAATACCTTGTTGAAAATCTCTACTTTCACAATAGGCCACTTCCTAGGTTACCCTAACTCTAGCCATTCCTTCTCAGCCTCTTTCCCAGACTCCGCTTCCTCTGCTTTCCCCTTACATCAGTGGATCTCAGATTTTAAGGCACATTAAGAATCACTTGGGGCAGTAGTTCAAAATGTAGATTACCAGGTCCTACCCCAAGAGACCTTAATTCATTAGCCTGAGCATTTTTGAAGAACCAGCCCAAATAATTCTGATATAGAACCCAGGACACACTCTGAGAAACCCTACCTTAAATATTGGAATATCCCAGCACCGGGGGGGGGGGGGGGTGTGTCGGTCTGACCCAATTATCTTTCACTATGACCTGAAACCCTTGGCCCTGGGCCTCAGAAGATCTGTTGAACACCTTCCTCCCAAATTGTACATGTACCTTGTATATACGTGGCGTATGTGCATTTTTTTTGGTAAAGAGAGCCATTGCTTTCATTATCTACTGAAGTTTGTAAAAAGGTTAAAAATCACCCATCTACTCACTCTTCTGATCCGATTTCACCCACATCCACAGACTTTGAACCACCTCTCACTTCTCAATAACTTCCGATTCTAAATCACGGGCCCAGAATTTTCTCCAAACCTTCACATGCAACTGTCTACTACACATTTGCTTTTGAACTCTCCACAAATAACTCCAACTCAACTTGCACAAAATTAAGAACATCATTTCTACCTAACGAATCAATGTGCTCCTCTATTCACTCCACCAACCAAACTCTCAGTCTGTCATCCATAAAATCTGAGAGTTATCTTGGATTCCTCCCTCTTGCCACTTCCTACATCCCTCACCCTCACCCAACCTCCTCCCTTCCTACTGCACTGCCCTACTTTAGGCCTTCATCAGTCTCAGCGGCAGTTTCTTCTAATTGATTCCCCTGCCTCATCTCACTACCTCCAAACCATGCAACACACTGCTCCCTCTCCTGTTCAACATGCTCGTCTTCGGTGTAAAGCAGAAACAACACTGATGCTCAAGGCCTGTTGTAATTTGACGTCTGCCTGCACTCCAGCACTGCAGGCTCCAACCACGCCCAACGATTCCGTTTCCACAGAAGCTTCGCTCTTCCACTTCCACGATATGTCACGCTCCCCACTGCCTGCGCGTCCTTTAACAGGGTCTGTAGCATTCTCCCTGGCACTGCAGTGCCTTGACCAAAAACACCTAGGCTTGCTGAATGGCGGCATGGCTGGCGGAACTAGAGCCTGAGTGCTGCTTCGGTCGGTGGCTCCGACGCCCCTCACCAGCTGCCGGTCAGCCGCAGTCCGGTCCGGCACAAGGCTGTACACCTGGCTCCTGAGCGCGATGGGCGGCAGCGCATCCTCGAACAGACCTCGGGGGAACAGCTGCACCAGCTTCGCGACTGCCGCGCGCGCCGATCCTGGGCGGAGAGGCCTGGTCACTGGGACATGAACTAGGGCAGGGGACGCTTATAGGGGTGCTGTCCTCCCAACATTTAGGGTGAGGGGAGGCGAGGCCGCTCCTGCTGACTTTCCGAGCCGTGCCGCGGGGTTGTCATGGTTACCTGCCTCGCCCCTCAAAGGATCTCCCTCTGCAGGCCTTGGTTCCCGCCGCCTCTTCAGTCCCAACGTCTCCGGGTCCAGGTGCTGCCTCTTTCGGCTCATGACCCGGGATCTGGCCGGGCCGAAGAAGGGGAAGGTGCTGAGGAAGAGACCGGCAAAATAAACTTCCGGCGCAGAGCAGTGACGTCTGCCGAGACTAGGCGGAGGGTAGGTCAGGCCCCACGGTGACGAGACTCCTTCCGCCGCCTCTCGCTCCCTGGCTGCGAGGCGCGGATTCCGTGGCCGGGCCGGTGCTGCTCCGCTGCCCCTGGGAACTCACGTCCCCGACGCCTGGCGGTGCGGCGGAGCGCCGCGTAGTGACCAATTCCTGGGGCGAGGGATTTGCCCACCTCTGTCGCTGTTTGCGCCGTCGAGAGCCGAAAACCTCCTTGGCCTCCCTGTTCGACTTCGGGTGTACCTGCCGAGACGTCAACGCTCTGCGGAGGTGGGAGTTGAGTTTGGCGGGCTCAGAAGTAACCAGAGCCTTGATCTGAGCCCAAACACCCTTCCCAACCTCATCACCTTGGTGGTAAAGGGGTGGGGCCATGGGTGCACCTGGCGGTGGTTCTGTTTGAGAGGCTGAATGCCAGACTCTCGCCTTCAGGCGACTCAGTCCTGATCCCGAGTCCCCATCCTCCAGGCCTCCGTTATAAAAGAGGAAATTTCCCCCCACCTCTCAGGATCTCATGGAGCCCAGAGGGACCAAGAGAGGAGGCGGGAAGGTAGAAGTAGCTGAACCTCCGAACAAATTCCCCCACCCAGCCCCTTCACTACCCACAGACCCTGCCCTCTACTTTGGGCCCTTCCCTTTTTACCGGCGCCCTTCCCAAATGGGCTGCTTCTCCCTGGATGCCCAACGCCGGTACCATGGAGATGCCCAAGCCTTGCGCTACTACAGCCCACCCCCCACCAATGGTCAGTGCCCCAACTTTGACCTCAGAGACGGATACCCTGATCGGTACCAGCCCCGGGACGAGGAGGTCCGAGAAGGCCTGGACCACCTCCTACACTGGCTCCTGGAGCACCGAGACCAGCTGGCAGGGTGAGCAGAGCACAGCACACAAGTAGATGCAGAGACCTGTACCTGCCCCCTAAAATTAGGAAAGCCAAAGCTGGAAGGATTCAGTCCTCTGAAGAAACTTCGGCTGTTCTTTGGGGGAGCCATCTGAGCTACTGTTTTGTCAGATGTTCAGCCTCTAACTTCTCTCTCTCTCAGGGGTCCAAGCTGGCTGACAGGGGCCATAGTGACATGGAGGGGGCACCTGACAAAATTGCTGACAACACCATATGAGCGGCAGGAGGGCTGGCAGCTGGCAGCCTCCAGGTTCCAGGGGACACTGTACCTGAGTGAGGTAGAGACACCAGCTGCTCGAGCTCAGAGGCTTGCCCGACCACCCTTCCTTCGGGAACTTATGTACATGGGTTACAAGTTCGAGCAGTACATGTGTGCAGGTGAGAGTTGCCCCAGCTCTGTAGCCCCCTCCCCTTTTCCCAGAGACCAAGAGCCCCACCCCTGCTGCTGCTTCTCGCCCTGTACAGACAAACCTGGAGGCTCCCCAGACCCCTCTGGGGAGGTTAATACCAACGTGGCCTTCTGCTCGGTGCTACGCAGCCGCTTGGGAAACCACCCTCTGCTCTTCTCAGGGGAGGTAGACTGCACAGACCCCCAGGCCCCATGCCCACAGCCCCCCACCTGCTATGTGGAGCTCAAGACCTCCAAGGAGATGCACAGCCCTGGCCAATGGAGGAGTTTCTACAGGTTCAAGAGGAGAGTGGGCAGGGCAAGAGCTTAGAACTGACAGCTGGGGAAGGAACTTGGGGGAAGAGGAGGAGGATGGAGGTGGGGTCCCACCGACACCTCATCTTTACTTACAGACACAAGCTTCTGAAATGGTGGGCTCAGTCATTCCTCCTGGGGGTCCCAAATGTTGTTGCTGGCTTCCGTAACCCAGAGGGTTTCGTCTGTTCCCTCAAGACCTTCCCCACCATGCAGATGTTCGAACACGTCAGGGTGAGGCAGTGATGGCACAGCCCTGAGGCCAAGACCACGGGTCCAGTATCCAGGGCTGCATGTGCATTACCCTCCCCCCACTCATCTCTGCCTCCTCCTTTGCCCTCTCCAGAATGACCGTGACGGCTGGAATCCCTCCGTGTGCATGAACTTCTGTGCTGCCTTCCTTAGCTTTGCCCAGAACACAGTTGTCCAGGATGACCCCAGGTGAGGCATTTGGCTCTGACCCTTCCCTTTGGGTCCCAGAAGCCCAGCCTCCAGCCCTCAACTGGCAACTCCTTCTTCTCCTCAGGCTCGTCCACCTCTTCTCCTGGGAGCCTGGTGGCCCAGTCACAGTGTCTGTACATCAGGATGCACCCCATGCCTTCCTGCCCACATGGTATGTGGAAGCCATGACTCAGGACTTCCCATCGACCCCCAAGACACCATCCCCTAAAGACTGACACTTCAGGGTGGGGGCTGGTCCTGTCTCTGTGGAGTTAAAGACATACCTTCAGGTGGTTCTCCCTGTTGTGTCTTTTAAGCTGAGTCACCCTCAAGCACAGACAGACCGTTTGCTGTTTTATTACCACTTTTTACACGGGAATCATTCACTGAGTATAGAGGCTGGCTGCGAAGACGATGTCCCTCCGTAGCAGGGTGGCTGCCGTCTCCATCTTGGCACCTAACACAGGCTCGCCTACCAGACGGGCTGCTCCCCGCAGTGACCGACACATCTCGGCCAGGCGTTGGATGCAGCGGACCACCAGGCCCTCAGGGGTCCCCGAGAGCCCTGCCAACTCAGAGAAGGGCTGTGGGGGGAGCAGGGTAGGGACTGAATTTGATAAACCTGGGCAGCCTCTCCCCAACCAGCTGTCTGCAAAACCCCAAACCCTAGTTACTCACCATGCCCCGGGCCCACTCGTACACAACTCCAACAAGCCCAAAATTCAGCTCCCCTACAAATTCCTCCACTGTCTGGTTCAGGCCACAGGCCACCTGAACCTCACCAATCCGCTTGGCCACAGCCCGGACACGTTCCACTCCCTACAGATGGGGACAGACAGTTAAGAACTGCCTTCCTGCTCCAGGATAAGGGAGGCTCAGATCAAGGAACAAGCCATTCCAGTTCTTAGGAGCACTCACCAGCTGGAGAGGTCACTTGGGGAAACCTGGGAGTGGGGACTGGGAATGTGCAGCCAGGGGAGGGAGGGGGTGGGTGCCCCATACCTGTTTGAGGGTACTTGGGAGCTGCTCCCCAGCGTCCCCAGGGCTCTGGCAGACCAGGCCAGACAGCAGGGCTGCAATCTCCTCTGGCCGCAGGGCACTCAGAGCGTTGTCAAACATGAGCTCAGTGAGGAGCAGCTCGTGGCTGCTCATGGAACAAGCCACCCGCCCCGCCAGCTTCACCGTGCCTGCCTCGTCTACGTAACCCAGGGTTTGGAGCACCTGGACAGAAGATGGTGGGCGTTGGGAGCCTGCTGCCCTCCCTCACTAGCCCCTTTGCCCCTACCCAACACTCTCACCTGTACTCGCTGGTGGTACTCGGGGAGCAGTAGCAGTGACTGGTCTGACAGCAGGAAGCGCAGCCGCTCCATCTCCTTCTGTACCTGCATTCGCTCCCGCAGCTTCAGGTACTGCGGAGAGCCACAGGTAGGACTGGATTAGCCTTCCTCTCACCCTCCACAGGGTCCTGAGAACGAAGGCTGAGATGGGGTGGGCAGCCTACAGGGGAGGGACCAGAGGAAAAGCTTTGAAGCTGGCGTCTGGGGCCCCACCTGGGCGGGGAAACGGGGGCTGTGCACACACTGAGCCTCCCGGATCAGCTCCTCCAGCTTCCGGGCACGGAGCCCGCCCTCAACCACCGACATATCTTTAAGCTGCAAGTCGTTGACAGGGTCAAGGGTAGGGGGTCCTGCTGGGTGGGCCTGAGACAGACGTAGCAGTTCCTGGACAGCAGTGGTCACAGCGGCAGCAGGAGGATCCTGCCTGAGGAAGGAGTAGGTCCTGAGACTTCTCTTCCATGCCAGCTCCCTCAGCTGGGGAGATGCCCCAACCACACCTCCCACTCCCCGAAACACAGTGCCTCCCCAGCATCTAACTTAAACTTCAGTTGCTGCCTCTTGCTGAAGTCCTCCAAGATCTTCTCTCCATTCACCCGGAGCACTTTGGTGGTGATGGCAGCCACGTCTCTGGGCTGAAGCTTGGCCACAGTGTGGTCACAGGGCCCTGTGAAAAGGGAAGATCAGGGTCAGGTCTCACCATGACCCTGGTGTCCTGCCTGTACTGATGTTAGGAACCTGAACATCCACCCCATTCTCACCTTCAGGCAGGAACAGCTTGAATCCCACAAGGTCATCTGGATAGGGCACACCTGAGGGGGCCAACCCCCTGTCCTGTGGGTCCTCAGACATGGGCTTATCACACAAGACCAGGGTTGTGAATGATCTGCTGGTAGAGTTTGAGGAGACCTAGGGGAAGTGGGAGAAGCCAAGACAGGGCAATGTGAGGAGTGGACAACAAAATTAGGGGCAGATCCCCACCTTCAGGCAGGGATCGTGGAGCACCATGCAGAGCCCACTGGTATAGACTGGTAACCAAGTCAAACAATCAGAGCAGACAGGGTGGGGGAGGGGCACGTGGAGGAAGACAAGGAAGTGGGCACGAAGTGGTGGTGATGGGAAGGAAAGGATGGCAAACGGGGAAAACGAGAGCACAGCTGAGTGTGACCTTCCCTGCCTGCCCTCTGGAGCCTAGGTTCCCCTCGCGTTACCTGCAGGATCACACCCAGTGCGTTGTGATGCTTCTGATTCTTCACAACCACCACCCTTCCGGCTGAGAGAGATTTCAGCCCATTCACAGACTCTATGACACATTGCTGAAGAGTAAGGATATGCAGAAAAGGGATAAAGTGTCAGGGATGCTAACACAAGGTTCGGGAGTATCCGGAGTGTCACCCTGTTTTCCCTCCGCCATCACCCCAACACACATATTGGCTCACCTGGATCAGTCTCCGGGTCTCTGTTAATTCCTCTCCCCAGATGTAATACTCGGGCAGGTCGACCAGTTGGCCAGTCAGGTCAGGTTCCTCTAAGGCCTCCAGTTTCCTGGTTAGTGCAGCTAGAGCCTCTTCATGGGCCTGAGCAGAAGTGGGGGCAAGTACAAAATAAGTTTCCAGGCTCAGTCTGCCACATCCCCACCAGCGCCCCACTGGCCTCTACATGCTCACCCTTCCTCATCTGGCTTCCCTTGTCCAACACCCAGCCTAGTATACTGATCACCCTGACCCCTCACCTTGCTGTCCTTGCGGGACGGAAACTCAGAGAAACTCCTCTTCATCATGTCTTCCACCCGGAGGGCGTCCACCCGCAGCAGGTTGAGGATCATGGTGTATGTGAGGCGGAACTGCGACTGCAGCTGCGACGGCTTACCCTGTGTGTGGGGAGTCAGGGGGGAGGGGGGGAGGACCGGGATGGGCCAGCTGCCTCCAAGCCAGCCCTCTACAGACTGACCCTACCCCCAGCACAGACAGTCCCAGCTCTGGAACCGTGGGACTCCAGACAAACTGCCTGCTCACCTTCTCTGCAAACTAAGGGAACAAAACCAAGTAATAGATTTGCAAAGGGCCCACTAGCTCTGTACTCACAGTAGGAAAACTAAAGATGAGACTGGGTCTCACCCTTGGATTTGCTCACTCTACCCTGGCTTCTCCCAGGCAAAAGGAAAAAGCAGAAAGAAAGGAGAGGGGAAGGAGGCTGAAGAGAGAGAATCCAGCTGGGGCCCTCCGGCTTTCCTCATGCTGCCTGGCTCACCGTCATCATTCGGTGCAGGTCCACCATCTCAGGCACTCGACCCTTGCAGAGCAGGATAACGGTGCCTGTAGGGTCCAGGCCCCTCCGGCCTGCCCTACCCGCCATCTGCACATACTCGCCCGGGAGCAGGTCCCGAAAGGTAGAGCCGTCGTGCTTGCGCATGGAGTCAAACACCACCGTTCGGGCCGGCATATTTACACCCATGGCAAAGGTCTCAGTGGCAAACAGGACCTGGGACACAGGAAAGAGGATCAGCAAAGGGGCTGCACACAAACACCCAGCACACCTTCCTCTGTACCAGGGCCACCCGGCACGGTCTGGACGGTTAATTCGCAGAAGCCCATTTAACTCTCCAGGCAAGACTTCAGAGTGGGGACTCTTGTTTTCATTTTATTGATTTAGCTGCCTATTTATTTCTTTGTACCCACACATCCCACTTCTATGCCCCCACTGTCTGTTATCCAATGTCTTTAAGGAGTATCTTTTCCTGTGAATATGCTGTTACAAGTCATCTTGTCTTGTGTGCGTGTAATTTGCATTTCGCATTAAAGGCATTTATAGATCCCCTTCCGTTTCCTCGCTTCTTTCCCCCCATGTCGTGTTTTCAGCATCCATCTGCATTCCTGTGGTTATACCTAATCCCTTGCTTCCAACTACAATAGGACACTCTGTGGGGTGCCTGCCCTGCAGCCACCTACCTGCTCTCCCAGTGAAGGCACCTCAGGACCCCCACCAACACCCTGCCACGAGACTAGAGCCAACGAAGGAAGAGCAGACACACTCCGTCGTGGATCAGGGTAAGAACTTCTTTGTGGTTTATACTCAGGAATGGAATCGAGGACCCAAGAGTTTGTTATTCTTACCTAAAGAACGCCAGGGCACACTCCAGACTAGCCACCCCTGTGTGAGAGTTCCTGTCATCCTGTACAGGCAGACCTCGCTTTACTGCATTTCACATACTGCACTGTAATCAACATGGAGGCAAGACCCTCCACCAGCATAAAGATTACAATTCGCTGAAGGCTCAGGAGATGCTGAGCATTTTTTAACAGTATTCTCTAATTAAAGTACATACATTGCTTTTAGATATAATGCTCCTGTACCCTTACAAAGTACAGTACAGTGTAAACACAACTTTCACATGTACTGAGAAACCAAAAACTCACTTTAACGAGGTATTCATTTTGTGGCGGTCTGGGACCAAACCCGCAGCACCTCCTAGGTCTGCCTGTTATCCCATGTGGCTTTGGTGATACTTGGCATTAGCCAGTTCCCTAAGTTTTATCAGTTTAATCACTGTGAAGTCTTATAAGTATTTCAATTTGCATTTTCCTGCTAACTTATATGCTTGCCAGCTTTTTGGGTTTCTCTTCTGAATGCACCCTGATTTTAAGATGGGAAACCTAAAGTTCAGGGAAATTAAGTAATTTGCAAAAGATCTCGCAGTGAGGACGGAGCAGGGCAGCGCGTGCACCTTGACCAGGCCACGGCTGAAAAGCATCTCCACGATCTCCTTGAGGATGGGCAGGATGCCGCTGTGGTGCACGCCCAGGCCTCGGTGCAGGAGCTCTGACATGTGCAGGACCTGCAGGTAGCCGAGAGCCCCTGGTCAGGGGTGGGGGCGTGGAGTGCAGCACCCATTCCCACCAGTTTCCAGTGCTCCCTCCATACCTGGGGCAGCTGGCGGTCAGAGCCACGGAGGCGAGCAAGGCAGCGCTGCAGGAAGAGGTGAATCTCGCTCTTCTCTGAGCTTGTGGTGAGGTCAAGGGAGGTGAGGCCCGCAGCCTGCTCGTCACAGCGGCCCCGGGAGAAGGTGAACACCACCACAGGCAGCTGTGCACGGCGGCGGAGGGAAGCGAGGAGGGACAGGTACACACCTCGGTCCTGGGAAAGTGCAAAGGGACAGCGGTGGAGTCCCTGAAGCAGCGGGGGCCAAAGCAGGGGCCAATAAAAGACTGTCAGGCTGGGGAACACTCAAAGCTCAAGTGCAGTCCCGGGAGATGAGGGAAGAGACAAGTGATGCCAGGGGCGAAGCCCGCTGGTTCTGACCTGTGCTGGGCCACCCTGATGCGTGGGCTGCTTGGCCCCAAAGGTCTGGGAGTGTTTGCTCATCCTCTCCTTCTTGGCCTCCACAGCTGCATAGTACCTGAGGTACACAGAATGTAACTGTCACAGTCACACCCAGCCAGGCCCAGCCCTGACTCTCCCCTGCACCTCAGGCTCACCCCTTTGTATGGAAGGTGCCTTGGGAGTCCAGCAACAGGAAGAGTTCATCCTGAGTCTTGGGACTGTTCCCCGTAAAGAGATAATGCTCTAGGGGGATGGGGCGGGCGACGGTGCTGATGACGTAGATCTGACGACGCTTCAGTCGTCTGAGTGGGAAGGGAACAGTCAGTCGGTCAGAGATGGGAGTGTGGGCAGGAACAACCCACATGCCCACCCACCTTGCTGCTTCTGGCCTCACCCGGTCTTTTCTGAGAGCCAGACTAGAAGGCTGTCCCTGTCCTCATATCTCTCAGCATGCAAAGTAGTCTGGGCCCAAGTGGGCCATGTTCCCCAGCCCTACCCCTTCCTCCTCCCACCCCCAAGGTCTGACCACTCTTTCTACTGTGGCAGTTGGAGGGAAGGGCCATTCACCCCCTGCCCCAATCAAGGAAGACTACAGCCTCTTTCACACAAGCATCCCAGGACGCACATCTTACCCAATCCAGTCAGCAAATTCAAGGGCATTGGGAACAGTGGCACTCAGAAGGATGACAGAGACATGTTCAGGGAGCATGATAAGCACCTCCTCCCACACGACCCCACGCTGGGCACAGAGAGGGAAGACAAGTCATGGGTGGCTCAGAGGGGCTGCCCTTCTGCTCCTAGGCTCCCATGGAGGGCAAAGAAGGCAGTAATGTTTCAGGGTGTGTGGAAGAGGGAGCTGCTGAACTAGTCCCACAGGAAAGGGTTCCTGGGTGCAGGGCCCCATGGACCTCGCGCCCCTTACCTCAGCATCGTTGATATAGTGAACCTCGTCAAAGATGACCCACTCCAGGTCCCGGATGACATCTGAGCCACTGTACAGCATGGAGCTGAGGAGAAGAGACTGAAGGCTGACTCCCCAGTGGCTCCTGCCTCCACCAACTCAGCCAACACGCTCTCCAGAACAGCCTCACCTTCCTGACCAAAAATCCACCCGTCTTGAGTGCCCATCTCTCACCGAAGGATCTCTGTCGTCATGATGAGGCAAGAGGCCTCTGAGTGCAGCTGTACATCCCCCGTGAGCAGCCCCACGTCCCCAAATGTGTTTCGGAAGTCTCGGAACTTCTGGTTACTCAGAGCCTTGATAGGCGAAGTGTAGATGGTGCTGAGAAGAGGGCGTGAAGTGAGCCAGGCCCTCCATACGGACTGTGGTCGGCACCTCCTCTCCCACCCTGAGCCATCCCAGCAGCGTGCCGCAGAGCTCGGGGGCCCCATTCTGCACTCGAACCGCCCGCATTCTCCTTCATGACATGGTCCCAGGAAAATTCTGTCCCACATCCCCTTCACGAACTAAATCCACACAGGTCATTCTTTTAAACTCTCTCCCCACACCTCATTTCTTTCCACATCTCAGTTCCTCCCCCAAATATCCCAACTAAAAGACGAGGTAAAGACGTGGGAAGAGATGAGATTTAGAAAGGATGCAGGAGAAAGCGGGGATGGCTGAGGGAGGGAAACGCTGTACCGTGTCATGTGTTTCTGGGCAAGGGCAATGGCATATTCAGCCACAACTGTCTTCCCTGCGGATGTGTGAGCTGCCACAAAGACCGAGTTGTGCCGTTCCAAGTGCAGGATGGCCTGTTTCTGGAATACATCAGGCTCAAATGGCCACTGTGGGAGAAAGAAATGGATGGGGACTAAAGAAGGAAGGGGGGAAGGGCCTTCCTACCTCTCATGGGGCATGCAGGGCAGTGGGGAGAAGGCCAGAGTGAGGCGAGGCTGGGACTGAGATCCAAGACTGCCTGGAATGCATCTGGCCTCTGGTGAGGAGAGGAGACAAGGCAATGCGCTAGGAGTGGGATGTGAGGACAGCGTCACACTACCTGGAAGGCTGGCTGGGGGATGAGGCGGTAGAAATCACCAACAGGGGTGGTGACGTCCACAGGAATGGCCCACTGCTCCTGAGAAAGGGTTTTGGGGGGCTCTAGGGAGGATGCAACTGTGGAGGCTTCCTGGAAAAGTAAGGGGTAGGAGTGATAAAGATATAGCCAGAAAGCTCTCCATTACCACTCCTCCCAAAAGATGCTCTGGTCTTCCCCATAGATCCAACCAAGTCAACCCATCCTCCTGGTGGCAAGGCACCCTTCTTTCTTATCTTGACCACCCACAAGCACCAACCTTCAACACTAGGTCCTCCAAGCTGCTTGCTCGGGCCAAGGGAGCACTACAGGAAGAGGCCGTAACAGTGTCCCCTCTGCTGGTACCTCCTGGCTGTCCCATTGCCTCCCTCTCATCTTCATCACCGCCACCCAGATCCAGGGGCTCTAACAGACAGCTGAGGCTGAGCAACCCAGGAGCTGGAGCTGGGTAATCTGAGGAGCAAGGCCAAATGGGAGACCCAGTCATGTCCACCTCTGTTCTATAGGAGAAGGGTACCACATCTCCTACACCCCCATCTCAAAACTCACCCTTTGGTGCAAAGTCCACACCTTTCTTGAAGCCAGGTGGAACAGTAAGAAGAGCTGGAGAACAGGGACAGAGAAGGTCAGGCCCGCTGCACACTATTGTACAGGTCATATGTCCCATAAACCTAAGGGACACCAATCACAGCATAGGCTTTGTAGCTGGAGACAGTTGTAATAATTTGCCAACAAATAACACTAAAAGTTGTTATGGAAGAGGGACCTTTTTCTAATTTGCTCAAAGGCAGGGAAGGACTAGCAGCAGCCCAGTAATGGGCCTGGGCCCCTCATCCTCAAGGCCCAAACTTGGAGCCCTGCCTCCTAAGGGTCCATCCTGGTACCACCTCACCTGTGTCAAAATCTATCTCCTCTTCAGCTTCCTCCCGAGTGCACAGATCTGTTATGGTGGGCTCATCCATTCCACCTGGGAGAGATCAATTACATATGGATTCATGAGGAGTGATACGGGAACCCTTTCCTGGAGACTGAGAGCTCCCTCCCCTACAATCTCATTTCCACAAGAGTCACCTGGCCAGAAAGGGTACTGTGTTGGATTCCCCCACAGGAACTGGGAGGTGGGCCCTGGCGGCCGGCGAAGAGATAATGAGGTAGTGGCCGACAGGTCTGTATTCTCCAGCAAGACCTGAGGCAAGACATCAGAGCCCCAGTGAGGTTGATCTTGCCTCTGACCCTCCTTTTCCCAACCCTGCTTCTCATGGCCCCTGATTTCTTACCTCCTTGTAGCCCAGTATGTGGCCTGTGGTTGGGTGTCTTTGGGCTTGTAGGTCAGAGGGGACTGGGGCCCCCGGTGCAGCAAGGAGAGACCAGGGATCCATCTTCCTCTGCCATTTTCTGAAGAAAAGGAAGTGGTTTTCAAATCTTCTTTCTCCTCTGTCTCAACTTCCTTTAGGGGCCCATCTCCCTAGTCCAAGTCCCTCCAGACCCTCACCGAGCTGAGTGTTCCAGGCCATGCAGAGGCAGCCAGGCTGGAGATGACAGAAACAATTGCTCTGCTTCTTGCTGCAGATCTGGGGCACAGGGAAGGAGGCTGTGGGGAAGCTGGAACAAGGGCAAGATGAGAGAAAGTGATGGGACTCATGTTTAGATCAGGAATGGTAGATGCCCCAGACAGACGAGAACAAACAAAGGGGAACAATATTTTCCAAAGGCTGTAACACTTTCCAGGACAAATGGCCTGCCACTGAATTACCCCAAGCACTGGTTAATAATACAAATTTCAGATTTCAGAATCTGGGGCTGGACCTAAGAATTTGTATTTTAAAAAAGCTCCTCCCCCCTCACTAATTATGAGACACACTTAAATTTGAGAATCACTGGCTTTAGGAAAAAGGGTCCCAGACCTAAAGATGAAGAGTCACGGGCTCAAAGGCTAGCATCTGAGCCACCAATGAGATGAGAAAAGATATCGCCGGCGCTCCCTGCTAGTCCTCACGGGGGCTCTGACCCAAAGCAGGTCCACTAGCCTGGAGTCTGTCCTGCACCAGTCCGGGCCCGGATGACAGGTGTCCAGAGAGAAAAGTGGGTCATGCTAGATACTACCATAAAGTTTTAAGCTTCATGCGGGTCAAAGGTCAGGGTCAAAAGTCACTTACGGTGCTCTCTGGAGCCCCAGGTATATTGAGCAGCTCCCAGCGCCCACTGCATCCCAGCTCCACAGCCCGAAGAGGCAGGTCCAAGGGACCTGGGGGAGGTAGCACTACGAGAGAAAGATCAGAGGTCAGAAGTCAAGGGTTGATTCCTGTCTATTCCTTTGTTCCACCCCCTCCCCCTCACCTAGTCGCTCCCTCTCCATCATCTTGAAGCCACTGCTGTCCCCCCGCAGCCCGGAAGTGCAGCAGAGAGCTAGGAGGTAAGCCCCACCCCCAAAAGGGCAGACGTGAAGGCGGCTTCCGCCACACACACACCCAGCTCCGAAAAGAACGAATGATACCAAGGGGCTACTTTGAACCGGTAGAAGGTCGGGCGGAAGTGCCTTCGCCTTGGTTACCGCTTATTCCGCCCCTAGTACGTCATCGCTCTGAGCCAGCGATCTGCTGCCAGCGCGGGCGCCGCTCGAGACCTTGGGCCTGGGTTGACACCCCCCTCAAGTAAGGCGTTCTCTTTCTCACGCTTCGTCCGTTTTTGTCCGACCTCATTCCTTCCTTCTTCTCTCTTTCGTTGCTCTGAGAGCGCTGCACGGGTTCCACTGTCTCCTCTGCAGTTCGGGGTTAGTTGCCATACTAACCCCACTGGGGATTGGGGGCTTTTGGTGCCATCATGTTGTCGACGGAGAGGTTGTTTCTCCCCGGTCCACGTAGTGCCCCAAGCTGCTGGTGCCCGTGATTCCTAGAGAGGAGGGAATGCTGATTGACCCCCACAAGGGGGGGGGGAGGGCTTGGACGGCAGCCTAGCTTAAGCAAGGGGTAGGGAGAAGCGATACACAAGTGTAAGCAGACCCGGAGGGCTGGGGTTGGGTACAGTGGACCCTGGGTTGGTGACGGTAGAGAAAGATGTCTTGGGCCCTGCCCCTGAACCAGGAGCCACCATGTTGGTGATACCCCCTGGACTGAGCGAGGAGGAGGAGGCTCTGCAGAAGAAGTTCAACAAACTGAAGAAAAAGGTGAGGGAGTGTGTGGGGGCCTGGCCCAATCTTTCACAGACTCTACACTCTGAGACCACTTGGGGTGAGCGTGAGGGATGGAGCGTTCTTCTGGCTCATACCTGGAGACTGTCATCTCTCATTGTAGCTTCAGAGGTGGGCTGGTGTCTTATTGTGTACCTTGTCTCTTTCCTACTCAGTTTGCCATGGAGTTGTCTCCCTTCCCCCACGGCTTTTACTACCACCTAAAAGCTGGCAATCCCCAAGTTAGGTTTTTCCAGTTCCATCTGATGTCTTGCTGATAAACTTAGCCTATCCAAAATAAAGCTATCATCTTCCTACCTATTTTAATCTAGTTCCTTTTTTTTTTTTAATCTTCCAGATACGAACTGACCACATTCAATCCTCTTGTGTGTTTGGAATAAAAAATCTCAGCTTTGACTTCTCTATTTGCATAGCTAAACATTTGCCAAGTCTTCTTGATTCTTTCTTGAAAGTAATTGCATCCCGTTTACTTTTTCCTGTGTATTCCATAAGTCAGATCTTTGTTGACATTCACTTAGACTGTTGCAATGGTCTCTAAGCGTGTTCCTTAGTGTTTTTTTTAAACAGACTTTTTTCATCTCTTTTTAAATGATCCATTGAAAACACAAGATTTTACCTTAAGTGGTTTCGTTTTGTCCATAGAACAAAGCCTCAAGTTGGCATCCCTTTTTAGTAACACAGAACTATTCACTAGTCCCAAAACATGCATTCCAGAAGCCTTCTTATCTCTGCATTTTTGCCACCCTGTTTTCTTTGTTTGAAATTCCCCTTTTTCTCAGTCTTTGTTGTGCAGATTCTACCCAGGGTCCAGTTTAATAGCCATTTGATATAAGAAAATTTTACTTGCTCTCAAGTAGTTTTCACCTCTTATAAACATTCTTGGCAATTTAATCTAGTCATTTTATTTCTCAGTTAGTAAGCTTCCTGAGGGAGAGAGGAACTGTGTCTCATACTTGTGTATATCCCTGTTATAAAGTAATGAATTGCGTGTTCTGCTAAATATACGGGGGATGGATGGAGGAAGCCCCTAAGAGAGACACATAGGCTTATACTTACTTGCAGCTTATAACCTGCGGCTCTGGTCCATGATTGAACTCCTTGTCTTCACCTTCAAAAACATGATACTCTGGAAAGCCCCTGGATACCATGGTTTGGATAGCTTAGGTACCGCTGGCACTGTAGATGGTCTGGGGGACCATATGTAAGAGGCAGGGCTGCCTCAGTGAACCGCTCCAGGGGCACCATCTGCATTGTTTTCTCTCAGAACGGTGGACCCTGGAACGAGGTGCCCAGGGACCTTGGGAAAGGATCTGGTCAGGCACTGGCCCTCACCAACCCCTCTCTTCTCATTCTTGTTCCCAGAAAAAGGCATTGCTGGCTCTGAAGAAGCAAAGTAGCAGCAGCACAGCCAGCCAAGGCGGTGTCAAACGCTGTGAGTGATAGGAAATGGGGAGCATGGGAGTTGATCTTTCACACACCTGGCCAACATAATGCCTCTTTCCCTCACCACTCAGCACTGTCAGAGCAGCCTGTTGTGGACACAGCCACTGCAACAGAGCAGGCAAAGCAGCTGGTGAAATCAGGAGCCATCAGTGCCATCAAGGCTGAGACCAAGAACTCGGGCTTCAAACGTTCTCGAACCCTAGAGGGGAAGTTAAAAGTAAGCACAAGCAGAAAGGTTGTTTAGGGAACCCTTGACTTCAGAGGGTGTCCCTCCAAGGTAGAATGGAGGTAGGTTTGGGGGAAGGTAGTGCCTTGTTCAATCACAGGCAAATTGCGCTATGGTTCTGAGCTGCAGGTTGCTTATCTAACAAGTGAGGAAAATGGGTGACTCCTGCGCCGTCCACTTTCCTCATTCTATGACTCCAATCCATGAATTGGAGCTCTTGGATTGTGTTGTTCCTCGGAGTTAGACGGGCTGAAATGTCATCAGGTTCAAGAAATGTGTAGATAAACTAAATACTTTGAGGAGAAATTAGGGTCATGTATTTAAATACCATATAATCAAATAAGGAAAGTACAAAGGAATAGAAGAAGAAAAAAAAAGATAGGCCAGAGGAAGCCGAGAAGGTGAGGGAAGAGGAATCCCCTGTGTCCCGTGATTAGGCAGCCTCCTGTTCCCACGCTGAGGTAGCTCTCTACCACCTTCCAGGACCCCGAGAAGGGGCCAGTCCCCACTTTCCAGCCATTCCAGAGGAGCGTATCTGCCGATGACGATCTGCAGGAGGTAACTGTCCCTAATTCTTTGTCCCTGAGGGTACCCACCTGCCAGCAACTAGACTTATCTTAACTGAAACTTGGTCTCTTTTTCAGTTGTCCAGACGTCCCCAAAGGAAATCTCTGTATGAGAGGTTAGCAATTTACAGATAGGACTGGGTCCCAATAGGTGGTGGTGGGAGGGGCTTAATTACCAAGTTCTCAGGAGGTACGGGGCTGGAATAGAAGAAGGTGAGGCGATAGAGGGAGTATTGAGTCCCCACAGGATCTGGGAAGACAAGGTGAAGGCCCCCTTTGGTCATCGCTGCCTCTCTTTTCCCTAGCTTTGTGTCTTCCAGTGATCGGCTTCGGGAACTGGGGGCAGATGGGGATGAGGCAGAAGGCCCAGGGTCTGGTGATGGCGTCCCTCGAAGCTTTGACTGGGGCTATGAAGAACATGGTGGTGCCCGCTCCTCAGTCTCCCCTCCCCGAAGCCGCAGCCGGGACCGCAGTCGTGAGCGGAACCGGGACAGGGACCGAGACAGAGACCGGGACCGGGACCGGGACAGAGACCGGGACCGGGACAGAGAACGAGAGGGCCTTTTCCGCAGTGAGTTGGCTTGGCTAGTGGGCAAAGTGACTCAGAATTTAAGTGGCTCCCACTAAAGCTCGCTCTTAAATTGGAGGGTGAGACATGGTACATCTTGTGATCCCACAGGATCCGACTCATTCCCAGAACGCCGGGCCCCCCGGAAGGGGAATACTCTCTATGTATATGGGGAAGACATGACACCCACCCTCCTCCGTGGGGCCTTCTCTCCCTTTGGAAACATCATTGACCTCTCCATGGACCCACCCAGAAAGTAAGGATGACAATCAGGCCAAACGCTGAGGCCCAGGAGGAGGCCAATACGTCTCCAGTGGCCTATGAGCACGGGTTGGCTGGGTTCAGAAGAGCTCATAACCCCTCTCCTAACCCTGTTTTCTCTCATCCCAGCTGTGCCTTCGTCACCTATGAAAAGATGGAGTCAGCAGATCAGGCCGTTGCTGAGGTTGGGATTTCCCAGATTGTCCCTCCCACCCCTCCCGTCATCATCATGCTTTCTCTTTAAAGTGCTGGGAGTCAGGAGGAAACCGTTTCCTCTTGACAGAATAGTATCTCCCTACTCACACAGGAAACCTTATATTCTCAGATTCCTGTTCAGTCTACTCCTAGGATGGAAACTCATGGAAATCCTCCTTTTGTTTGTCTGTAATGTTCCCCCATCCTCTGCTCCCCCCCTTCTGCCCCAGCTCAACGGGACCCAGGTGGAGTCCGTGCAGCTCAAAGTCAGCATTGCCCGCAAACAGCCCATGCTGGACGCCGCCACTGGGAAGTCAGTCTGGGGCTCCCTCGGTAAGAACAGGAGTTCTGCTCCCTCATCTTATCTCCCACCTCCCACACGTTTTATTTCCCTGCATGTCCCCAAGTTCTCTAGAGGTCAGGATTTGTGGGAAGCTATGGGAATGGGAAGAAGAGTGGGCAGACCCTCTGTCAGTTGGAAATAGGAGAAAGGAGAGAGAAAGGGGTTGAAAACAACTTCCAATAACCGAACAGGGAAGATGTGGAAGCAGGTCAAGAGGAAGATGAACATTTCATGTGGGCTTGTTCATTTGGAGATGAAGTATAATAGGTTTTCTAAAATAAGCATTTGGAATAGGGATGTGGAACTCAGGCATAAGGTGAGAAATGAAAACAGATTAGTCATTTGTATCTCATGGTGGCTGCAAAATGACAGTCTCGTTGGGGAGGAAAAAATGACCCAGGACTGGGATTGGGAAATGCACAGGAGATACGGTGGGAAGCAGGGTTGTGTTGCTCGTACCCCACTGTCCCAGTTCATCTGCATGTTAGGCTGGAGTTGATGGAGCACAGTGTGGAGAAGACACGCGATGCCCACCTTCCTCTGTGGGGCTTTCTGTCCTTTTGGAAACAGTGACACCAGGTGGGGTCAGGGCTGGGAACAGCACCAGGGGGACCTGGGCCACTGAAACCAAAGGACACCAGCTTTTGTACCCGACATGATCACCAGTGTCGGGTACAAAAATCCAAGAGATGGGAGCTGGTGTGAAGGGTTCACTCTGGCCCCAGAGTGGCAGGGGTAGAATCCTCGGAGATGGAGTGAAGAGAGAGACACACTGGATACAGGGAGGAAAGAGAAAGGGGAAGGAAATCTCAAGGCTCAAGCAAGAATGCTTAGGGCCAGAGCCACCGCCGGAGTGAGTTCTGGTAGGGAGAGTAGCATTTCTCAGTGTGAATAACCAACTTTAGCTGAAATAGATTTTCCTGACAAAAGAGTGGACAAAACGAGGGGTTCAGAGCAAGAGTGGCCTTCCAGATAAAGGACCAACATATCAACAAAGGGCTATAGAGATTTTCTTTTTTGTAAAGATTGTATTTATTTTTAGACAGATGGGGAAGGGAGGAAGAAATAGAGAGAGAAAAACAATGTGTGGTCTCCTCTTGCACATCCCCTACTGGGGACCTGACCCGAAACCCAGGCATGTGCCCTGACTGGGAATTGAACCAGCGATCCCTTGGTTTGCAGGCTAACCCTCAATCCAGTGAGCCACACCAGCCAGGGTGAGATTTTCTAATTTTTAATTTTTGATGTACTAACTAAAAGCACTAAGTAAGCACCATTCACATGTGTCAACAATAACATTTGAGAATTTTCTAAGAATAAAACATTTGTTATTGCCCTGGCTGGTGTAGCTCAGTGGATTGAGCTCGGGCCTGCAGACCAGACAATCGCGGTTCGATTCCCAGTCAGGGCACATGCCTGGGTTGCAGGCCAGTTCCCTGCAGGCCAGTTCCCAGCAGGGGACGCACAGAAAAAAATAAAAACAAACAAAACAGTATCCATCCCCCTGTGCCAAGATAACAGCATAATACTCTTTGCCCCATGATGATTTGGCAGCCACTAGCCTAAGGGGCTAAAAGGAGACAGGCCATCCCCATCACCAGAGGGCAGCGTAGAAACTAGGCTTCCAGAAGTCTGGCCAGGAGTGAGGAGGTCAGATTGGGCCCAGGGTCTCACCAGTGCTGTCCTTCTGGCCTTAACTAATCCTTTCCTTCCAACCTAGCTGTCCAGAACAGTCCTAAGGGTTGCCACCGGGACAAAAGGACCCAGATTGTCTACAGTGATGACGTCTACAAGGAAAACCTTGTGGATGGCTTCTAGTTACAGAGCTGGATTTCTTGTGCCTCGTCTGCCCCAACACTGGTCTCAGTAAAACACTGAGGTGGAAGCTCACCATCTTCCTCAGCCTCTGGTTTTTCAGCACTTGGGATTGCGGTTGAACCTTTAAAAATGGCTCTTTGATTTGATTTGCTTTGTAACAAGGTGGCCAGTGCACATTCCCCACTCCCTTACTCCAAAAGGATCTTGAACACAGTATTGTCAGAGCTATTTTAATTTGATCACATGCCCCTTTGCAGTAGGAAACTCCTTATAGAAATCCCAGATCCTCATCTTGGAGTTTCTCCTTGAGCCAGGGGAGCACTTCAAAGAGGTTGATGTGAAAGTCTCGGGCGTGAGCCGGTACCTGGTGCTGCGACCTCTTGTCTTTGCAGACATCCACTACACCCCAGCTGATCACACCAACCTGGAAAGGGCAAGGGGTTGCCACGGATCGTTTGGTAGAATTCCTTCCTCATTCCAGGAAGCAAAACTACTCCCAAGTACATCTGCGCTGACCTGGAAGAGTTAGACTAGTGACCCAGACACACGGTCCTGAGCCAGTCCAGAGAATAGCTCTAAAGTGAAATGGGCTCTGCCCTCCCCTTTCTAGCCACATCTGTTTGACTTGACTGCTTTGGGGCCTGTGCTGACCACTAGGCATCTCCCCGTTATTGGGAAAGGAGAGACTCACTTGAATGAAGCGGCTCCTCTTGTGAATGATCAGGGGACCACCAGAATCACCTACAGGAGAAGAGAAGCTGTAGGGAAAGACTCTCAGACCTCAGGAACTTGCGGCATAACCAAAGACCCTTTTCTCACCTTTGCAAGTGTTGGGATCAGCATAAGGGTTCACCCCTCCAGTGCATAGGAACCTGGGGGTGACCACCTCATAGATGTCCTTGACTTTCTCGTAGCCTGGGGCCTTTTGAGCATCTCTATCACATGCATCTTTCTGTAGGTGAGATGGGAAGCATGGAGAAGGGGATAAAGTTTGCTTAGGGAGAGTTAAAGGCAGGGGTGTCCAACCTGCGGGCTGCATGCAGCTCAGAATGGCTGTGAGTACAGCCCAGCACAAAATAGTAAATTTACTTAAAACGAGGTATTTTTGTGTGTGTGATTATGTGTCACAATGCATTTAATGTATGGCCCAGGACAACTCTTCCAGTGTGGCCCCGAGTTGCCAAAAGGTTGGACACCCCTGGTACAGGAACTCCTTAGGATCCCACAGTTCTTACCCTATCCCCATTCTTGATGTAGACCTCCCTCCGAGTCAGCATCTTCTTCCCATCCTTGACCAACTCAGATACAAACAGAGCTTTGATATCCTTTGCAGGGAGCAGCTCTTCCACTGGACAGATGGACAGACTGGATCATTTCAGCACTCCCCCTCACCCCCAATCTTAGCAAATGTCCCTCAGCCCCTCTGTGTGAGTTAGGGGCTTAGGAATTATCTCCTGCAGCAACCCTCATGCCCCCTTGTCTTGGACTCGCATCCCAGTGCTCTCCCTGGACATGTCTTACTCTGCTGCTGGCAAGTGGTTGTTATCGGAAGCCTCAAAGCTTGATTTGTCCCCACGGTGCAAGGGAGACAGATGGGCCTGTTGAGAAGAGATGGGGAAATTCAGGAATGACACACTGTACCTACCCAGTCTTCCTGCCCCACCTTTCTCTCAGGGAGCCACACCTGAGAGTCTCACTAAACTTCAGCTTCATCTTGAGCTTGATCAGGGCCACGTCATAGTCATAAAATTCAGCAATTCCTTCTGCTTTTTTCTTATTGATGTCATACTTGGGATGAAATAGGACTTCTTCTATTTCCAAGTCCTGCTTTTTCTCTCCTAAGGTCAGAGGAGAGTGGGTACATCGGGACCTCCCACTTCTCTGTGGGCAGCCTCCCACCTTTGGCCCCACCGCATCCTAACTGGTTCAGTGTGCAAAGGAAGGGACTACACGGAGGGCAAGTGGGCTGTGGGCTCTTGAAGTGGGAGGTGCTAGGCGGAAGGTGGAGCTCAGAATTGATTCTTGTCACCCTTACCCGCATTGACCTTGATGGAGTGTAACTGGTCATCCACTGTGAAACAGTGTGCCGCCGTCAGCACAAAGTACTCCGACACCACGGCCCCCATGCAGTTCTCGTGTCCCTTCGAGGGGCGCTGGGAACAGAATGGCAGAGGGGGGAGCTCCACTTTCACAGACACCACACTCTAGCAAGGGAACTTTGCCCACACTTCACCTTGACCTCAGCTCCCAGAAGTCCCCACCACCGGAACACTGCTTACAGTGACGGAGATCTTGGCCTGCCATGGTTGCTTGTGGTAATCGCTGCCTTTACTGTGCTCCCAAACCATGCCACAGAGACCCAGAGTCCGGGTTTCATCTGGCAAAAAAAAAAGAACGTGCTGAAAGCTGGGACACCATTCCAAATAGCAGTGCCTGTTAGGGAGGGACACCTACATGTCCATGGGGAGCTGAGGCCCATAAGGAAGAAAGGAAAGGCGGGGGCATTTGTTTACTTGTGATGAAGACAAGAAGTCACTGGTACAATGACAGCAGTTTGAGGCTAAGATTGGAGACCTGGCTAAGTTCAGGCCCAACTCTTGCCAGCTTGCTCTCCTCTGACATCCTTCAGCTGCCATTTGCACATCTGTAAAATGGGACTAGAGAAGGGTCTCTGATGTCTTTTGGAGCTCCATGCCTCTAAGATCAGGATGTGGACAGTGTCAGGAAACAATAGTGACACTCAGGTAGAAATGAGTCCTCAGAAATGAGGAGCCTTCCAGACTGCCATGGCTTTGGGAGAACAAAGATGAGTGATCTTGGGGAGCTTGGGGAGAGCTGAGTTCCCTGACCATCTTAACACTATTCTGATATCCTCCTACCAAGCATTTTGATGAAAACATCTTCCAGGTTTTCCATGTCCTTGACTTTGAACACATGTTGCTCTTTATCTTTCTTGGAAGCCAAGGCATTGATGTTCTCTTGGTTCACCAGAGGCCCAACCCCGAACACGTAGACGTCTGAGGGGGAAAAGGCAGGCGTGAGGGTCCAGACCCTGGGGCGCAGGAACTGAGAGCAGGGTGCTGGGTTCTGGGTAGTAAAACTTACCCAGGTACTGTTCCCTTGGGTTTTTGCGATCCCTGCCGATGTCCAACAAGGCCCGGATATCATGAATGACAGGAACTGGATCCCCGCCCATGTTGTGCAAGCCTGTACAACAGAAGAGACAGACCATGAGCAGGGAGGCAAGGAGGAGGGTCAAGGAAGATAAATTGGCTAGAAATAGTGACATATGACCAGTTAAGCAGGTTGGGAAGGAAATGGAAGTGACAGATCATGGAGAGTCCCCCCTTGCAAAGTGTCACAGAAAAGATCAACATGGTTGAGGCCCATTGCTGCCCAGGGCCCCCACCATGAGTCACTGTTAGGTGTGGACTGAAGGGCCACACACTGGAATGAAAGGTTGGGAGTCAGGCAGGAGAAGGGGCCCTTCTGACCGTCAGTCATGAGAATGATGACATGGCGGGTGTGGTTCCAGCCTTCTGGGGGGCTGTCCGCTTCCCGACTCATCATGCTGTACACAGCCTGGAGGGCCTTCTTAGTGTTGGTTCCCGTCTTCAACTTGTGATCTGTGGAAAGGAAGGAGTTTGTCACCTCACCTGCGATTCCAAGACATTCTTGAAACCCAGAGGCCTGTCAGCAATAGACTCCACATTTTCCAACTTTTTTAGTTGTCACCCCTCCGACCTCCCTTTGACCACAAAGTGACCCTTTCGGTCCATAACAGGTTTCCACTAACCCTCATTCCCCACTGACCCTATGCCGTCCAACTATGCATTACAAAGTGGTCCTCCCTATCCCCCCAGTATGGTCTCATACTACACCCTGAACCTTCTGACCTCTCTGACCCCAAAGTGAACCTCCCACCATTCCCCTCCCTGACTTCTGACCTTCATAGCTGATTTTGTTGATCTGCTCTGTGACCCAGTCTGCATTGCTGCTCTCTGCTTGGGACACTCTGATCAAAACATTGGTGTCTGTGGCATATGTCACTAGACCGTATTTTGGCTTCACTCCATAACTTGCCACCTGAGGGAAGTAAAGGATCACGGCATTGCTGGCTCAGGGGAGGACATAGTAAGAGACTCAAGGGTTGACTGGTCACTCTGAGGTTTGTCGGGGAGTCTGAGTTAAAGGTCAAGAAACTGCTTCAAGTAAAAGGGAAGGAGGGCCTGGATGTTTCTGGAACCCTGTGGCTCAGAGGGGCAGGGAACACAAGGAAGCCAGTCCTGGCATGGCAGTGAGATTCATTCAGGGTCCCCACATTCAGGGGGAGTGGCTTCACCTTCTCAATGAAGTCTCTAAGACAATTCTTGGCCCCTGTAAAGTTGCGTGCCCCGATGCTGTCTGATCCGTCCAGCACGAGATAGATGTTCATGGAGCCCGAGGGATCCAAGACGATCTTCCTCTTCTGTTGTTCCCCTGGGTGCCATCAGAGACACTCAGGCTCAGCGTGCGTGGTTCTCCTGCCCACTCTCCCCCAGTTGGTCCCCTGCCCCATCTCCCACTCTGTCCAACCTGGGCTGTGCCCGTCCTCAGCATCGACTCCTTCTATCGTCTCTGTCAGGGAAGACAGGAAGGCTTCGGCCACCTCTCCGGGGGTATCGTACATAAAGGAGTCTGGCAGAGGTCAGAAATCAGGTCAAATGTCTGGGAGGGTCAGGAACACAGGGACCAGAGAGACGGGATGGTGGGTTTCCAGAGTGGAAGAGCTCAAAAGTGAGGAAGTTCTGCGGGGAGGTTTAGAAGTGGAAGGATCTGGGTTAAAGGGAGAGAAGACAGTGCCCTGTTATGGGGATTGAGGATGAGAGAGCAAGATCTGACCTGAGGGCATAGGTCAAGGGTCACCTTGGCAAGAAGGCTCTGTTCCACTCCAAGAGCCACCTTCCTGGCATGTTCGCCGCTGGGAGCCGCGTAGGGTGAGCCCCCGGCTACAGTAGTAGGTGACACTGTCTTCAAGGCGGTACTGGCTGCCCACCTTCCTTGTGCCAATGGGGATGCCCGGGTTGGGGCAG